TGCTTGCAACCATATGTTCGCACGGGTTTGAACACTCGAAGAATGGAGGAGCGTAAAGATAAGTATGGATTCGCATATCCTAGAATTACCCCCCGTGTTCAGGCTGGTCTACGTGTCGAGAAGGTTACACTTCAGAGCATCTATAGGTTCAAGACTCAAAAGGGTGGTTACTGCCTTGAATTCACCATCAACAGAAACTGGAATGGTTTGAGCACTGTAGCAGAGCCAGATATCTGTGCCGGAGTCACAGTTTTTCACGATCTTTGGGATACAGATATGGAGGCAAATGATCACACTACGATGGACCGCGACTGGCAGAGAGATATGAGTAATTTCTTTCCAGCCGGGGGATTCAAAGCTTTTGTCGAAGAGCTCGATGAACTCCTGTCGAGTTTCCATCATTCAATGAACGGAAGTAGAGTCTAATCGCCAGATCGATACTACACATCAAGTGCTTTTATAATTTTACTATTTTGAATTTACTTGACAAGTCTCTTCGAAGGAATCACCTCTCCGATCTCACTTTTTAAGTTTAATTACGCCAACTCTTTCTTATTTCTTTTTGCTGCCATATTCGAATGAGAGCAATCATCATCGGAATCTCACTCTGCCTAAATACAGCCTGCACTCTGCAGCAAATTCTTCAGACTTGGTATTTTCCTCGACATGACCATTCCGATTTTAGTGGTGTCTCGAACGAATTGAATTCTTTACGAGATTATTTGAGTTTTGGCGTTTCTTTTTTCTTTTCTTTTCTTTTCTTTTCCATCCATAGCGCAGAGATATCAAGATGTTGAAGCTGAAGCAGCACCTGGAGTTGAGCTAAGAACTTTCTGGCGTAAAACTGTACTTAGAGATTAGTCGAAATTCATTGATTTTGTAACCAAAAATAAAGTGAAGCATACCATCTTCAACCACGCGTAGACTATTTGATTTGTTGTTGACTATAATTTCTAAATCCTTCAGATTGGTTCCAATTTCTTCAACTTTTGCTTCGTAGAATTTGATTGCATCTTTGGTGCTCTAAAGTTTGTGTGTAAGTTTGTGTGTGAGTTTAAATAGGGCACATGTCATTCCTAGGATGGAAAGGAATGAATGTGTAAAACGAAGTTAAGTGAAGTGCAAAGGGAGGATGAAGGAAAGAAGAAGGATAATGGAGGAAAATAATAATCGCACCTTTTCAACATAGAAACCAGTTCCAACATCTACAATTACATTTTCTGTATCTGCTAATTCGCCGGGGACGTAGAGGGATGTTGTAAGAGGTACGAGGATTGGTTTGCCTATTGGATTGAGAGAGATGATTAGCTTGGGTATAGTGTAGATATGAATTAGGCTTGTAGAGTTTTGGGGGTTAGGGAGAGATGAAGAGGGGAGGGAGGAAGAAGAAAGAGGAAAGGGCTGAGGTATTTGGTTGGTTGGCGAGGGGTGCGGAGAGGAGAAATGATTGAGGCGATTGAGGGTAGAGAGGAGAAGAGTAGAAATACAAGAAGCTGCGCAAGGTATCCTGCCCGTCTTTTGAATCATGAGACTGGTAAAGCTTCTTCGGCACCTTGAAGGCCCCTCAATTTCTCAATCTCTTGTGCTCTCCCCTCCGATATCTCCTTCCTCCAAGCTCAATCTCTACAGCTCCCGTTTATAAGCTCGCTCTCCTCTTTTCATTATCTACCCTCCCATTCCTTTCTCTCTTTCCCTCTTCTCTACACACAAATGAAGAGAATGACAAGTAAACTTACCCTCAACAGTCTTTCCAACACCCGTACTAATACTCCTCAAACATTCTCTAAATTTACTCTGCGCAGCGCGAAGTTGTTGGAAGGAAGAGGTGAGATGTTCGAGTTCGTCGTCGAGTTGTTTCTTGACTTGGGATAATTGAGCGGTGGTGAGGGAAGTGAGGTCGACTGTTGTTTGTTAGGTTTATGGGCTGGAAGTTTGGAGGGGGGAGAGAGAGCATTGCAGAAGGGAGGAAGAGGGCAGGAAGAGGGGAGAAGAAGAGCAGGGGAAACGAACTTTGTTGGCCTTTTTGCGCCATTTTTACGGGTTCTTTTGAAAGCCCGGAAGGGAAAGTTCGAAAGTGGAAAGTGGAAAGGTATGCGGATAGAAGATGGTAGAGTTTGAGAGCTTCAAGTGCGAAATGAGTGGTGAGATGGAAATAACTTTATTTATTTCGAGGTGAGGTGATGGATGGAGCTTTGTGAGGTGAGGTTTGTGATTAGTCAGCTATGTGCCCCGCGGTGTGGTGAGTGGATGTTGAACGACAATATAGATTAAGACTTCTCTGTACGTTTACTTGATTGAGCATTGGACTGGATGTAATGATGAGTGTTTATGGTGGTAAAACCAAGTGGTTGTATCTGGTCCTGGTGATGAAATATGGAATTAGGATTATTCACTAGCTATACACAGATTCTCAAGCTGAAGGGCAAGAAGTCATTCCAGTGGTCTAATATCTGTTGCCATGAGTTGTTGGTCGCTTTTAGTAACTAGATCGAAGAGGGACTTATTCTTCTAAAAGTTTGGTTTGCATCCAAGTCTGTTTTTAAAGATTGAGTACAATTCGGAAGTGTTGGGTATTTATCTTCCCTTCTTACTTCATCATGGCTCGTTTTATCTACAGAGACCTACACTTAGTCGCGTTTACTTTTCCAGGATTTCATGAAGAAGGTCAGATGGTCAGATGGTCAGATGATGAGTGGAGTGTTCCTATGATAGTCAGGTCTGTTTCAAGCGATCTATGTTATGCTCCTTCCGAGAAAGTTCCAAGCCAAAGATTCTGTCACAATGAAAGAAAGCTAATTTGTCGTTCTAACCCTCGCCGTTTTTCATGCTAGTAAATGAACGGCATGATGACTCACAGATTGAAACTATTCTTATTCAAGCTTCGACCTAGATCTATAGCTCTGGATTCCTTTTTCTGGGTATCGAACCTGTGCATGTTGAGCTCATGAGCCTGCGGGTACAACCGATACAGCCGATACAACCAATACTAACCATTGAAGAGAGCGCGACCAATATCCTACCCGATCAACATACACATATGGGAGTGATGAATTGGTTTCAACCCCGAATCAAAATCCGACATAGGGAGAGAGGTAGAAAAATAGAATAGTTAGACTTTTAGACAACAATTCAATGCATCTATCCATCTTCCTGCAATCTTTTTTCCTCTTCTGTACCCCCTATCTTATTTTTTCATCTAATTCTCATCAGTTCTCACAAATCCCTTGAATCTCAGATGGTTTGGCGTCCAAAATTCTGCATCTAGCCTCTCCCCTCTTCTCTTCTCTCCCCTTTCCCCCCTCTCCGACCCAAACCCCAAATCTCAGATCTCCAATAACCTCAACGAAATCCCCACCTCATTTCTACATCCATATATACACGGACAAGTCCCTGCATTATCAAATCATCCAAATACTAATCACCATCTTCCATTTTTATGGAAAGATCTGCTGTCACATATACGTATGAGCCTGAACAGGATTGACAATTCACACGTGCCATGAGTATCTTCCCAATCTGTTCCAATCCATCCCATCCCATCCCAGCCGCATCTACAAAGAAACTCAAAACAAGAAGTGGTATAGAAGCAAAACAGAATTCAAAACTCCACATCTAAATCACCATATACCAACCCATCCACATCAATCACGCAATAGATCAAATCAAATCGAATCAAGCCAGAGAAATCAAATCTCCAACCCGATGATAGAACTTAGCAGGAGAACAGGTATACAACGTAAAAATTGTTTATTCATCTATCTACTCAAATAAGTAACAAGCATTACGTCGCAGTGGAAGCGACTATATAAATCCATAGGTAGGTAGGTAGATACATAATCCTCCCTCTATACCTATAACCTACAAGTCTTCACTTCACTCCATAAACCAGGACGATCAGAACATTCATCAGAGTAGATGATATACAATCGGAATGAAATGTAATCAGTGCATAAAACTATGAGTCCCTAGAGAAATAACTATTCATCACTTTCATCTTTCATCTTTCAATACACACACAACTGATCATTCAATATTCACAACTCTAACCCTAAGAATAAAAGAAATAGATTAACATAACATAACATAATATAATACAATATCCAGAATCCAGAATCCAGAATCCAGAATCCAGGATTTAGATAGATCATCATATTATCTACAGCATCCTCACAAGGATGTACATCTATCCGTCATACCGATGCGTCTCTAATACCCAAATCAAATCTATCATCTATCCTTACCCCCTCTTCTACCAATACACATACACATACACATACACATACACTCCCTCCCCCCTCCCTCTCTCCCACTCACATTACATTTACCAATTTCAAATGTAAAGATACAACTTCCAACCATTCCAATTCCAATTCCAAACTTCAAATCTCAACTTCGTCATCCATCTCTCCATCCATCCATCCATCCATCCATCCATCCATCCATCCATCCATCCATCCATCCATCCATCCATCCATCCATCCATCCATCCATCCATCCGTTTACATCCCACACGCGAAAAAACAACTCATGCTCATTTGCAACTTTCTCTAATGCTAATCTCTAGGAAGAAAACTCATCACATCTCATCTCATTCACATTCTATTCACATTTTATTCACATTCTATTCACATCGATATTTTCTTTCCCTTTCCCCGGAATTTATCTAACTTCATATCAATCACCCCTACTGTATTCTTCATCTCTAACTATACATAAGTAAATACATCCTATATACCTACTTGCTCTGCCCTGCCTGCCCAGAATAGCATAGCATAGCATAGCATCACAACCAAGATACTCCCATTCGATTCACCTCACCTCATCTCACCCACTCATCGCCACATCACACCACGCAATCAAACCGCGTAATCACACACAAACTTTGTATCTAGACAGACTGACTAGAATTCCGAGTTTCACTAGAAATACAAATCCCATTTATATGAAGGCCCTCTCAAAGGATTCACCACCCAATCCCCTCTCCTCTATTCAATTCCACTTTACCCCACACTCTTAATAACAAGTTCCTTGTACATAGCCTTGATATCCTCCACATCCCCTCTCAACTCATTAACCTCTTCACTCTTCTCCCCCAACAACTCAAGCGTAACTTCATACCTCTCCTTAATCCCCTTAATCTCTTCCTCCAACGCCTCAACTTTCTCCTCCAATCCCCTCTTAACTTCAACCTCCTTCATCAGTGCTACAATCTCCGTTCTCGCTTCATCTCTCTGAGCAATTAATCTAGCAACCTCCTCCTTCGTCGCCACTTTTTCACTCTCCAATTTCCTTACCGCGGAACTCATTCTCTCAACCAATTGGACTGTTGGACCGGCACCAGCAGTCGAAGTCGAAATAATGTCATGAATAGTTTGTTGAGGAGAAGAAGAACGATGAGTATCAAAGAAGTCATCGTGATCCAACGTGTGAAGACTTGGAGTTTGTGGCTTAAACTCACTTCCACCCGTCCCATTAGTTGCAATGGAATTTAATGAAAAAGAATGTGTCAAGGAAGCCGTAGAGTCATGTCTGACGGGTGTTCCCGGATCTGGTGATTTCGATGTCGGTTGTCCAGATTGACGACGTCCTACGAATCTTTCTGATGTTACCAAGTCACCAGTTGTAGATCTAGCTGATGGTCTTCTTGACTGCATGTTTTGTAGACCCAGATATTCCGATGTCAACCCTCTTCGACTTGATGCTACAGGTGACTCTCCACGACCATTAAGAGAGACTTCTTCCAACCATTTTTGTTTCTCTTCTAATAGTCGTTGTTGCATCTCAGAGTTCCATGTCTGTTTCTCATCCTCGAATTCGGCTTTGGCTGAAACCAATGCAGATTCGGCTTCTTCAACACGCTTCTTGAGATCATCTAATTGAGCAGTCCGTTGGGAAAGTTCTTGTTGAAAGTTTGGTAATTTCGACCTAGTTTCTTCCAATTCATCTTCATTACGTTTCGCTTTGAGTGTCTAGATTTGATTAGTTATATTCCACGGCAATAATTGAACACTAGTACATACCACTTCACGAGCTTTTCGCCTAACATCAGCTTCTCGCTTAGTCGCCTCATCCCTCTCTTTTTCTAAGCTAATCGCACGTGCCGTCAATGAAGCTTCAATACCTTGCCAATTCTCACTGGCAACAGCATATTGTGTTTGTAAAGTCTCGATCTGACGTAACAATTTCGCTTGTGCATCACCAGTTGCACCAGTTGAAACTTCCTCAGCTCTCGCTCTCATCATCTCTAATTTACTCTCCAACATTTGTTGCTCATTCTTCATTTCAAGAGCTGCAATTCGAGCATCTTCAGCCTCTCTATCCATCTTCTCTCTGAGCTCTTTAATCTGTATTTGTGCTCTATCACTAACGAGTTGCTTCTCGATTTTGAGATTCGAAATATCGTCCTCCAGTTCAGCAACACGTTTCTTCTCGGCTTGCAAGGTCTCATTGGCAACTTTTGCTTCTGCTTCTTTCTCTTCAGCCGCGTCATTTTCGAGTTGAGCTTTGAGGTTGGCGATGACGGTATCCTTGGTATCCCTCTCAATCTTGACTGCATCGAGTTCTTTTCTAAGTCGATTGATTACATTATTCCTTTCACTGAGACTCTTCTCAGCGCCCTCGGCTCGTTTTAAGCGCTCTGCCAGAGATGCAGCTTCCTTTCCGGCCTTTTCTTGTTTCTTTTTGATTTCCGCAACTTCTTTATTATCCTCGAGAATTTTGGCACGAAGTTTTTTAATAGTGGTCATGTGAGTTAATTCTTTCTTAGACAAAGCCTGACCTTCTTCCATGAGTAAAATGATTTGTTGTTCTTTCTCGGCCAATTTCTTCTCCAGACTTCCAGATGGTGCAGCATTCTTAGCATTGCTAGCTGACTCTAGACTTTCTTTTGCCAAGTATTTTAGTTTTGCCTGAAGCGCATCAATGCGCTCTATGTAACCATGAACTTCCTCTTGCCTTTGTAATTCTGAAGTTTCATAGTCTGACTGTAGTTGACTAAGAGCTGCCTCGAGTTGCGCCGGACTTTTTGATGTCGGAACCGCATCAGTTACTGGAGTAGTTGTTGGTGGTTCATCAAGGGACGAACTGGTTGTCGTATCATTTTGTGGAATAGAGTCAAGAGATTCCCGGGGTATACTAGAGGTAGTGGAATCTGTTGACAATCGAGACGTGGGTTCGGCTTTCAAGGTAACAACTGCATTGGGTGATGCTTGCTGCGGTTCTGTAGTCGTTTCTGGAGTTGGTTCGACGATTGGAGTACTCGATTGAACCTCCACTGTAGGTATCGTAGGTGTATCCGATTCAATAGTATTCGCGATTGTAGTAGACCCAAGGTCTTGAGAAACTCGTTTCGTCGCCTCATCCCCTCCTAGATTAGAAGTCGCATCTAAACTCTGTCTCGGACTTTCGCCGACCGTAATTGGGCTTCCGGTCCTCGAAGGTACATTCGAAGATGTTGACTGTGCGCCAGCCTTCTGTGCATTCTTTGCAGCTACTGCCCTCGCTAGACGTTCTTGTAATCGATCGTTTGTTCTACTACTACTATTTGATGCGCTTCGAGAAATTGCTAGAACTGTTAGATCAATGCGTATGTCAAGGACTTGGAATGAATTTACATACCCGTCTCTGGTTTTGCAGCACTTGTATTGCCAGCTGCAGGAGTTGGTTTGTTTGCTTGACCTTCCTGACCTTCTGCCAATAAGATATCCAACCTTGATTCCAATCCTCCTACTGCTTGTGACAAGAACCCCCATCTCGAGGAACCTTGTTTCGCCGGACTCGTCATGATTGCTCAATCTTCCCAATTGAAACACGTTGCTTCCGTTGATTGTTGAATATGATCAGATCATACATTGCATTTCGTGAGCCCGCAATAGGAAATGGATGTAGCCTCGTAAGACGAAACGGTTTCTGGAATTTGATTTTGGTAAATTTAACTTCCAGCAGCCCTTGAATTGGATGGATAGTATTGCGAAATATACCTTGGGTATCTTCGCATATTTATCCGTGGGAAAAAAAAGTACGTATACTTCATTAAAATGTATACTCACTTTTGCATCTTGCTTGCGTATTGCCGTGGCTGAGACTCTTCCCTTGATACTGGACACGATTTGATTATCTAACCAATCATAATTACGAAATAACCCTGTTGGATCTGCGCAAGGCTGGCAATGACATTTCTGGGCAAGGCGAGGCTATCTTTTCGTGGGGGTCGGGGTTATTTCTTTCATTGGCTCGATTGGTCTCCTCAGATCTGGTGGATATTTGAATTGAAGCATCAACGACAAAAACAATATACTTTCATCAATCAATAGCAAAAGTTTGAGCTTGAAAATGATTCATATTCATATTCATCTTCATGTTCTATGGGAAAGGGTATCAATATGTATGCTGCTACACCGTTAATGTTAACGAGACAGTCATCTACCTACTCATACTCGATTCCACACTCTATTCTAACATTATTAGAGAGACACAGACAGTATTCTTGGCCCGGATCATAACCAACCATCACCAATACCTTTTTTCAAACCGATTTTCTAGACTCATCTTTTGTATGTCCGTTCCTTCTTCCATTCGAAATCTTGCTATGCTCAGGGCGTGTAGTGACTTCCGGAAGACTGAAGTAACGTGGCCAATTCAAGACATATTCATCTTGTCTGTCATTCAAACAATGTCGCAGCCAAATACCCCAGACCAAGTAGAAGTATGATCCAATACCCGTCATCAAGTGCCACCAACCATGGCCTTCGAGTAACAAGCCCCATGGAAGTCCAATTTCATGTCTCCATTGTCTGACGGTCGAGCAATAATGATTATCCAAAGACCATATACCAAAACCACCCAGAAATATGGAAAGACCTAAGCCGACCATCAACCACATTTCTTTAAGGATTTCATATTGTCTCTTCTCATTTGCTACACGATCGGAATGGGAAGTATCCGGATGTTCGTGAGAAAGTTCTGTGGTAGCATATTTCTTTCGAAGAGAAGGACGTATGTTAACTTCCATCACATACATGGAACGGAATAACACGGTAGCTGTGAGAAGCGCAAATGCATTCTGATGGAAATCCGGATCTTGAAGATAATGGTAGTAAAGCTATTGATATTTTCACTTTAGTATAAAAGCGTGAAGTTTCCGAGGACGAAGCTATGCTCACCGTTATGAATACAGATAGAGATATCAAGCTAAATGCTAATGCTTGTCTGAAGATGCGGGATTGAGAGAAGGAGAAAGTCGCATAACACATCAAACATGTAGTATAAATCATAGAAAGTTCATCTACGAGTTGCATAGGATCTGAAGCAGCATCATGTCAATAATTGAACACTTTCGTAGGATAGATGTAACTTACACTTCAAAGTTGAATGAAACAAGAATGAACCTGGAGCCATGTCAGCTTGATTTCATGTCAAGATCAACCAACTAGCTCACCTGTTCCTACAGCTCCATAACCTAGAAAGGCCACCAAGAATACACTATCATGATCATATCTCAAACAGTTCCGACTGCCCTTGATGCACAGCCATATAAAAAGTAGGTTGGTAAGAGTATTGACGATTTCGGCAGAGTATATAGTGGCATAATAATCCTCTATCATTCAAGGTTAGACGAGAGTAAGTAAAGTCTGAGTTTGGGAGGTATTGCCTTCACACCAATTAATGGTCGAGGTTACAGGAGCCCAATAACCTTCTTCTGGTCGCGCAGGAGGATATGGAATCGATGGGAGATGGAAGCCCATTGTGACAATCAGAGAGGAGGAATTTTTGCAATGATCGCCCGTAGTGAAGAGGAGGATATATATCCAATATTCAATATCCAATATCCAATATCCAATGGTTGATCGCACAAGGGCGGGGGGGGGGGGCCTTTGATTGGATACTGCAGCGATGAGAGACAATAATGATAGACGGAATATGTTTTGAATACTGAACGACAAACGTTCAAAAAGATTGAAAATATCTAGATTGATCCCATACACACACACATTGGGTGAGTTTTTGACTTTGAACTTATTAAAGTACCGGTAACCTTCTTTACTGCTTCGAACTATTTTCCCAGGTCTTGAAGTGTGTCAGGAAGTGAAGGGTCGACCCTGGTCGAATGTGAGAAACGCTTAAAAATGCAAGTCGTCATTCCAGTCAAGGTGGATCAAATACGATGATTTCGAGCTTTCTGGACCGGAAGCTACGGGAACTACTCGAGTAGATTGATAGAAAGGGTTGAGATTACCTTGATTGGAAGATATGTTCCGTATTATTACATGTGTAGTGTATAATAGGCAACGGATCAATAATGAGAGAGACAGCCTCAAGCAAGGTAGAAAGCAATAAGTAATGCTAGCAGTAAATTCTTAATCGATTCGTCTATCTATAGCTAATGCTACGCCGACATGGAAAGCAAGGTATAGGATGGTTATTATGATGTCTACCGGGGAGTATTTACATCAATGCCTTGAGCTACGGACTATATACTTGGGCATGTTGTCTATGTTGTCTATGTTGTCTATGTTGTCTATGTTGTCTATACTATACTGTCTATACTGTCTACCGAGGTATCAAACTCATGTATACACCTGTTGGTCTCACAGTCAATCTCAATATGTGCTAAACCTTGATAGAAATGGTCTCGAGACAGTATAAGCTTATACCGATTCTGCCGTCAGCCTCCCATCTCACCGCCTTTCTTATCGCAACTCCTTATCAGCAAACCACATGATATTGGTGAAAATAGTTCCCCACGCATATTGAAACTAGCAGACAGTACAGCTACCAGTCAGTATTCAACGAAGCAAATATATTGAGGGAAACGGTGAAGAATCAGACACATCTTAGATCCAACTCTTTGACGCCCACTTCCACACACGTCTTATACAAACATGTCTATCTCCAACGAAGCTTTACAAAAGGTGAAACTCAAGAAGACACTCTCCATTCCATTCCGGCCTCCTGTTCCCTCCCAAATCTTGCTATATCAAACTCAAAATAGGATATCACTAATATTCCCATAGCTAGTCAACGAGATTCAATCTCAAGCCATTCAAGCCGAGCAGCAAATCAGTGTCGTCAAATCTCAAATTTCTCTCAAGCAACGCGAAATCCGTAAACTCGAACTCACATCCACCGAAGTATCCACGTTACCACCTGACACCAATGTATATGAGGGAGTTGGTAAAATGTATTTATATTCCTTCCACTTCCGTTTCTGTCCAACTTTCATCTCCACCGGTTCTTCCTCTCACTTCACGTCATTTTTACTTTTTCTTGGTTGTTAGACACATGATCACTTCACGAGATATAACAAACAAGCATTAATAATTGGACAGGTTTGTTTTCAGCCCTACAGCTGATGTAGACAAGAGATTAAATCGCGAGACTAAAGACTTGAAATCCGATATTGATAATTTGGGCAAGAAACTGCAATATTTAGAAACGACGTATGAGAAGAGTACGGAGAATATTACGAGGATTCTTCAAAGTGGTGGTCGTGCTTGATGGAAAGTATCATACATGTTGGACACATTCTCGAGGCATTTGCATTGTAGAGTTTATGAAAAAGCTGTGATCGGTATGATAGTCGGCTCTCGTTAATGGCCGGGTCGTTTCTCTGGAAGGATTTGGCTTGGGATGGATGATTGACTGACTGATAGTGGGATTTGGGATTGGAGGGTGTGGGGAGGGGGAATATGAATTGTGTGAAGGGGTCATATGAACTCCCGAGTCTTTAGAGACATGCCGTAGAAACAAACAAGCTCAAAAACTTCATATCACACTCTCTCTATCTATTGAATAATAGTTTGTGGTGTATGACTGAATCTCTCTCACATCATTTAGGAGGAGGGAACAAGAGTGACGTGATTTTGGAAGTGCTTGAATAAGGGGGATATAAAGTTGTTGAGTTCACACGGGTAACTACCTACTAGGTAGTATTCAATGTCATGTGGAGAGATGATACAAAACACAAAATTAGTTTTGGTGAATATGATTCGTTGGCATTGTCATACACGGACGGGTATCAAGCATTTACTAGATACCCAGTCCTCAAAATAGATGGACGAATAGGTCCTACCATAGAAACCGTTCTCAACTTTCTTTCCAGCACTAATTTCTGCCTACTCTTTCATCATAACTCATCATCCAATAATTCAAAATCCGAAAAGAAGGTATGGAACTCGATTCTACTCCGACCTACTCCAAAGTTGGGGGCTAAAAAGCCCAAGCGAATGAAATCTAAGCGCTAACCCAACCCCTCCCCTTTTTCCGATCCCTCTTTTTCGAATGCCCAATCTATACACCATCCTCATCTCATCTCATCTCACACAGCGTATCGCGAAACTCCCAACCCAACAATTTGTGTATCTTTTGTCTTCCATACTCTTTTCCTCCACCCCACCCTTTACTTTTCCCTTCATACATTTCTAGATTCTTCACCAACCAACGAACCACAACTCCACGTAAAACCTAAAACGCTTTTTCAACGTTCGGTTACGTTACAGTGGGGAAATATCCTTCAGAGCCTCAAGTGATCAAAGTCTAAACTCCTCAATCATAGTGTTACAATGAGCCTAATCCAATCTTACATCAAGCATTAGCATTGACATTAGCATGAGCACTTGTACCTACTTCTCTATTAACACCCTACAATACCAAGCATATCGTCTATCCCTACCCACTAACTCCCCTTCACCATAGGATCAATTTACGAAAGCTAAATTGGATTCGATGGTTTAGCTGCTTAGCTGCATATAATTGACTTCAAAGATGCAGTAGCGCAAGAGCATCCCCACTAATATCGTTAGGGCTGTACGTACAAGAGTACATGGGATAACTAACAGGAGTGAGAATTGCTCTTCTTGAACCATGGTGTGTATACTTGGGATAAACTCAGGGTGTTCTACAAACCCGTCGTGATCATTCACCTCTCTGTAAATAATAATACTCGGAAATGATTCAAAGATAGAGACTAGGTATCTATAACAGCCCAGTAACGCAAGAAATAAATACAGGGGAAAGGCAACCACATCCACAAGTCCAAGTAAATCAGTCATTCAGCCGCTCCTCGGAGGGAAGTGAGGGGGGATTTCCAACCACACCTCGGGACACACCTTGAATAAATGCAGATGCAGTAATTCCCCCCAATCTAATCCAGTAAAAGACTCTCAAATAAGCCCATGCCCATTCCTGCTGACAAGACACCCGCTTGATTTCTTTTCCTGTCTTTCCTACCTACGACTACTTCCTTCCTTCCTTCTTCTCTTTACTTCTCTTCAACATACTACCTAGGTATCCAGTATCTCAGTACAGAATAACACAGTGGGATATCCTACTGAAGATCCCCAAACGAGAAGCTCTATTTGAAGGACCAAGCAACTCAACTAGCAAGACGTAGACGGTCTTCAAAAAGCTTATCGCACCACATTTCATCCTATCTCAACGTCGCAATCAACATATCCCAACCCCTCGGTCGCTTCATCGCGGGGTCAGACCGACCAACCAACCAACCCAACCAAACCAAACGGCCCATCTATCCAAAAGTCAAATCACTCTTCAAAAGTCACAGAGCATATATAGCATCTTACCATTTCGAGTACTGTCTCCACATCAAGAGAATTCTACTCCTTTTTCTTTCTTTCTTTTTTTTTTTTTTTCCAACTCCCAAAAATAAATAAGTAAAAAGAAAGAAACCAAAAATGGCACGACACTACTACAACGACGACGAAGAACTCGACATCCACATCTCCCGCGAAACACGGGCCCGCGACCCCGCCGCCCCAATCCCCTACCGACGACCCCAGCACCCACCCGTCCCCGCCTACCGCTACGGCACAAGCACCTATCTCACTCCCGAAATCTCCTCTGGAATCCGCCGCTCCAGATCAACCAGTCATGGCGAACGCTCTCCCATTCCTCCGCCTCCCCCCGCGGCCCCCACTCCAATCGCTCAACCCATCATCGTAGATAATTCCCGCCGCATCTACAACGACTACGACAGCGACAGCGACTCCTCTTCCGCCTACGAATCCCGACGCGCGCGAAGCCGCTTGAGCGTGGGTGAAGTGGGAGGGCGTCGAAAACATCGCAGTCGCAGCCACAGTCGTCATGTGAGTCTGTCGCACAGTCACAGTCCGTCGTCCTCTGGCCGACCGAGCTTCACGCGTGATGATTTTGAATTGGAGCGTACGCGCACGGAGCTCGAGCGGATCAGGTTGGAGAAGGAGAGAGAGCGGAGTGAGAGATTGGTACGGGATGGGGGGGAGTTAGCACGCTACAGAGCGGAGAGCGAGAGGGAGCGAAATGAAAGATTGCTGCGCGAAGATATCGAATTGCGCATGACGAAGGGGGAATTGGAACGGTACAAGTCCGAGCGGGAGCGCGAGCGCGAGAGAGAGAAGAACGAGAGGTTGTTGAGAGAAGATGTGGAGCTGCGCATGACGAAAGGAGAATTGGAGCGCATCCGATCCGAGAAAGAGATGGAGAAGAAGGAACGCATGTTACGGGAGGAATTTGAATTGCTGTCTCTCAAGGAAGAGAAGAAGCGCATGGAGAAGGAAAAGCGCACGCAGGAAGAGAGGGAGCGGGCTGATAAGGAAATTCGTGATACATACGAGCGTATGAAGCGAATGGAACAGGAGCGACACGCTCGCGAGAAAAAAGAACGCGATGAAGCCATCGAGAAGTACAAGCGAGAAGAAGCCGAGAAAGCTGCTCGCGAACGCAAAGAACGGGAAGAAATCATCGAGAAGTTTAAGAAGCAGGAAGCGGATCGTTTGGCTCGTGAGAGACACGAGAGGGAAGAGAGAGAAAAGGAATACCAGAGGCGTCTGCATGAAGATCTGCATAAAGCGGGTTTGAACGAACAACAAATCGGAGCGGTGAAAGCTGGAAAGGCTCTTCCTCCTCCGCAGGTTCAGATGCCTCCGCCACCGCCACCCGTTCAACATCCTCCGCAATATCAAATCCAACCTGCGGCTCCGAGACCAACGTATACGAGAATGTCGAGGAAACACTTGTCGATTGAAACTTTGAGGGTTTATGGAATTTCGTATGAATTTGACAAAGAGGTATTTACCCCATTTTTCTTCTTTTTCCCTTCCATCTATCTCCTTTCTCCTTTTTCCCTTTCCCCTTCCCTTCCTCCCTCCCCCAACCCACACCACCCACTAACTCCCCTCCCTCCAACCAGGACCCCGAATTCCTCCTCATCAAACGCTGGGTTCCCGAAGACGAACAAGACATCCTCTGGACACACACCCGTCAACTCCGCGAAACACGTGCTCCACCCCACACCCACAATCAACAACACACCATCGAGTACGTCAAGGAATACGTCGTGGAAGATCGCCACAAGAAGAAACATCATCACAAGGGTGATGATTTGCAATTGGTGATTGAGAGGAAGCATAAGCATAGTCATAGTCATAGCGGGAGTAGAAGTCCGAGTCCTTTTGTTAGGTGGGCGGCTGGCAGGTAAGATGGAAGGGAAGGAAATCGTGAGGGGGGGGGGGGGTGGAATAAGAAATTGATGATGTGATGTTTGGATGAAAGATGACGATGAAAGACGATTGATGAATACCTGGAGTGGAATGGTTAATGAGTCTGTTTTGCTTTAACGATTTTTTCAAACTTTTTTTCTTAGATGAACTCTCATCTCTTTTTCTATGTTATGTACTGAGCTTCAATACCCACGACACGGATCGTTAGCAACGATATTTTACTTCCGATAATAAAAACAATCAAGCAAAACATGCAAAAGTGAAGTTGGTATCATGATTCCAATTTCCATGGGGGTATTGCAGAGTAGTAATACAAGTCAAATGATGTGAGTAGCGAGTCTGTCTATACTCCTTCATGTTTCTCTCTTCCATCAAACAATCAACTCTTTCTCCCCCTTCAAAACCGACTCGGCCCTCCTAATAAGCTCTTCATAAATGGTCCAAGCCAAAGCGGAACTAACAGCCTTTCTACCCATCCTCAACCCCAATCCATCAAAAAGACTCTTTACCCCCTCCTCCCCCACCATCTTCTTCCCCGCCATAACCAAATTTGTATATTTTTTCGGCTGCAATTGGATCCTCGTTTTAATCGCATCAAAAGGATTCGTAATCGCCGTCGCCAGCCCTGCTGCCAATACGCCCGATCCAAAATTGATAGAAGCGCTGGTACTCCCCTTCATATTTTTGCTCAACCCCAAATCGACCTTCTCAGCCAAGCCCTCAACTTGAGGAGACGAATGGACAATATGACTCAATCTCTTCTTCAACTCTTCATAAAACAACACGTATAATCCCGCATACGGAGCATCCCTAATCGCCGTGGCTCCGAACCCAGAGAAAAATCCTCGGAACCCTTCAGTAAGAAATATATCTCGTCCGGCGCCCACAATCGATTTGTACGCATACAAATTCGATTCATATCTTACTTTGATAATAGTCATAGGCATGAGAATAAAGCCGGCTCCAGCTCTCGCCACCGCCCCCGTTGACAAATTCGCTAGATTCGATAACTTGGGTAGACTGGATGAATGGATCATGGTCTTCTGTTCCACGACCCCAATTGTCCGGAGGAGATTTGATCTTGCGACATTCTGTCGCAGAGCATTTAAACTGGTGAAGTAAATGGCGGAACCGAATCCGGTGCGTAAAGCAGAGGGAACGGTTCCCCGCCAAAAAGACCGGATGCTATTTGGTGACCGCGAGAGCTCGCGAATGGTGGTGTAGAGAGAGGCATGGTTACTTTGTTGCACGCGGGTTTTGAGAAGATCGGCGGGTTGGAGGAGAACTGCGGAGAGAATTCCTGATCCTAATCCTGCTCCGAAGTGGAAATCTGGAAGAGGAGCATGATGTTAGTCTTATATTCTTACTGGAATGAATTGGATTGGATCGAATTAGATTGTAGGTGAAATATACTCGAAGTGGCGGGGCAAATATATCCTAGCTAGAGCAATACATACAAGAAGAGGATTTTTTCCCAGCATTTCCTCCATTTGACATTTCGCTTTCCTAAATTTATAATGGCATTTCGGTTGCTAATCGATGAAAGAATTGGATTCTTTTATGAATCCAAAAGTTGCTCACGTCAGGTTGCAGTACTGTGAGAGTGGAGGGATTTGGGGGTTGTTCAAAAAATGTTTCGATAAAAGTTCGGGTGCTTTGATTTCTTTGATGGACGTCATTTTTTTTCGGAATTCCGCATGGGAATGGGGGGGGTCCAATCAATTTGGGTGGTGAGGAAGTATATCACAATGGTTTCACGCGATAAGAGGAAATGAAGTGAAGATGTTGGATTTGAATTTCTTGATCATTGAAATAGAATACAGATATTACGTATATATAATCGTCTAATGTATTCAGATAACAATTGTTGAACTGAATGATAATGTTTCATCTGAAATCACAATCCCACTTTCCCGTCCTGGCTCAAATCCGTTTCCATCCCATCAGAAGCTTCATCGTTTGTCAGCAGTATCGACCAATATCAATATCAATATCACGTCACACTCCCAGAGTATCTTTTCCCAAGAACACGAGATCTTTCACCAATTCCTCTTTGAATTATTCGAATAAGTCTTTCAGTATGGATCAAGATCAAAACACAGAAACTATCATCGTAAGATATCATCCCAAGTCACATCAATATACAACTAACTCTCCCTAGGGAATAGGACAATTATGTTCCACAGCAGACATTCAACAAAATCTTCTTACATGTCAAAAACTTGCCAAAGAAGCATCAGAGCAAGGAGCAAAAGTTTGTTTCTTCCATTCCTTTGCTCCTAATACCCGAACCTCAAATATCAATTTCTATCATCTCAACTTATCTCACACTAACCCTAGGCACTCTTCCTCCCTGAAGCTACAGACTACATAACCACCCCCGGCTCACCACCCACCTCCCTCTCTCTCGCTCTCCCTATGAAAACATCCCCATTCGTTCTTGGTCTCCAATCCTCTGCCAAGGAATTTTCCCTAGCTATAAACGTCGGAATCCACGTTCCAAATGCTTCTGGAAACAAGGTCCTTAATCGATCGATCTGGATTTCTGAGTCTGGAGACATAGTGGGACAATATGATAAAGTCCATCTATTTGATTATGCAGCTGCGGGGCTGAAGGAAAGTGATAGTGTGGAAGCTGGAAAGAAGATTGGAGGACCGGTTGAGACGTGCGTAGGGAAGGTGGGATTGTTGATTTGTTTTGATGTGAGTTATGATTTTTTGGTTGTTTCGCGGACTTGAGTTTGTACGATTTTGAGTGAAGGGTTGGAAAAGGAGATATCATAGTTGATATTCCCCTTTGAAACGGTCTTCAGTATCAAGGTGACTCTTTCGTTTCTTTCTCTTCTCCTGATCACTCCCCCCTTTCCTTAAGCCATGCCTCCTTCAAACTCCCCTCCCCTTTCCACTCAAACCCAAAATTAACCCCCCTCCCCCATTCATAGCTCCGCTTCCCCACTGCCTCCCTCCATCTCCGCACTCGAAACACTCAAATCCTTACCTACCCCTCCGCCTTCACCATTCCCACCGGCCTCTTACATTGGGAAACTCTTCTCCGCGCCCGAGCAATCGAAACCCAATCTTATGTCGTCGCCGCTGCGCAAGTCGGTTCTCATAATGTCAAACGGAAAAGTTACGGACATTCTATGGTTATTGATCCGCTGGGCAGGGTTGTATTGGATATGGGAGGGGAGGGGGATGTCGAAGGAGAAGAGAGCACTCTTGCAAGCGGAAAGTTGGGAATTGCGAGGATTGATTTGGGAAAAGTGAGGGAAGCGAGGGAAAAGATGCCGTTGATGGCCAGAACGTGAGTGCTTTGTGTGTTTTCCAATTTATTTGGGTGGTTGCTGATAGATTGACTTAGTGATGTTTTTGAGTGAGAAATGCGAAGTCAACAACCAGTAATGAACAGCTAACAATAGAATATAGACGACATATAATAGATATAAATTTCAATATACAAATCTTAAAAATGTACACCGCTTTCTTTTTTCCTACCATAAAGCCCTTTGATGCAAAGTAGTTGATATCTATGCCAACCAATCCTGTCCATTGTTGAACCCCGTTTTTGATAACCCATTTTCCAAATGTATATGCTCCATTCAATCATCAATCCGTACCCATGAAATAAGCCCCTGATCTGAAATTTATCGCTCAGCTCTTTTTTTTCAAAAAATAGCAAAATACTTTATCTCTCCTAGCCATCACCATGATCTACCTGCACTACCCCATGCCACTTACTACCCCGTACCCACACTTCCCCGGTTTCACACCTTAATTCCCCGCACTCTATCATGTCCGTTCACACCTGTACAAATCGTCTCTCATGACTCCCACAAATGATTTACAATCCCTTCTTACCCTTCTTTCCACTCCTTTCTCTTTCCCTCTTGGCATAAATTTCAGCTGTAAATGGATCCTCAAATCTCAGTGCCAAAAGATAAACAACCAACACCTCGACCGTGAGCAAGATGCCCGCCGGCTTTCCCCACAAAAGTGCTGTGCCCAAGAAACTCATTGTGCTCCCATAATACATCGGGGCACTACTGACATTGAACGGAAAGCCCGTCACCATCTTATCCATCAAGATTCCAAAATAATCACCGAGATATGTACCCGTGACACCAAGAGCCCACATCGAACTCAAGACAAGTGTGTTACCGGCAAGAAGGAGTGCATAAGATGCATATTGGACAAGAGGAGAGAGAAGTAATGGATGAGTAGGTTGAGAGCGAAGAGCGCGTTCATAGAGGAAATCGCGGAAGATACCGAGGGAAAAGATGGTGACGGCGAGGAAGTAACATCCATATCTTGAATTTCCATTGAAGAGTTTCGTGAGGATTTTGTTATGGTATTCTGAAAATTGGGCAATTATATCAATAGGTGCTTTTGGGCTATAAGTGGGATTGTTTCAAATGTACCTTGACGAGCGACGGTACTGAGAGATTGAGTTAGTTTGTCATTTCTTGTGAGAGAGGAGAGGAATGTGTAGCTTACTTCCAGAAAATGGGGTTGAACGCAATAGATGCTGCGGCAACTAGAAGTTCTGGTCAGTATTTTATGAAGCTATTGCTGGGGTCGTTCCGTATCGACATACTTGCGAGGCTTTTCTGGTCAAAGTCGACCAGACCTTTGTTATTACCTAGGAAACTCGTCATGGTTGCAGAGTGTATAGGAAGAGATGTGAGATGTGATAATTGAGGTTATTCCACAAAAGACAGATATTGTAAAAGAAAAGAAATGGACAGATTGTCTTCTATGAGATTCTATAAAAGTGGTTGTCAAAAAAGGTATGGGAAATCTTTCACGTGAAAGGCTCAACAAAATCATTATGTATGTACATACCCTTCGTACCCTTACCTGTTCTCATGACGTCTTTTTTTTGGAAGCGAGTTTCAAAAGAGTGACCTCAGAAAAGGAAGCTTAATAAGCACGTACATCACCAATACCTGGGTGTAGAATTTCCACCAAAATCATGACCTTCCTACCTTCCTACTCTGGAATCATAATAATAACCGATGAATGGTTGAATAATATAATTTGCATTTCATACCGACTAATATACCTAAATTTCCCTATAAATTTCGATTTGCTCATTGTCTACCACTCACTCCATTTGTTGCATTCAATACAGAATGCATAATATAATGCAATCTTTCCTAATTGCGCCATCATGATTTCCCCCCAAGGTCATGGTATCTTCATACAGTAAGTTTATCCCCTGGATTCCTGTTCAATTTCCATATCCCATTACGCCTGCCTTCCTTCCCTTGACCCAAAATAATGTTACCCATGATATGATATGATTCGGTATGTCAGATCACTGTCGTCTCGTTCTAGTTTTCTTGGCTGTCGTTGCAGCATCTTCCTCTTCTTCATCTTGTCCTTTCTTCAAGTCTTCATCCAATCCCCATTCGTCTTTATCATACCAATCCTCACCATCTGACATATCACGGTTGTCACCGACATGTCCTTCGGCTTTTGTCCATTTCAAAACCAAATGGCGCATACGATCGGCTCTCAATAATCCGTCGTACACTTTCTGGGCTCCTCGGATAATCTCTTCTTGCTTTTGAATATAGTGTACCAATAATCTCCTCAATTCGTCAGCCTCTCCATGAGGTAAATAAAGGTCTCGATCAGGATACGAGTTCTCAGGTGCCAAAAAATAAGGATGAACGAAAGGCTCGCCATTCAAATCGGGTGTGATAGACCTCGAACGAGTCGCATTGTCGAACACCGCCTGTGCTTGGGCGCGAGTCCTCATACGGCGAGGAACAGCATTCATGACCGTATCGTCTTCATTATCTCCAGCCATTGGCTCGATATCCATTGCATCCCCGGGCCCTTGCGAACCCTCTTGGTCCATCTCAACATTGTCTGGCGGCGGTGTTAAACCATGTGCCAATTCTGAATCGTTGCCAGTGCCGTTTGCGACAGATGTGTCGGCAATTTCTCCATTTACCGAGTTAGATATCATGTCTTTGTCAACATCCAATGCCTTTCCTTTCCCTTTCAAAGCCTGAAGGGCAGCGACTCCAGAGGCAGCATCGCTCTCGATACCCATAATCATCAATCCTGAAGCAGCTACGCTATCGTCGTCAGAAGCCAGAGCTACTCTCGACATCATATCCGCGTGCTGTTTTGCAATCCTCTTCACCTGAGCCCGATGACGTTCCGTTTCTGTCTCAAAGAAAGAAGCGTCATAATCAGTTTCGACAGTTTCACACGGCATCCAAGTATCATGGCCACTGAGTCGAGTTAGGAGATGTTTAATCTTCCATAAAGATGCCATTTCTTTCTGAAGCATCTCCCCCGCATTTTTTGTTAATTCTGTTAAAACCTTGGATGTGAAGGGCTGCGATAATTTTGGATGGTCAGGTAAATCGGAGGCAGAGGTTAGAGGTGCAAGGAGTTCTACTCGAAAGAATTAGCGAGAGACTTCCAAAGTAACAATATTTTGGAATCACGAACCTTCTAGTTTTATATTTGCATATGGGTCGAATTCTGCTGCTGCTGCCTTCGCGATTGAAATCTTCTCTTCATCTTCTTCGTCGCTATCGATATTCTCGCCGTCTTCGTCAATAAGCGGGGGTTTCCTACTAATAATATCTCTCGTGTAGCCGGCATGTTCAATTGTCTATTGGTAGACAAATATTAGACAAAGATTCTCGATACTATCCTCAAAGTGCAAACATTACCTCTCTGTATATATGTCGACCATTTGGCGGGGCCAATTGACCTTGCTGCACGTATCTTGCCCTCTTTCGTAATTTGTTTCCTCGATTTGTAAGTCTTTCGATCGAAGCATCGGAATCTGATTCTGCCAAATTATATCAGATATATCGATCAACTTATTGCTCTAGTGTAGACCAGTATATACCATATGCTTTTCTCTTGACTGCTCTTTTCATAGCAATGATTGTATCCGCGATCATAGCAGCTTGCGAAGCCATTGTGACAATTTTCGAGATATGTAAATGAGAACAATATCTTTATGGCAGCTATATTCTTAGAGTCCTACGAGCATGCCGTGATTGTTCGCATTCGATAAAAGCATCCAAGAGCTGAATCTGGGGTGCCTTGAGTACGGGGTTGTTATGGAGGGTATTTGATCGCAATGAGTTTGTGGGAAATTCGAGTGTATGCGCCGGTTTACTTATCCTTGACTATAGGAAACAAGATGGGTCCCAAGTTTCTTATATCGAGAAGGAGGTAGGAGGGCAAGAAATGGGCAGAGAGGAATTTACAATGTACAATAGAAATAGAGTCGAGAATGATGAAAGTTATCTAAAGAAGCTTTGTACTTGCTAGGAGGGTACAGCGCGAGGCTACATCAATCGGCATGTCGGTGCTTATATTAGAGAATGATCCGTGCATCGCAAAATAATCAGCCTTTCGCAGGTATCCATGGTCTGAAGTTGTGAACTTGTGTATTTCTGTAAGATGGAAGCATTGAAATTAATACACCAGTATATTGCATTTGAGTAACAGTCTTATCCTACATCTTCTTCCACCAATACTTTGATATTTCAAGAGGCTGCGTTCAGATCCAAGTTAATCGTTGAGTTCAGCCTTGCCTATCTTCACATTCGAACGATTCATTCCACAATCGACCAATCTATGTTTACGAAATAACATTGTCTAGCAACGAATCCTGGACTACTTCCATCTGTAGTCTTATGGAGCTATTGAGACCACAAGACCATCAAGATGGATGGGTATGCGACTCCATATATTGCGCATAATTTACCACTGCTCATAGTCTCCGGCTTGGGCGCTGATCCATCGTCGACCAATGCCAGATTGAAGGAAGGAGGGGTGCTAATCACTTCTGATATTGCCCCGTTGGAATCAGAGGATGCAAACTTCATTCTACAGTATTTCAAAAAGAGTGACGCGGAAAATCTACCATGGAACGGACACGAGCATAGTGAGAAGAATAAGTTCAGGGTGAAGGTTATTGGACGGGTAGCTAAAGATGGACCACTCTTCTTGGAGTCATTCACTGAAGGGTTCATAGGATTATATATTACCAAGTCGCAAAGCTCCACCTCCAACGAATACCTCGCATTCCCCCGATTCTGGGAGCCCTGTTCCTAATTCTAGACTAATTTTGCACTCCCCGTTATCTCCACTGACCCTGGATCAACGGTCTTCCCAGATGGATTGTTGGATACAAAGTGGTTAGACAAACACCAAGATCTCGTACCAAGCGCATATCTTTCATTCTACAGCTTTACATCTGATCCGAACTTGGCAACTTTACATGATAATCAGTTGAAAACGGATATCAACAATATAAAAAATATATTGAACAAATCGGGTTATAAAACTCGGCTTATAGTTGCATTATTGAGCGAAACACCCGGCGTGCCACTTCCTGATGTAGAAGAGCGTCTTTCTAATATTCGTAAAGCAACTGGTCTTGATTCGAAAACTTCCTTGTTTTTCTTGCCTCCACAAAGCTCCTCTGTTGAAATTGAAGCATTTGTCGATACGATCTATTTTACTATATACCCGCTTTGTGTTGAATATTATCGTGACTTGAGCAAGCACTCAAGAAGGAAGCGCAATAGAGGTGTGGTTCCACCTCCAACAGCTCCGCCCACGTCAGGAACTTCACAAACATTAACTGGACAAGGGTGGAATGTGAGATATGACTTTAAGCTTGGAGTCTTTGCCGAATTCAGGCAGGAAATGGATGTAGCTGTTCGTTCATATGAAAGTGGCTACGAAGCATTGTTGGGTGAAGAGGTCCTCGAAACCATTGCTACATGGAGTCCTCGATTCAACGAAGGGCGTCTCATCGCCGATGTATTTGCAATCAGAATACTGCGTTGTCTACTGTGGAATGGACATTCATCAACTGCAGTCCGCAGATGGCAAATACATCGGGATAGGATACGTGACTTTGTGGATCGTAGAGGTAAAGGTTCATCAACATATGGCTGGCAAGCATGGGAAGCTCGTTGGGCAACTATCATGGCTGAGATGATTGAGAAAGTTAACTTCGCGGATTTTACTCAATCTAACTCGACCGTATATTTACCACTCGACAAAGTTACTTCAAGTGGGGTGCAACCATGGGAGAATCTTCATCATCCAGGTTATTGGTATCGCGAGGCTTCTAAACATTTAATGGCTCGTCGAGCTCTTGCCTTAGCAATACCAGAGGAAGATAGGTCTCCGCCTGGATCATCTCCCGCTTCACAAATTGCGAGTAGAGTTTATACTTATGATACATACCTTTGCCCTCAACCTCACGAGGAAAACCCTTTACCAGGTCGGACAGGCGTTGATCATGCAAGTCTTGTAATTGACGTCCTGAACAAAGCCATCACCGAATTTCAGGCGAGAGGACAACACCGTCTAGTGCAAGAGCTCCTATTTCAATGTGGAAAAGAACATATGAAAAGGGAAGCATGGGATGATGCATTACGAATTCTTCGTGCCCTGTGGCAGAAAATGACGTACAGGAATGAGGGGTGGTGGATTGTAGTTGAGGAGATTGCATGGACTTTGAGAAAGGCTGCTGCTAAGGTCGGCGATGGAGGCACAGTTGTTGCTGTGGATTGGGAACTTCTACATAATTGTCAGTATATCATGACATATAAAATTCTATCATTTGTTAACATTCAACATAGGCTTTGCTCGTCAATCGAACTGGCATTACAATATCGAAAAGTCTTTAGACGGCTTAAACACAGTCAAGGTGAAGCCCGCCATTGTACTTCATGCTGAAGAAGTTCAATCCTTCTTGACTGCGTCATATGCTTTCGAGAAGTCTGAAGGGAAGGTGGGTGAGCATTCATTGTCTCAACTAGCAATCAGGTCTTCTGCTCTAGCTTCGTCGACGCCTGTAACCATTAGCGAAATACGCGTAGAGTTTACAGGTAGTATGAAAACCATTCTTTTACGGCATAAAGTAAACACTGAATCTTCCGAGACTTTGAAAGCTAGCGTCTTGTTTAAGAAAACTTCCTTGATTGACGAATCAACTGTGGAAAAGGGTCATGATCCCGAAGATCCACCTACTCGACACACGCTGACAAGCTATGAGGATCTTACTTTCAGTCCTGGTCAGGTTAAAGCCTTCGAATTTGTTAATCTACTTCGAGAAGCAGGTGATGCAAAGGCTTTGAAGGTCACCTTTTCGATTGCCTCTGAGCTTTTCGATTTTGATTATGTCCATTCATTTGACAGGCCATCATTCCCTGAAATGTGGTATGGTGATAGTGGAACAAAGAAGAAGATTGTTCGTACCAGGCCATCATCCATTCACGTACTTCCCAAACCACCTAAGCTGGAGTTACGTATCCTCGAATTCCAGGAGCAGTATTATACAAATGAACTTGTCTCTTTACATCTCGAAGTGAAAAATGGAGAGGAAACCGATTCTGTTGTAGACCTAGAGGCCCGTCTTCTTGGAGAAAACATTCCATCAAATATTTTCTTACGACGTCTCGATAAAACGAGTTCACCAAGCGATACTGAATCTGAAGAAGAAGATCATGAACTATCACTAGGTACTATTGCTAGTGGCTCTTCTATCACAGTGGAAATGATCATCTCATCGATAGATCTACCAGCAGTCTATGATCTTAGTCTCAAAGCTTCATACAACCTCGTAACAGATCTGGAAACACCTATCTCACAAGCGATGTCAGCACAACTTTCAATCTTGAACCCCTTTGAGGCCAACTATGATTTCTCTCCTCGAATTCATCCAGACTCCTGGCCGAGCTTCTTTACACATGAAGAATCATTGGAAATCAGCCAAGATGGACAAGATAATGACCGCGAAGCGTTTGGATTGGCACAAAAATGGTGTCTAACGACTCGCTTTGCTTCATTCGCAACAGAAGACGTAATTGTCGAAGATGTTGATGTCGAAATCCTCGGTTTACAGGGTGCCATCAAATGCTCCACAAAGAGACTAACCACAATACCCGAAGGCGGCATAAGAATTAGTCCGAATGAACTCGAAGAAGCTCAATTCGATACTTTCACGCAAAAATACTCATTGGATGACCGAGGCACAGCCACTCTTGACTTATCTCTCGTCATAAAATGGCGTAGAAGTAAAGATGGATCCACCATAAATACATGTATAGTACCTGTTCCAAGACTGCTCGTCTCAAGTAGCGAACCAAGAGTCCTAGCTGCAGTAACCTATTCTTCGACTATCCCATCTATGATACACTTCGACGTCACGATCGAAAATCCTTCACATCATTTCCTCTCATTCGCAATCACAATGGATCCTAGTGAACAATTTGCATTTTCAGGAGTCAAACAGAGTACGCTGCAATTAGTGCCGCTTTCGAGAAGAACGGTAAAATTTAGATTATTGCCGACGGTTAGAGGGGAATGGATTGGTCCTATCAGGTGTGTGATTAGAGATAGGTATTTCCAGAAGGTGTTAAAGATTGCGCCGACGGAGGGAATGAAGAGTGATAAGGAGGGATTACTTATTTGGGTGCCGAGTGATGAGGAGTTTTGATTTGGGTATGAGGTCAGGGAATGTATATCTTAGATGAAGAATTGATTGATTTGTTCTTACAGGGAAATTGCTGTGTCGCTGTGTTGCCATATGACATGAACGTCTTTTCACAAATGTTAGGTTCGACATGTGGTACAGTCCAGTGTTTCATTAGATATTTGTCAACAATAAGCCGTATTCAACACTCTCCCTTCAAACTTGAGCAAATTCAGTTGCTTGCGACTCGAAGGAGACGCATACCAACTCCATCACCACCAAGCCATTCACTTCCATAGGAACCATTTGTGCGAACCGCAAACACCCACCCACCTCGCCATTCCCACCTCACCCCCCGCCGCCCTATCTCCGTCCCCTTCCTCGCCTCTCCTAACCTCACCTCACCAATATAATCCCCAAACTCACCTTCCACAACAAGCACCCCCAACGTCTCGATGGCGCAGCGGTAGAGTTCACTCATTTCCGAATAAATGTTTGTCCGCCTCTCTACTCGCAATTGGCGGGGCTTCGAATCGGACAGTGACGCTGGGGTACCGCCACACCTGTGTAACATACAACATTGGGTGTACTGGGGCTGGTACTTAGGCGGGTCATTGGGGTTTGAGAGCGTCGCGCTCTCAAGCTTTTGCTGGTTTGGGGAGTGGGGCTTGATGTTTTGGTTCCTTTTTTGTGAGAGAGAGGGAGAGAAAGGGGGGGGATATGGATGGATTGGATGGAGGTAGATAATTTATGGGGCTTGAGAGAGGGGAGAGAAGTTAGGGCATTATTTTTGGGGTTTTGATTTCTTTAATTGGGGAAGAGGGAAGGAGAAAGTGAATATTATATGGAGATGTTTTTTTGGTGGGAACTGAGAGATGAGATGGGATGAGATAATAGCAGGTAGGAGTTCTCTTCACTGACTATCTATCCTCACTCCTTTATCATTGTGTTTCTCAAATGATTTCCTGCATGTATATCTGTATCTGCTCAAGATATAAATGGAAACAAAGCTCTCTAGACTTCACCGGAACCACTCTGCCCTTTTCAACCCTCACTTCTCCCCTTGTATAAATCGCAAGCCGTTGTGACCTCAGCTGTTTATCGCACGTTTGAGAAACGCATAAATGAAGACCTCTCTGGGCTTGGTTTCACATGAAGTTCTCGCTATTCAGCTTCAACCTGAAGAGCGCTTGGGATATCCCTCTACTCCATGCTTCTCTTCCTGCGTCTCTGCCGATACTTCCCAGAAGAGATGATTTCAGCACAAAGCTAGTAGTAACACAATTAACGCAGGTTTTCATCTGTCCTGTTCACGAGTCTCACACTCTCAACAAGAGAAATAAATATCTTCATGTTCGCATATCTTCATTCCGATCTCAATCTTCATTTGCACTTCTCCTCACTTCGCACTTCATGTTTACATCGGATACCGATTCCCACATGTGAGTACTGTAAGCTGTGAGTCCACTATGTATCCATGAATCCAATCTAATTCTCGTATATACATCACACCACAACACTGATCACATCATACATTCTCTACTCTCCAAACATAGCCACTCGATCGTTTCATCCACCGAATCTGCCATTCATCAAGACAATATAATATTCGTCTGCAAACTCCATACCAATGATGCATTCAGTAAAATCAACCCAACGCCTCTGCTAAACTGTCAAACACTCAAATGCAACCAGTCAGCTATGAACCCAAATCCCCAAACAAAGCATCAATAACTTCATCTAACAGCGTAAACGTAAGATGTGCACTAAATGTATACGTTAGTCTTGTCTCACTTCATTTCGTATCATTTCATTCAATTTCATCACCACCCGCACCCCCCAACTCGAATTTCAGAAAGCAAAAAAAAAAAAAAAAACACTTACTTCAGCCTCGGATTGTTGAACGTAGCAAATATCCTCCGACTAGCCGCCTGCGCATTCACCCTTCCTACCACGCTCCCCGCCAAATCCGGTATCAGTGTTGCCAACATCAAACTAGTTTCTTTTCTGCTCTTGCTCTTTTCCCCCATAGTTCTGGTCTTCCCTTCCACCTTCCTTTCTCCCCCAGGCCACATGGAATCTTTAAGTATTGAAATATACTTCACGATCATATCATCCTGGATAAACCCCTTTACGTTCTCCCTAACTTTTCTCTCTATCGTTCCACCTAAGAGTTGGTGAAGAACAACCACTACAGCACGGCCTCGCAACCAATTATTCCCACGATTGAGTTCGAAGACTTCGAGGAAGATGTCGCAGATAGGTTTTACGAAGGGTTCTAACTCTTTATCTTCGAAGGCGTTCAGTTCTGCTTCTGCTTCGGCTGCTGTTAGAGGGTCCTCGCTTATTGTTGAGGGCATGGTGATGAGCTGGTTGGTTGCTGCTGATAAGAGATTCTGCCCTGCGACTGAAAGTTGATCTAGAACTGGAATATTTCCTAGAATATCTTCCATTCCATCTGTTACTGAGTTGTAGAATCTTGTCATGATATCCTTCTTATTGTCGATGGCACCTGCGTCTTCTAATTCTGGAGCCAGAGCACTTTGAGAAAGGAATGCGCGCAACTCTCGACTTCGACACACATCTGGTAACAGAAGAATTTCTCGGAGATATTTTTCTAATGCCGCACGTCGCTTTTGAAGAAAGTCTCCTTGTAGCTTCATAACCATCCGTCTACGAGGAAAATCAAGATGTCCTACTGATGGATACTTGATTCTCAGTCGTTGATGAAGTTCATGAAACTCGCTGTAACGTCGAGTAATGGTCCAGGTTGCAGCTGGCATCTGTTCTCCGGCCTTTCTTTGTACTTCGATAACGTAAACAGCATACTCTCGACCGTCGTCCTCTTTTCCAACCATGATCGATTTGATTTTGATCGTGGAACGTCCATAAAGACTGTTGTCACTCTCTTGAATAACATATTGCTGTCTCTGAAGCTCTTTACGACGAATCTCTCTTTCTAAACTAGCCTTGGACTTTCGCAGGATCCTGAGCTCGGCTGTATTGTTTGTGAGGTCGGCTTTTCTTGTTAATGAATCAACCACAGCGTCTTGAGCTATAAGGCGATCAATGTCAGTAGTGAGAAGAGTGATAGCCTCTGCTAGACCCAAATCGCCAGGAGCTGCCTCGTGGACTTGATCTTGATTATCTTCATCGTCGTCTTTCTCAGGGTCGTCATGTTCATCGGAAAGAAACCTTTCTTCATCCCCAAATAGATCGTTATCTGTAAATACACCAATTCTAGATGAAGTGTTTACAAGTCCAAGTGATGCTATACTTGGCTTTTCCGTTCGTTCGTGTCTGTCAGCCCCTTTACCATTCTCAAGCCCAAATAGATCCGCTCGCTTATGATCACTTGAACTCCTGTTTGAGATGTCATTCGACGTGGAATTAACGCTTGGAACTGGTGAGTTCGGGGTATCATTAGGGCCAAATAGTGAGCTTCGAATATCATCAATGTTAGGCTTATCCTCCATGATCGTATTCAACGCTGCTTCCATGGCTTGCACAACATTGTTATCTGGAACAATCACGCCAGGCTCTTGATCAAGACTCATTATCGAATTTGCCATTGCATCGCTATCCAGGTCGTCATCTTCAAATAGGGGACTTTCCTCATCTAGAGAGGCTCGAGAATTTGACATAGGGTCTGATTGATGGGTGGTTAAATCAGTGAAAGACATGGCAGCCCGACGTAAATCTGACCTCTTTGGAATCAATTTTGATGAACCTCTTGAGAAAGAAGGGGACCGTGTGTTGACTGTCATGGTAGTATTTGATCTGGGAGCTATCGACGGTTTGCGCGTTGTATTCTCCAAATTAAGTGACGGTGCTGGAGAAGGTTGGCGAACTTTCGAAGCTTCTTGAGATGTGAGACATTTGTAGAAAAGATCTGACCTTTTAAAATGTGGGAAGAATTTATCTTGCATTACTTCCAGTGCAGAGGTTTGAGCGCGTAGTATAGCTCTTCTAGCCATAAAGTATTGTTTTGAAGTTGCCTTATTACCCGCCTTGAGAAACTCCTGGACAATACGTTTCGAAGTATCCGGGACTTTGAGTTCTGGCTTGGAAAGATACGCATCGTTTATCTGGGCAAGATCCGTTCTATCGGCATCAGTCCAAGGGGCAATAGTAGTCGGAACTTCTTCGTCTTCTGCACCATCATCCTCGAGAGGATTTCGAAACCCATCAACTACAATCCAAAACTGTACAAGAGACATACAATTTTGCCTGTCCATATATTCCATGAAATATGAAAGACCAGAAGGATCATGTAAGAGATCTACAAGTGACGCATTTTCGAGCTTTGATGCTTGAACGCCATTACGGCCTGGTTGCGAGATCAGAGCTCCGCGATCACCTGTGGCAGCCAATTGGCTAACCCTTTCATCCAGTATTCTCTTTCCAATATCAAGTCGTCGCAAGTATACCGGATCTTGTCCATCCTTCAAAGCATCTCGCTTGAATTGGCTAGATACCTCACTTCGAAACCTTCTGGCATCGGACAAATTGTTTGTTTTCCTGATCGCGCGAATGAATTTTTCGAACTTCCTTTCATGATCTCCCGGTGACAATCTCGGAAACTGCGCAGTACGATTCGATTTAGGAGCGGGTGATGCATGCTCATCTAGTGCAGCTCGAAGTTTTCGCACAGTTGATCTATCTTGAAGCATAGAACGTCCCTATATTGTGTTAGCGCAAATCTCGAAATTGATGATAATTCGGGATATGTACATATGCCTCCATTATCTGATTCCACATATCCGGATCAGAAAGCATTTGCATTATGGGGAAAAGAACGGCACAAGCCACCAATTCCCTGATCAAAACTCCCACCGCACGACTTCCGATAGCATTCTCTGGTAGAATCTCCGGCAGCAGTTTTTGTGTCAAATCCCGTAGATATTCTTGTTGTACCAGCTTTGTATCCGAGAAAGCCAAAGAAGCCGCAGAATGTAGTTTCCCATCATTATATTTCGCCGCTATCGCAAGGTCCAACTCATCAGATTCCGTAACACTTCGATTCAAATTCTTGCCTCTAATAGCAACCTCCGCATTATGGAACTCCTTGAAATGCCCTGTCAGAATAGGTACAAAACGGGTTGTCACAACCTCCACCAAATCTATATCCAGTAATCGATCCCGCAGATTGACAAGAGCCAATCTTATCGTCTTGTCGACCTCGTTGGTAAATGTCGGGTTCCTGCTAATACTCCCATACCACGAAGCCACAAAATCGCGAAGTATAAGGTCTAAGAAATCGTCGAGGGCGCATGATACCATAAAAGAGTCTGGGAACAATGGCTTTCGTACATGCATTTGTCGTGTGCGTAACGCGGCTATTTCCTTCTTCCATTTCGCCGCTGCCAGAAATGCAGGTCCTTTTGGTCGGCGCACAATATGTTCTTCTCCGTATTGGGAACCTCTAGATGTAAGAAGTAGCAGAGCTATGAGCCCTACGATGGGTACAATCAGTCCTGCGACAAATGCATATCCAATCCAGCGCAAGGTCGGGATCCAATTGGTAGCAAATCCCCAAGCAAAAAATACGGCAATACCAGCTAAGATCACATCCCGACGACTCAGGGCCATAATCTGTGAAGGGCAATTGTATTTATGAACAGCATTTTTGGTGGGAACTTTTTTGGGAGCTCTATTAAGGTCTCACAATGGTTGTAGCTTTCGGCTTTCAGGGTCCTCGCGTAATCTTTCCATTCCATTTCACATGCAATATGACCAGTCACGGTCGACGAGCATATCAATCTTTTCACAATGGGAGAATGGACAATTTATGAATTGAAATGTAGGCATGATTTCGAATTATTTTTTCATTTGCTTCCTCTATTCGACCTTCGACAATCGCAACCCTCGTCAGGAATAGAATAAACATAAATTCCCATTGGCTGGCTTCTATAGCCATTTTTTGTGTAAATGGCATCCCCTCTAGATATTGTAATATCTGCTGCACCCCTCTTTTACCAAGGAGGATCTTCCAAACGCTTGAATAATGCAACAAATTTTGGTCCGTTATTCCTCGTAACCTTCTTTCCTTCTTCAGTCTCCGTTCTCATTATATTGACACATTCATCAGCTTCTTGCTCCTCTTCTACAACACGCTCAAAAGTAGGATGTGCATTGAAATGTGTGACCATCCAATTATGAAGGTCTTCAACATCGGTAATGGTATATATGATTCCTCCCGGTCGAACTACATAAGCATACTCAGCGGCTAATGTGGTCGATACAATTCTGGCCTTATGCTTTCGTGCTTTGAAATGAGGATCTGGAAAGCAAAGGAAAATCTTTGAGAGTTGATGTTTTTTGAAGAAATTTGGCATAAATTTCATGGTATTGGCTCGTATGCACGAAGCATTTTGAAATAGACCAGATTCTTTTTCTTGAACTCTTAGAGCTTTAATTCGTTCTTGTACATATTCTGTGACTTGTGCTCGAATCTCCATACCTGTTATAAAAGATTAGAGTTGTGTGAAGCCATTGTAAGGAGTGATTCATACCAAGAATTAAAGAATTTGGTAATTTGGGAGCTAAAGCTACTGTCAAACCACCAAACCCACAACCAATGTCTGCAACTTCAACATCTTGCTTCATCTTCTTGACGCTGCTAGAGTCTGCACCTGTTGAAGGTTCTTCTGTTCCTTCAGAAGCCGTTGCGGACTCTGCATAGGCGGGGTAATGCGAAGCCCAATCCATCTGAGCTGGGGAAGCGGGACTAATACCAGTCAATGAACCCTCCTACAATGGCAATTGCAAGCATACGTACTATGCCAGACGATGATCCGAGAAAGGATTTGCATGCGCTCTCTGTCTGTAGAACTTCTTCTTTGGCAATTCCTTGCTCTCCTCGCCATTTTCTCTCGCAGTTCTATAATCCTCCCTTTTCTGCTTTTTATTCGGTGGGCCTGCCATTTTGATTGTAGAACTTCTAAAACTTCTTGACAGTCAATGATATTTACCTTGATATAATGGAATAAGCAATGTCCGAAAAGATGGGAGGCTGTGGTTGTAGTTCAAACGAGGCTTTAGCATGACGGAAAAGCTCAAGGCTGAACTTTTTTTTTCGCATGGAACCTCAAATGCACAAAATAAAATATTAGTGGATGGTGGATTATTTAATTTCTATTTTAGTCCATTTTAATACATTTTAGTAAATCAGAGGCCGTGAGTTTATGGATTTTTAGCATTTTTTTTAACTAAATTATTAAACCCTTGTGGATACAAAGCTACAAGGTCCATGGGTAGGTATGATTGACACAATGATACCTACCCCTAGCAACCTTAATCGTCATCTTGGGCCACCGCAGTATTCTGATTGCGATAACAACATTATTCATCCCCAGGATATTATATCCAAACATTATGAAAGACGACCTCCATAAATTACAATATTACAATAAATTACAATAAACCTCGAGAATTTCATCAAGGAATGAAATCGACATTCGTTACCAATATCATTACTTGAATTCAGCTCTTGGCCAGAGGCTGATACAATTGCACTCAATCTCTTTAGGTATGTGCTTGTACCATAAGCATTGAAGTATTTAAGCCATTCCATCCCTCATTCTTCATTCTTCCTCATTACTGTCTCTCCATTCCTCTCAAATTCCATATATCGATATGTGAAAAGACCGACCATTCACTTTTCACTCCCATATCATCCTGATTCGAGAAGATCGTACTTGGCGACTACATTTCGGCCAACAAGCATTTCCTTACAGCTTCCGGAGAGGAACACGAACTGCATACGGTTTCTCAGCATTATCGCCCATTCGATCTTTTAACGTCAAGAGGGGGGGTTTTTATCTTCGCTCCCTGGGAGTCTTTTCATATAACATGCCGTGGTTCTCAATTCTCCCTGAAAGTTTAGCGTTTGTCGAAGTGTGGGCTAGAAACACGTTTGTACGTATCTGGTACTAAGTACTTCGATCACTGAACTAACATCATACATAGTTTGTACTGGGTATACTGTGCATAGGACCCTGGCTATTGACTCTCCTCTTCGATATTATTTTCTACCTTTTCCGCTTAATACATCATGAAATGCCTTATTTTGGTGGGCGAGCAAGAGATAGACCACGACCGCGTGCACCGAGCTTGAGCGAACGACCGAATGGCCAAGGACGACCGAGAATCTTAACAATGCCCTCAGTGAATGGGACAGTCAATATAGCAGGAATATTAGAGGAAACAGCTGAGGGAATAAAGAAGGGAATAGAGGAAGCAGCGCAACCACGAAAAGATAGCGGCGCGATAGTAGACGATTGAACAGCAAACAACTTTTATGGTATTATAACATGATTTTAAGACAATCTTTCGAGGACCTTAATAAGATCACCTGTGACACCCATTGCTGTGACATCTCCTCCAGCACCAGCTCCTTGAATGATTAAAGGATTGGATCCATATCGCTTCGTGTAGAAGCTGATGATGTTATCACTTCCCTTGAGGGCAGCAATTGGGTGGGATTTGTCGAATTTCTCCAAACCCACCTTCACCTCCTTCTTTGCGACATCGATACTACCAACAAATCTTACAACCTTACCCTCCTTCTCAGCGGCAACCTTTGTTTCCTCCATTTGGGAATCGAACTCTGGCAATTTTTGAAGGAATTCCTCTCCACTTGAAACACTCTCCAATTCCTTGGGAATCAAGCTTTGGACCGGGAACGAAGTTGGAGATTCCACCTCGAGACCTGCCAATCTTGCCAAGATTGTCAACTTTCTGGCGACATCCAGACCGTTCAGATCATCTCTTGGATCTGGCTCGGTATAACCCAACTCCTTTGCTTTAGCGACCTCGGAAGACCACTTTCCTCCCGAACCTTCGGTAGGAGCGAATGAGTTAAACAAAAAGGACATGGTACCGCTGAAGACACCTTCGATTTTAGTTACGGAATCACCTGTGTCGACCAATTCCTTCAAAGTAGAGATAACTGGTAATCCAGCACCAACTGAACTCTCATGATACACCTTAGCTCCGGATGAGGAAGCTGCGGAGAAGATATCCAGCCACAATTTATATGATCCAGAAAACGCCTTCTTGTTGGGAGTGACTATCGAGATGCCCTTGGACAAAACTTGTGGGTATGCATCTGCGACATCTTGCGAACTCGTGTTGTCGACAAGGACGACCTTTGCAGGTGCAGCTGCTAAGTATTCAATGATCTTTGGCAAAGAGAGTGGTTCTTGTGTGGAGTCTGCGAGGGTATTTGAGAGGTTGGAGTATGAAAGAGGAGTGTATTTTGGGCTGTAGAGAACTTTCTTGCTTCTTGAAACGAAGATGAGAGATATTTTGGACGAGGTAAATCGTTGAGAAAGAGCTTCAAGTTGAGATAGAAAGCATTTTCCTACACCACCAGCACCTAACCAAGTATTAGCTAATTAGAGCTCATGTCAAACCATCAAAGATTGGAGATTACTACCAATGACTGCCACGTAAATTTCCTTAGCTACCATATTGACTTGATTTGTGGATGGTTAAGATTGAGGATTGAAGATTGATCAATTGCAGATTATTTGGGTTTAGATAAGGTTAAATGTCTTGCTCGTACTGAAGAATCAAAATGTTATGAATAATGAGCAATCACGGAAGGATTGCAGGTGGTGGGGTTGTTTCCATGCACAATTAATCCGATCTCGCACATGTTGATACCCCTCTCTCTGATATCCACTTTACTAATTTCCATTGGTCAATCACAGATGGACGAGGCCGTGATTTCGAGCTCCCCAGATTCCCTCAGCCTTACGAGAATATACATCAATCAAATCGATGATCGCATTACCTCCATCTCTCCTTCAACCACCACAACAATAATTCCTACAAAATGTCCAACGACCCTAATAATCTTTACAATTTCAAAAAACCTAAACTTCACTCCTCGTCTGCTAAAGAATTATCCTCATCCACAAACCTCGCATTCTCCTCGACTCTCTCATCTCTTCTCGCTTCTCAGACACAGGAATCTTCATCATCATCCGCTACCCGCGGTCGTCCTCGTCCTTCAAAAGCTAAAGAAGACATCTTCAAAACCCATAACAAAGGAACCAAGAAACGCGCCGCAAAAGATTTAGAAGACGATGAGGATAGAAATATATACACCCAGATTCGAAAGACTGGCCAGGGAGAAAGAATAGATGATAGCACGCTTCACAGGAGTAAAAAACGACTTGCTGAAAAAGCAAAGATTTATTCGCGGTTAAAACGCGGTGATCACGATAGACTCGGAAACGGAAGCGGAAACGGAGATGGAGATGAAAATGAAGAAGCGGAAGGACTTGTAGATTTCGATCGCAAATGGGTGGAAGGGGGTGAAAAGGACGAAGACTCCGATAGCGATGATTCTTTTGGTGGCGGCGCTTCAAACGCAGAAGATAACCAACTCGTCGAATATGAAGACGAATTCGGTCGTTTGCGTCAGGTAACCAGGAAAGAAGCGCAGCGTCTCGAGCGCCAACGTAGGAATGCCCTCCTCGGCGCAGAAGAACTCGAGCGTATGTCCGCGCGTCCTGCTCAACCTGCTCAACTCATCTACGGCGATACTATCCAATCATCTGCGTTTACATCGACGCTAGATTCCGAAACCGCGGAGAAAATGGAGGAGTTGGCGAAGAAGAGGGATAGGAGTGCGACGCCGCCGGAGATGAAACATTATGAGGCGGATAAGGAGGTGAGGAGTAAAGGGCAAGGGTTTTATAGTTTTTCAAAGGATGAGGAGATGAGGAAAGAGGAGATGGAGAATTTGGAGAGGATGAGGAGGGAGACGGAGAGGGGGAGGAAAGAGAGGGAAGGGCTAAAGGAGAAGAGGAAGAGAGAGATTGAGGAGAGGAGGAGGGTATTGGGGGAGAAGAGGGCGAAGAAACAGGCGGATGCTTTTTTGGAGGGATTGGGGGATGTACCTACGCCGACGTTGATGGATGGAAAGGAGTGAAAAGAGTTAGGAGTGATGTTGATATTCTATGGCACACGCATACTTGAGCTACGATGCAATTCTCGTCATTTGGTGCAGGATTTGGGGCTTAAGCATCGAGCGCTCTGAGAAAATTACGGAGTCAGGAATATGAAGATTGCAGACATAGAAAGATACGAACCATGATACCCCAAATATATTGACATTTAATTCAACAAAACCCCTTGAAGATTCTGTACCATCTCTCTAGACAAATCTTTCAGAAGAAGCAATGCATCAAGAACACTCGTTTTGCACAAAATTAATGGTATACGTATCTCATAAGCTAAAATACAACCCTACATATCAATATTACATCTAGCTCCCAAAATACCTCCAGCCTGCAAAGGACATCGCTTCTTTTCTTTTGTACCCCGTCCGTCCAACCAAAAAGCCCAAAAGGTATATGAATACATCGCCATCCCTAATCGCCAGCGAGAACATTAATTGATGCTTCACCACCCACTTCGTCGAATTAACGCTTCAGCAAATACTTTTTGTCCCACTTGATTTGTTGAGACATAGCAACATCTAATAACCATTCGACCTTGACAATCCTCGGTTCCATATTTCCCGCCTTGGCCATTTCTTCGAACTTCGAATAGAGAGCTTGTTCAGATCTCTTGTCGCTGCTGATTAAGTAAACTGGCTCTGGGGGTCCATCATCTTCTTCCGGCTTGGTAGGTTTGATAGTTGGACGTCCTTTGAAAGTACCAAAAGTAGCGCCGTTGACTTCTGCAATTTCCCGATAAGTTTCAACGCCATTGTCGATGTCAACAGTACAGTATATTGGAATTGTGTTCAGAAGTCGACCTTTGTTAATTGTCGCACGTTTCAAAGCATCCTTCAACTTGACATTGTGCTTCTTTTCGTTTTCTACATCTACCAATGGAAAGTCTTCGACGTCCAGCATCTTTCCGGCTTTGATACAAGCCTCAATATACTTCTCTGATACGACGGTAGGTCCATGTGCGAGACCGACAAGAAATTTCCTAGTTCGAACCATTTTGGGCGCAGCCATGATGTTGACTTTTCCATAACCAGTCCATAGAGAGATACCAAGACTACGTAGTTTTTTCTGATGAAGGTTAGTAAAGGCCGTGACACAATAGATGAACCAACTTACAGTATCTGTATCCTCCTTGGTTGGCGCATCTGGATTGGACCAAGCCTTGTAACCAGTGACAAGCATGCGAACTTGGACTTCTGGTTTTGATGCAGTTCTCGCCTTCTTTGATGGGCGAACATCAACCTCCTCGCTACCACTGTCACTATCCTCATCATCTTCTTGATGTTTTACCACTGGACTCGAATTGCGTTGCAAATCTCGTTCCTTCTCGATTTTATTCGCAGCCCGATCACCCCCAAATACATGCCCTTTTCTCTTCTTCTCTAATTCGTACTTTGCAATATCAGGGGCCAATTGATGAAGGGCATCGATTGCTTTACTTTTAGCACTTCGGCTACTAGTCGATGAAGGGGTATCATTTTCTTTGCCCAAAGATGTGCGCTTCTTGCCAACCGGTGTAGAAAGAACATTTGTAGAGACTGTGGAGTTTGTAGAAGTCCCCTTGCCTTTGGCTTTAGGTTTTGGAGGAGGTGCAATTACTTCAGCTCCCTCACCTTCAGTTTCGCCATCCATATCATGATCTCCCTCTCCATCTACATCCCGATCTCGAATTGTCAAATTCTTCATTTTGGACGGCTTTGGACTATTCGGACCTGGTATGGGATCTTTGGGAAAGTATTTCTTCTCCAAGGCCTTTTGATCAAATTGAGTTTGGCCAATAACCTCACCAAGATTTGTTCTTGGAGGGAAATGGATATAACGAGGATTCGTTAATATCTGAACCTCGCACTTAGCATAACTTTCTTCAAGCCAAAGGTGATTGATCATGTTAATATTCCATTCAGCAGCTGCATTACACTTCTCACTAGCCTTTCGAGCGGTAATCAGATGCGTATTATCTTGCTTCATGCTTTTTGTAAATTCTCCACCAGCGGCATTTACCAAATTTTCAAGGTAGATGCGAGCCTCACCACCATAATTGGAGAGAGTTATCTTGTAATTCTCGAAACCTGGTAAACCTCCTTTCGGAATAGGATAGTGAAGAAGTCTCCGAGTAGGATTTGTCCATGTGTTATGAGCAATCATATAGTAAAGCCATGAAAGATTGCCCACGTGGGTTGAAGGTGACCGAGAGGCAATGACATAATTTCTACCCTCCCGGTAATTACAAACAAACATATCAGCTTGACGTACTGAGTTTGTAATCGTACCTTGCCCATGTTCGACGAGATCCGAGAGTAATCTGGTGAGTCTGCTTCCAAGGTCTAGGTCTTTAGACAACATCACCTTCTTATCTTTAAAAACATCCAGTTTACGTTGTATTGGGGAAACAGTTGGAGTCTCGAGCATATCTGAGTGCGCTGTAGTAGCACCTTCAAGTCGTGAGGAGGAAGGTATTGGCAGACTATCTTCAGGATTCAGGAGAAATATCTCGGGATTTGGGAGCAAATATGGACGTTCGTCTATGCGTCTTCCTAATTTTAAGCAATCATCAAACCTGCATTTGATTAGTTGAGAATATCTGCCAAAGTCGAAACACTTACCACTGTGGAAGGACGATTTTGCATTTCAATCCCTTGTCCTTCGCCGCCTGACACTTTGGATGATCCATACTAAGAGCACAAATATGAGTGACCAATTTAGTTAAGCTATTACTTTCCATTCCACCCATAGCACATGTAGCACCAATTATCGCAACTTTGTCGCCCTGTGGAATATCTGCGCACGTAAGGTGGACATTGGAAAAGATATATCGTTCATCTGGTGTGTATGGACGAATTGGTGCTTGTCTGCGTCTGCTTAGAGATTGTGTTACCCATTCAGGTGTGATGACTGGTACAAGCAAGAGACCTGCTTTATCGTAACATGCGAAGTCGGTGGTAGTAGAGATAATATGGGTAACTTCCTCCAAGTTCATGCTATCGTCTGTTTTCTTAATTTCTGCCGAAGCACCATTGTCCTCAAGAATTTCTCTTAACTACCGATTTGTGTCAGTACACACATAAGATATCATGGATGGTTGCTTTGAGGCATACCTGTCTTGCTTGAGGTATTGGAAGCTCTTCGCTCAAAATAATAGTGATAGCACAGCTATCGAAGAGGGGAAGGGGAGCGGCGCCACTTTCTACTTCAGTCATGTTGAGATACAAATCTACATGCACAATAGAAAGAGTTTATGAAACGTAGCAACAAGTGCAGTAAATTGGCGAGGGCCTGGCTAATAAGTACTGCTACAATGTTTGCTTGATGTAATGTTGAAATGTCGAAATGTTGAAATTGTGTTTGATCTACCAAATCGACCTACGCGGATTGATGCGCGTTTCTAGAATCACGTACTTTAAGAAAACACGCTAAAATGACAGGGGTCAACTGATTGGTTTTGACAGGTAATCACGTGTGAGCTTGCACCCTCACTTCGATCAACCTTTACAAATCTAGGGATCTCGGGGGAGAACCGTTTCAGGCCTTTGGTTTTCGCAATATCGACAAAACTTCATTAATATGGAACTTTGTTTTTGAGATGTATCGAGATGTTTCAGCCAAATGATAATTGGTCAATTATACTAACAACTAAAATTTAAAAACTAAAAACTACAGGATAATTCCCGCTTCCCCCTTTTCCGCTAACCTAGTGTTACCGGGCTGGGGCCGAGGCTTGTGATGCATACCGGCTTGGTACTCAAATCTGTGTATGTTTCGTTCTCCATGAATAGAACCTAATGTTCAGTTCTTTACATACTATTCTTCCAATCAAACTCAAAGAGCATCGATACTGCATTCTCTTTGCTGTGCCTTCAACCTATATATATATATACCCCTTTCACCTATCAAAATAAGGGTTCATCCCCCACATTTACCCCATCATGCACTCCACAGTCTTTGAGGTAAAGGAACACTCTCTCGAATGTCAACACATTAGGGAATACCCTCGTGCCACTTCAAATACCCAAGAAGATGTGTTACATCTAGCAATCAAACAATATATCCCTCGAGATAATCCCAACCCACAACCAGGAGATGTGACTATAATTGGTGCTCATGCAAATGGTTATCCAAAGGTAGATTTTCCCCACGCGTTTGAATAATCCCACCAGCTAAAGACGTACAGGAATTATATGAGCCATTATGGGAAGATGTTCATGCACGCGCAAAAGCCAATGGCTTTAAGATACGAAGTATTTGGATAGCAGATTTAGCTCACGAAGGCGCTAGTAGCGTTCTAAATGAGCAGTTATTAGGAAATGATCGTACGTGCTAGTTTTATTGGTTGACAGATTGTTTTTTATTATATTACGGCGGTGTCAGCTATGATCCAGAAATTGAAGCCTTCGAATTCTACAAGAGTGGGCGGAGGGCTTGCAAGTTGCACACCTAGAAGTCGATTTTATGGCATAGACTGCAATCCCTACTAGGGCCTTGACATGTAACCCCGAACCACAATTCATATATGTCCCTAACATCACGGCTCTCTTTCATTTACTTAATTCAACTTGATTCTACGAGTCCTTATCATATCCAGTACTCTCTAACACCTTCCAGCATCATGGATAGATCATGCCCGGGATCTCCTCCATATGGTGAACACCTACCGTGCCCAAATGCCTCTTCCCATAATTGGAATCGGCCATTCTTTCGGCGCCAATATGCTGACCAACCTCTCCCTCATGCACCCCCGTCTTCTGACCACCCTGATAATGCTCGATCCCGTAATCCAACAATATGCATCTACCCCCTCCAATACTACCTCACCCAATCAACTCTCCACCTTCCGTCGTGACCTCTGGCCTTCCCGTGCCGCCGCCGAAGCTTCCTTCCGAAAATCAAAAGCATACTCCAAATGGGATCCCCGCGTCCTAGACCGCTGGTGTCAATATGCCATCCGCTCAACCCCAACTACCATCTACCCCAATGAGCCATCAGGCAGCACAACCCTAACCACAACCAAACACCAAGAATGCTTCTCCTTCATGCGTCCCACTTGGGAAGCTTTCTCCGAAGATGGTAAAACTATCATTCGTCCAGATCTCATCCCGGATCTACACGAGACCAGTCCAGCAAAATATCCTTTCTATCGCCCAGAACCCATCAATACACTTCTACGACTTCCGCAACTCCGTCCCTCGGTTCTTTATATCTACGGTGCTACAAGTGACGTCTGTTATCCCCAGTCTCGGGTTGAAAAAATGTCTATGACGGGCACCGGACACGGAGGAAGCGGAGGGGCTAAAGAAGGAAAAGTTAAAGAAGTCGTGCTGGAAGGAATAGGTCATCTTGTGGCGCAAGAAGCAACGGTACAATGCGCAGATGCTTTGACTCCCTGGATAGGACAAGAATTGAAGAGGTGGAGAAGAGAACAGGAAGAGTATATAGAATGGACTAAAAAGGGCTTGATTGAGAAACAGACATTTACCGAAGAATGGAAGAGAAGAGTGGGGGGGCCACCAAAGAAAGCTGGAGCAAAGATTGAGGGGAGTAAGCTGTGAAGTGTGAATTATGAATTTGTAGTGGTGAACTTTCAGATGTAGGAGTAAGTATTAGACGATCATGGAGTTCCCACAACTACACTATTTTCCTAGCTTTATTAGACTGATTTCAAGACTTCCACTTCAGATGAAAAAGCTTTGTTATCCTATAGACACTTATACAATTGCTGTTCAACTAAGCCCTGTGTATAATAGTTATCACGGTCAAATGTCATCATTCCTCTAACATACTTCAAGCACCATGCCACCTACTCCATTCCAATACACAATTATCCCATCATCCCAAGCCCATAAAAAGCACCCAGAATCATCAGAACCCAACGATAACCCATCTATATTCTATACCTCTTCGTTGGCTCACTAAATCCTATACAGGTATATTACCTGCCACACACATCCCAAGTTCGGTAATATATGGGAATCCCACGTGCTGCAAATGTGAGACGAGAAAAGAGGAGAGGGAATGGGAATGGGCAAGAAATATACAGGGTAAGTGAAAGTGAGCTCTTCATATATCTCTACAAGAATTGAGGACTCATATCCGTTTTAAATGCTCGCTCATCACCAGTATGGGTATTTATGTAGAGGTTCTCTGTCTCTGTCTCTGTCTCATCTGTCTTATCGATTCGTTTCGCACCGTGTTGATTCGAACTCATCACATGTGGTTACAATCAAAACCATTGATTATCAATATGTAAGTACAAATATCATGCATGCCAGCAATGTAATGTAATGGTGTCCCCGATTCATAGAATGACTCCAATCCAATGCAGCGTCCATGTAAAACCACCGTATTCCCTGATCCTATTCTCGTGTAGCATCAGTGTATCTCATCTCCCAATCAGATGATAGTGAAGCCCCTCCGAAGACCTCAACCCATTGCACAATCACCCATAAATCTTCTTTCTAATCCAATCACCATCCAAAGTCTCCGGAATCCTAACCCCAAGCCCCATAACCCATGCAAAACTACTGTTCCATCCTTCCCGCCAACCCTCTCCAAAAATTACACCTCTCCACCAACCCCCCATCAATCTCCTCCATCACAGTCCCATTCGTCTCAATCTTCAACCTCCTCAGTCTGCCCCCGCCGCACTCACCTCTCCCAAATTTTCCCAATGCGGCGCCCCCGCTCCCTTCCCCCAATTCGGATCCAGCTCCCTCACAAACCCTATCCAATACTTCATCGTGACCCCCACAATCTGTCGATTGTAACTCAGATAGCTACCTCCGTCTCCGGTCTGCGTATTTCCGGGTCCGAAAATGGCTGGGAGTTCGAAGACGTGCGGGACGCCGAGGCCAGCGGAGATGTTATCCGTGTCTTGGACGTTGAAGCGGTAGAACCAGACCTGCTTTGCGGTGTTGAAGGTGGCGAGGTGGGTGGAGATGAAGAGGGCGGGACAGAAGAAGGTTGTTTCGCCGTAGGCGGCGGAAGCAGAGGGGAAATATGCGTTGTGTTTTGGGAGGGGTGTGGTGAGGGGATATTGCGTGTTGATAGAGTCGAGATCTGTGGAGGTGAGACCGGGATAGTTGTTTTTAAAGAATGTGGACGTGTCGTTTGGAGAAGCGGCGTTGGGGGCAAAAACTGAACCTTCGTTTGTTACGTCTATATGTTCAAATGATCAGTATATATCTTATGAAAGTTAAAGAAGATGTAACGACAAACCTCCAAACATGATCGGCAAATCAACAAACAATCCCTTCTCAAAAAGAACATAAGGATAATCCCTTATAAAATCTCCATCAATAGTTGGCGTCCAATAAAAGAGCGGACTTCCACTCTGTCCGGGATACGGAGATGCAACATTAGCAGCTTGAAGAACCGCTGTACTTTGAGTTCTCAAGCACGCGAGTGCATCACCTGCTGATCCGCAACCAGCCGAATTTGCATAACGATCGAATTGCCATTCTAATTCTGGTACGAGGGGTTGTGTTGGAAAGAAAGGAGATTCGCCAATGGCACCGATGAAGAGATTATCATTTCTTCCTCCACTTTTATGGGGTTAGTAAAAGAGTATCTCAGTAGATGTTTAGACTCACTATGCAGTAAGGTGGAGTGCGACAGATCCACCACCCGCAGAATCTCCGTGAATCACCACATGATCCGGATTACCACCAAACTATATTTTCATTAACATGTATCTGTAAATCAGCTGTTTACACATCCATACCTGAGCAATGTGATCTCGAACCCAATGTAGCAAGAAACGTTGATCAAGAAGTCCAGCATTCAAATCACCATTCCCTCTCACTTTCTCGCTTGTCAAAAATCCAAATGGTCCAACCCTATAGTTAAAATTGACAAAGACAATTTCATTATTCGATGTATTGACTACTGTCGAGCCATTAAAATTGGCATTGGAATTGGATATATATCCACCTCCTTGTATGAAGACCCATACTGGAAGTTCGGAGGCCGGTGTAGCAGTACTCGGCGTCCATACATTAACGAAAAGACAGTCTTCCGATTGTGAAGAGGTGGGTCCATTATCAGTAGCGAGACAAATCGGTCCAAACTACAAGAGAATATTAGTGAATATCGAATCTGGCATGTGATCAATTTCATACCGTTTGAGCATTTTGGACACCATCTAAGCTTTGCGGCGGTTGAGGAGCGCGGAATCTTAAATCACCAAGAGGAGGAGATGCATATCTCATTCCTAGGTATTGAGTGATTCCTGAGCTTAATAAGGTACCCTGATATTGAGCATATCCTAGATCTACAAGAGAAGTTTGATGTTTTATTCTAGCTTGGATTGGTGATGAGATAGCGGTTGTGATAAGGTAGCAGGCTGCGACTGCCAGTTCGAGTAACATTTTGAATAAGTGCGGATACGTAGAATGTTCAGTATGTTCGTTTGAGGGGAGCCCAACCAGAGCGAGATGAAAGGTAGTGGAACGCCAACGTACGTAAGATTGGTGGAGGATAGAGAAGATGATTTGAGACGGGCGTTATATGGTGTATTTAGAAGATTCTCCAAATAGGAAGACTTGAGGCTCGAGAAGGAGAAGAGTAGTTTGAGGGGAGATCACCTGCTAGGTGAGTCTGAACACGTGGACATGTATGTATGGGTGATATACAATGGTGAATAGCGATAATATGAGACTCGTATCGACAATCCGATGGGAACTATGACAAAAAGTCCTTGAATGCTCAAAATCTTCACACCGCCACCCCCATACAACCGATGAAAAATGTTCAAGGGCGGTGATTTGGAAAGTCTATACCAAAAAGCATTTCAAGCGCTATCCCATCAAACATACAAGCCACTAGCTATACCAAAAATTTCTACACACGCACAAAACACTTCTCATCATACTGAAGATCTAAAGTAGCACTTGCTATAATCCTTGCTTGTACTGTATATGTAACTGTACCCATACATCTACACAATCCATTCGATTTGTGCATTCCACGTAAGGAAAGAAGAAACACCGACAAATCTAAGTCATCCCCATTCCATGCATATCATTTTAGACCCATGGAACTAAAATTGCCGAACTCGGCAATCATGAAGACTGAGCACAACGCGATGGCGGGTGATCATATCCATGCACGGAGCGGGATAAATCAATATTGATTCATGCCGCACGAACCATTTATGCTTGCGGGAGCTAATGTGAAGGATTTCGCAATCCAGCCACACAAACCCCAGCAAGTCGACATGAGTCTAGAGAATTTGAATTGGAGAATGACCACTCAATTGCCATGTGTGCATAAGCTTTTCTTCTGCAGTATTCATCGGAACTACAACCTTGTTGCACGAGTAGTGTGGGTGGGTTTGATATTGCGGGGTACCCAGCACTTGAATAAATGAATCGTGTTTTAGCCGAAAAATACTCGAGCACGCGAATTGACGGGGTGCGGTGCCTCGGGTGGATTTACTGATTTACTCTATAAAGATGAGAGTCATACATAAAAGAGGATGGATATGTTAATGAACAGAAAAGAAAAAGATGGAATGGGGTGGGATGAATAATCACAAGGATACATCATTGGCATCCTACTTCTCAACCAAGAAACCCGTGTATCTAGCAGTATAGTAGTTAATTCCCTCATGAAGACTTCATGATCCAGATAAACACAACATACCGGTACCCCTAAACCAACCATCTACCCTCTCTTCTCCATCCAGCATTGCAACTTCTCTACCAATCGGCCCTCCATATTCATGGGGGCAAGCCCCCAAACCCCCATATCCTCGCTACGCTCGAGTATTCCATTATATATTTTCTTATCAATATTGAGTGATCTGCCCTCCTCTAAAGTCTCAATAAAAAAAGGCTCCGCTGATGCACAAACCTCAAATCTCAAATCAAGGTTCTTTTCCTACCTACCTATACATAATTCTACACAAGAGTGAGGGAAGACTTAAATAAATATCCCATATATACATTCATATATGTGATTCTCTACCAAAGTAACACTCAAGTAGCTGTTTATCTCCTCGTCAAGAAACTACCTACCCTCCACAAAAAATCATACCGTATCCCCCTTTTCCCTTTTCCCCCAAAAGAAATCCCACCCAGAAAACAACTCCCTCACCTCCGCACAACATCACGCTTAATATCTAAAAATGAAAATATATATACTCGTATAACAGATCCACTTAGCAATGCATCTTTATCGACTACAACTACAATGCGATAACATGTATGAATGCTACTACTATACTCTACTCTACCCTGCCATATTCTACAATATGTTCTCCTCATTCTACCCCATTATACTACACTACATACCATACACCCAACTCTCGAGCGCAGCGAGCAAATGGGGGTTTGGGGGCTTGCCCCCACTAGTCAAGTTGATTATAATAATGACAATGATTGCGTTTTTGAATTCGAATTTTAATATAGTTTGGTTTGGTAGATGGGTCTAGTCTACTCTATACTTGATTATCACGTTTGTTCGCTGCTTGATTTTCTGCGATGGATATTCATTCAGGAGTTAGATCAAATCTATATAATATGGTATTATAATAATAGACTCTTTATTCTCTTTCTCTCTCCAGATCTAACATTCCATGCATGCGAATAATCTATCCACCTGCGACCAAGACAAAATCAAGGCGAAGCATACTTGTAGCCATACTTCTCCTTCGCCTCCTCCCCCAATTTCTTCAATTTCTCCTCCCCCTCCCTAAACTCCTTATCTTCCCCAAGTCTCTTCTTAAACGCCTCATTAACCAACTTACTCTCACTCGGCACACTAATCCCCTTCTTCACCGCTTCCCTCTCACTAATCCTCTTCCACCACTTCTCCAAATGCTCAAACTTGGCCAAATCCACCCCCGCAAAATAAGCCACGTTGACCCAGCTGAAATTCGCAATATCGGCAATACTATACTTTCCCTTTCCGGGACCGACGATGTACTCGCGATCCTGCAGTTGGGCATCGAGGACGCCGTAGAGACGCTCGGTTTCGCCAATATAGCGTTGGGTTGGGTAGGGGATGCGTTCTTTGGCGAGACGGTAGAAGTGGTTTGCTTGGCCTTGCATGGGGCCTAGACCGCCGTGTCTGGATTTTGTTAGCTGCTTGTACTCTTTTTATCTGGTTACCCTGGCGTTCCCTCCTCCTTCTCAAGAAGAAAGACGTATTTAAAGAAGGAAGATGAATAGAGGAATGAAGAGATAAAAAAATAAAAATAACAAAAACTCACTGCCAAGCAACCCACTGCTCAACTCTACTCCTATCCTCCTCCTCCTCAAAACTAAACTTCCTCTCTACATCATAATTCCTCGTCAAATACGCCAAAATCGCCGCTCCCTCAAACACCGCAAACCCATTGCGATCATGATCCACAATTGCCGGAATCCTGCCATTCGGGCAGATCTTCGTGAACCATTCTTCCTTTTGGATATTCTCCATAATGTTAATCGCTTGAAACGTGTATTCTTTTCCATAGGCGGCTTTGAGCTCTTCGAGCAAAATGCTGATTTTATGTCCATTGGGGGTTCCCCACGTGAGGAGCTCGATGCCGGATGTGGCAATGAGACCGCTTGGTCTGTTGGGGGAGTCGGAGGATGACATGGCTCGTGTGGTGGTGGTGGTGGTGGTGGTGTGGAATGTAGTTGTAAAACGAGAAGGAGAAGCAATGTAATTTTTACTAGAAGATTGGAAGAGTCGATTGAAAGATGTTTTGAACATGAGGAAAGGAAGGAAGAAGGAGGGAGAAAGAAACAAAAGATTGAAAAGCTTTAGTGTGGTAGGTTTATATAGGTAGATATTCTCACCATGGGATTATTCCGTTCTATGCCAATATCTATGTAATACAAACAACTATGTAGCTACTAGGTATGTATAATGATGACGATGACAAATCCAAGAGGGTCACAAAGCAACTTTTGCTTAGAAATAAAGCTCTCAGTCTGTCGGTCTCGGGTTTTGGAGAAGAGCGACGAATTTCAATGGAGCAAGAGTTGTCATTTCAATTGATAAGGAACTAATTAAGGATAGGTATTGTATATATCGTATATATTCTAAGTACAATAAAAATAATAAATAAAAATAATAAATAAAAATAATAAATAAAAATAATAAATAAAAATAATAAATAAAAATAATAAATAAAAATAATAAATAAAAATAATAAATAAAAATAATAAATAAAAATAATAAATAAAAATAATAAATAAAAATAATAAATAAAAATAATAAATAAAAATAATAAATAAATAAAATAAATGAGGTCAATTTATAGCAAGGTAGTAGTAATACATAGATAAATCTGATGACAACATCACATTTGTAGTCCATACAAAGTACGTGATATGCCTATCGCCGTTCAAGAATGATGTCAAGCTTTTGGAGGCAATACCGAAAGATCGGGAGATCATCGAACATGCGGGGTAGATTGGTTTCCAACTGTTAGCTGTAGGTAGGTGCCGACGTAATTAATTACCTGATGATTGTTCCATCATGTATGATGTGAGACTTTAAGTTTTAAAATAAGGATATAAAATGAATATAAAATGAATTAATTCTATTGCTATTTACAATACTAGGTAATTGAAATTTTTAGATTCAAATGTATTTCTTAAATTGCATATTAAATAATTGCCCTACAGCCGATTTAGATAATTACAAATGACATCATCGTCATCGTCATCGTCTCTATCAACATCGACATCTACCCTCTAATCAAGATTCAACCTAAAACTCTCTACTCTCCCCAATATCACAAACATCAAAGACTCCCGTCTCGGGTATGTTCTTCCATGTCAAAGCTTTCTTCAATAATTGAGGTGGTTCCATAACCGCTTCAGGTGTCAAAACCCATGTTCCCCAATGGATCCCCATAGCACGTTTACATTTGGTATCAAGGAATATATTGACCGAATCGAAAGGATTAGCATGCATGGGAGAGAAAATGTGACGAGGTTCTAGGGGTGGATATTAGTTTAGTGCTCTGAGGGGAGGGTGGAAGCCATAAAAAGTGTGTAAAGTATGACAAGGAAGCAAGATTAACATTGTCATCCTTCCACACAAAAAGAAGAAGCGAAGGAGTTAAACAACACAAAATCCAAAACATACCATAAGCACCAATAGGTATAAGTCCCAAATCAAAAGGACCTCTTAATTCTCCAATCTCTTTAAAAGCGGGACAGACAGGTAAATGTTGATACTCAGGTCCATAATCATCAGTTCCCTTAGGAACTTGTGGAACAGCTCGATAACCAGTATCTCCACCAAACCAAACAGATTTCGAGTTGGAAGTAACAGCAAACGAACACCACAGTGTATGTCCTTTATCAAAGGCCGTACGCGCGGATGTATGTTGGGAGGGAAGACAACTTATGCGCGCTGTTATGGGAGATATGGATGTGGGAGACGAAGAAGGGGACGAAGGTGGTGGAGAATTCTTGGAAGACGTTTGAGAGGAAGTGGAAATAAGTTTCTCTCCTGTAACAGGAGATAAAGTAACATCGATATCTTCCCACCAATCCATCTCCACGCAATTCTCAATTCCACATTCCTTAAACCATTTCTTCAATCCCAGTCCTACAATAAATTGAGCGTTCGGATGACTTTTATGTATTTCCATAACTGTAGGATGGCTTAAATGATCATAATGACTATGACTTATAACCACAAAATCAACAATTGGAATCTCGGATAATTTACAAGGGATAGGTGTATAGCGTTTGGGGCCCATAAATGAAAATGGTGAACAACGTTCTTCAAAGACAGGATCGAAGAGTACACGTAGACCGGAGGGATATTCGACATAGTAACAGGCATGTCCGAGCCAAGTTGCGCGGAGGGAAGATGTAGTACGAGTAGGTAGGAAGGTAGGTTTTATGACGGGAACCGTTGGAGGAGTGGTATCTGGTGTGCCGAATTCTCCGGATAGTTTGGCTCTGCAAGATAGAACAATGTGATTAGCAAGAGTGTGGTGAAAAGTTTGGGTAAATGGATAATTCTTCGATAGTCCAATTGAATCTCTATATTCTCCATGTACTCAAAACGACGCTCCGCTGGCCCTCCGGGGGCCACTGCCGTGGAGGCAGAATATTTTGGAACGAGCCACAAAAAGTAATGGAAATATTGACAAGGAAACTTCCCTCAACATATTCTGTCCATCCACCTGAGACCATTATCATGGAAGAAGGATGTGATGTGGAAACAATACAACAAAACCATTAACACAAAAGCCCTCCCACCTCAATTGATCTCCCATAGATCCAATTGAACCATTACTTATTCATCCGCCCATCTCCCACTGTCCAAGCCAAAATAAATAAAATAAAAACCTACCTAGCCATAGCCATCCCAATCCCTAACACCCCCATCTCCTTCCACGAATCCCATGGATTCGTAAACCCCTTCCCCTCTCCCTCCTTCAAATGATGTCTCTTCTCCTTCGCATTTTCCGGGATCTTATCCAGCGCAGCCGGACTACTCATACTAGCTGCAAAGAGCATTGCGCCTACGACAGAGCCTGACATGGCTTTAAGGGTGTATTTGGGATTGGGTGTGGATGAATTGGGATTGGTTGAGGAAGAAGAAGAAGAAGAAGAAGAAGAAGAAGAAGAAGAGTATGGTGATGTTGATGATGTTTTGCGCGGTCGTGGTAGTTGTCGTGGACGATGCCGAAGCTTGAGGAGGGAATGGAGAGGAGAGATGCGCATTTGTATGTATAGAGAGAGAGAGAAGAAATGAACAAAGGGAAGAAGTAAATGAGTTTTATACGAAATGTATGGAAAAGGATACTTCCCAATCTGAATCAATCTTACTCTCAATACCCAGGTAGATGGATAGGCTGACAAGAATTGCGTTGCTAGCTACCAGGTATGTATCGTATCATATGGTATGGTATTAAATTGTATGTATATTCCATACCTACACTTCACGCGATTGTACTTTACAATAACTTACGTACATACATCATCACCTCAAGACACAAGCAAGGACCACCAAAAAAATGCGAATGCGAACGGTGGAATAGTCTTATCGTCTTATCTCCGTCTCTTCCAAACTTTAAAATGGAGCAAGGCACGTGTAAGGTTACGGTACGGTACTTTGGCACATCATGGACATGGACATGGAGATTTCCATCTCCCGAGGCCCGAAGTCGAGAGAAAGAATGATCTCTGAATAGTTTCTTTTGGCTTTTACGAATAGCCCATTCCATTCCATCCCATCTCGTCTTATTCATTCATACTATTCCATCAAACTCACTCATCCAGCTCATCGCATCTAACGTCATCCATCCATCCAATGAACACTCAAATCTTCGCAAAACCTATCTGTCTAGGCACCTAAGCAATTTCCGAGTATACATACCCATCCACCTACCTATCTACCTACCTACCTACCTACTCACACTTACTTGTTACTCACTTGTCTACTCACCTATCTACCTGCTGGACACTGAGTGAATACAATAAATGCATCTTGGTTAGCTGATCCTTCATCCGTTATCCCCCTGCTCTACTCATTCAATCAATCCTCTTCCTGAGTTCTCTGTACTTGCAAGTGTCCATCATGGTTTAGATGAAACTCCTTTCCTCTACACAATTTATATATCTTTTCAAAGTGCATACCGGTAATAGGCATGCCTTCTGAATACATCTTACATAGATCAAGTACATGACAGTCACAGAAAATTCAAAAGGCACAAATCACATAAAGTTCGCAAATAAAATAGCCATTGATTTCTAAAATACATGTCATAAGGGTGAAAATCATAACTCAAAGTCATGTCCACCCCTTGAAAGAAAAAGCATGTCCTCGTGTTACAAATGATAAAAGAACGATCCCCGGGTATGCTTTTGAATGAGCAAAAGAAAAATAACAAGATTGAATAGAGCCAACTAGCGAAATCCGTGTATTCACATCATAACCTTACGTGAGAAGCCCTAAAGACGTTACCTCAAAACGCCCCTGGGCCTATTCACTGTGAATCATCAATAGAAGAACATTTCATATCCCACCCGGTTGTCGTTAAAAATCTATGTTATGTGAGCAGAATCCAAATGGTTACTTTTGCAACCGATTTGGAAAGGATGATTTACCAGTAGCGGCCGCGACGGTATCCGTCATCAGCATATCCGGCATCTCTTGGTGGGTAATCTCTTGGAGGAGGACGATCATAAGGTGGTCTACCATGTCCATTGACGTATGGGTCAGCGGGAGGGTAATCACGACGATAAGGATCATCAAAACCTCCACGACGTGGTGGTGGGTAATCATCGATTGGACCACGAGGTCTAGGTGGTGGAGAACGACCGTAACGACCACGATCATCATCATAATAAGCACGACGAGGTGGGCTTCGATCGCGATAGGCATCACGTCGAGGACTATAACCTCGGGGTGGACCACGTCGATCATAATCATCAATGGGGTAAGGTCGTCCTCGAGGCATTGGGGATCGAGATCTAGCACGATCACGAGGGATATCAGGTTGGGTCTATTTAATCTCGTTAGTATCATCATCATCAAAAAAAAGGCCTGCGATGGCGAATGGTAATTTAAGATGTGCAAAGTAGGAAATGGAATGCATCTCACATCAGCAGTGCAAGTGACTCGAGCACCTTTAAATTCACGGCCGTCGAGTTTTTCGACGGCAGTCTTTAGATCTGCAGCAGTTTCGAATTCGACAAAGCTTCTGTTTGGTCAAAAGTTAATAGTCATCCAATCTAAATTATCTAGAAGTCACTTACCCTTTACCATCACGGTCGCGACCAGTTTCCGAATAAACGACGTCGAGGCTGGATTGACGAGCGAAGTCTTTAAGATCCTATATCCAGAAATCCACGTAAGTTGTTGTCCTGGACTGTTGAGCTTTATGAATGCCAAAGGATGGATGTTGCCCTTGAATTAGTAGCCAGGAATCTCTCTTTAATGAAGATAGCGCAGATTCACCTTCCAGAGGTAGGCCATCTTTCCAGCGCCACAATGACCATGATCCGGTTATGCAAGGGCAATAGCAAGCAATGATAGCAAAAAGGAAGTCGTGACATGATAAAAAGGGCGGATAGCGATTAACGTTTGTATGTGTCCATGAAATCCTAGTCGCCCGCGCAAATGCACTTGCATATTGTTATGGCATGAAAAATACAAATTCCATAACAAGCGCGTCGCTGACCAGGATTACAATGGTAACTTGGCCAGTGACGGTATGTTTAGAGGGAAGGCGTCCAAAACGATTATGATGTGGTATATAGTCCAAATAGCAATGATTGAGATCCATGAGTCCGGATGAAGGAACGGGGTAAACAGACCTGCCAGCTGGTCTCACCTGGAAGTCCAGAGATTTGCATTCGATGAGGGGTACGTCTGGGACGAGGAGCAGTTCGCTCAGGGTTATTGGCAAAGGTATCTCTGTTACGAGTACCACGAGCGAATTGTACAGTCAAGCGTTCGCCCATAAAGTCGGAACCGTGGAAGGCTGTGAAGAAGAAAATGTTATTAATTATGTTCGGGATCGGGATGATTTGGTGTGATTGTTGATTTCCTTACCAGGAACGACATCGCGCGCATCCATTGCATCTTTGTATTCAATGAAACCGAATCCATTCATAAGTTTAATCTCGGTGATTTCGCCAGTGCCGTGCGTGTTGAAATGAGCTTCAACATCAGCTTTGGTGGCTATTGAGAAATGGAAATGGTTAGTAAATGGATTGTTTGGGTGTCGCATGTCAATTGAAGATGTTGAATCAGCTTACCACTGCGAGGGAGATTTCCCAGGTAGAGTCTGGTCGAGGAAACCTCTGTCATCTTGATGTAATTGATGTTGTTAAAACTTGAGAGGTTGATTGTCGATGGATGTGATAGTTGGGTAGTGTGAGGGTGTTGATAGTTGAAAACTTTCGGCGTTCGACTTTTTCTTAACTTCGGGAAGCGGGAGCTTAATAAGATTGAGACCAACGCCGTCGTCGCGATCGCAAAACGAGAAGAATATCTCTTTTTTACTCCGGGGGATTATGTTTAAATGCAGTTGATCAAACGCGAAGTGTAATTAATTGTAAATGTAAATTGATCAATGCTTGCTGCAGCTACCTTAACCATCAGGTACTGGGTATGATATGCGCAAGAAAGTGGGGATTTTGGGAAAAAGGTGGATGGATGGATGATGAATGAGAATGCAAAGATTTGAATGAATTGGCTAATTTGGCTTTAAGGAAAAATGAGTTTAGATTCAGATTGGAGAGAAGGCTTGGAAGGAAGGACTAGCGCACCATGTAATTACCCAGTACGATAGGTGTACGGGAGTGCGGTGAGTAAGAATAGCATGTTTCCAGGGGTGAAGCTAATAATGCGGGCAAATGATTGTGTGCAACGCGCTCCTCACCCGACTGATAAGAAATTCCAAGAAACCGGGCCGGGTGTTCAATTATGGATTTTCACATGAAACAATTTGAGTGCCTTGTTACATACACACCCGGCTCTGACTAATCATTACCCGATTACCCCAGTTCGTTTCAAGGTAAAAGAAATTGTCTGGGTAACCAGAAGATTCTCAACGCTTCGACCATTTCCTGACCTAAGGTTCATCACCCAGGTATCTACTTGTGCCTCCCTAGTATTTATGTACCTGTCTCAGCCGGTTTATGGATATATCTCTGTTCTTACGCAGTAGCAGATGTTCAAGCACGGAGTGATTGCAGGAATCGAGCCTATCGTTCAAAAGAAGCTCATTGTTGCGATAGGTCAAATCATTGTCAACTACCGACCGGTATCATCAACATGTCAAACATCCAATAAAGTATAAAGTACTTCTTCCAGTGTCTTCATTCTCTACTCGAATACTTTACCCAAAGAAAATAGCAAAGTCAAAGAGTCAAAGTCACATGAGCAGAAGGCAGTCCCTAGTCTCCAAGTGTCCCTTTCACCGCATTATATCTCTCCCTCTCCCTTACTTCTCTTACTGCTTCTTACCTCAAATTCATCCAATTACATTCAACAGATTCCCCTCACGATTTCCCTTATTGCTGCATGCAAAGATTACATTCAACAATTTCATAATTTCTTTTCATCCCCCACCCCGTCCCAGCCCCCCTCCCCAGTTGTTTTTCTGACCATAATATCAACTACTATCAACACCATCAACACCACAGACAAAACTCCTCAAACAGTGTGAGCCTTTGAATTTGAAACATTTCTCATAATAGTACCAATGTACCCTCTGCCAACAAGAACTCCAAAGAAAGAGAGCCGAGTGAACCAATAACACCATACTCTTTCATCCAAAACATAATTGACTCCTTGCTCATCAAACCCCATTCCTTATTCACTAGAGTAGGCTCCCATTTGAAATGCAAAAGACCCCGTTGACGTAAGACTCCAACAAAACCATCAAAGAATAGAGATACAATAAACACGTTCATCCACTCATCTCAACATCTTGGGTATCATCTCGGATTTCATCATCACCTCCAAGCTCATGCTCAACCTCATCCCCAACAAATCCTTCATAGTCTTCAAGATTCTTTTGAATGTGAACCTTGAACTTGATGATGTCGTTTAACATCTTCTCAATCTCTGTATGCAATTCCTCGCGAAGAGTATTGGCTCGGAGAGTCAATTGTTCATACCTACATCATGTCAGTGTGAGAAGGCATCGAGTTATCTTAGGTTTACTTACTCAATGTTTGTATTCATCTCTCGTTGCTCCATTAATTGCACAGATTCTGTGAGACCAGCTCGCATCTTAGCTAACTCTTTCTCCATCTTCTCAATCTGTGCATCGGAAGCCAGCTTTTGAGTTGTCGTAACCTAACGGTATATTAACTACTGTTGAATACTCGGTGATTTTTGGTGATCTTACCTCTTTCGTCTTTTCATACTCATCCTCCGCAGCTCTAACACGGTGCGATAAAGCTTCCACCTCACTCCTCTTATCGTCAATGGCTTCTTTAATGTTGTCGAGTAAGTCGTTGTGCTTCTCCATTTCTTCAACGGCCTGAGTCCTTCGTTCGGAAATCTCTTTTCTAAGGCTAATGAAGCTGTTCTTCACATGACCTCGAAGATCCAGGTTCAAGATATGAGCTGGCTGATAACCTGTCGTGGGATCGGCAAGAAGTCTATCGCCGTCTCTCGCTCCAGCATGAGAACTTGCCATTTGTGATGCCGAGAAATTGGGTCCTTCGTTAACAACAACCTGGAGTTCATAATTCTTTCCTTTGGCGTTGATTGCAGTGGATGGGATAAGTCCTATTTGGTATCCTAGACTGTTGTACTTTTCCACTGTTCTCTCCAGATCTTCCAACTTGCGACTCGCTTCCAACTCCTTTTCGGCAACCTTTCTTCTCGCTTCCTCCAATCTCTGTTGCGTAGCTTCGTGTCCCTTCTGAAGTCGTTCCATTTCAGAATTCAGACGATCAATATCTTGCATACTCATTCCTCGACTATCTATTTCCTCTTGGAGTCTTGATCGCTCATCAGATGCTTCTTTGAGTTCTTGTAAGACTTTGTCGAGCTCCTCTTGCAAGAACTGTATCCGAGACTCATATTTCTCGGACTTTTGATTCATCCGATTGTCAAACTCTTCAAATTTCACTTTATCATCTTCCATAATTTTGAAGTTGCGGTCTAAAGTGGCAATGTCCGAGCCAGTCTTCTCGAGGGTCTCGATTTCCTTTTGCAATCTTTCGTGCTCTCCTTCAAGGACACGCATTTCATCGAGGTATTTCGAATTTCCTCTGTTGAATTCCTGTGCCATAGCTTGGATATGGGGAGCAAGAACTTGGTCCTGATCATCGTCTCCGGCATCTTCGTCCATGGAAAGCCAATCTCGGTATGCACTACTGAGAAAGTTGAAGATGATGCGATCACCACTAACATCAACACCAGCTTCTGCGCATGCCTCATCATATCGATCGGTGCCGTATCCATCCAGCATCTGAGCAAGCTGCATCATCCAATGTAACAATCCAAGGAAGAGTGGCCAGGAATTTGCGCCTCCAACCGCGGATAATGCAGATTTAGTTATGCTTTTCTGGTATGGATAACGTAGCTGAGCCATGATTGGAGGTACCTCTTGATCGATAGCCTTTTGAAATCGATAACTTGGATCAATCCTGTGGTAAAGCCATTGGAACATAAAGACAAAGTCCTTTTGGGTTGGCGATTTCAAAGTATTGGCCGATACGTTGTGGTTCATTTCGATATCGTAATTGTTGTTCGCCATATACTCTAGCAACTCTTGACCAATCTTTCCTTGATAAGCTCGGTCTCTCAACGGACGTGGATCTTTTGGTACTCCAGCTGGTTGTGGTCCAGTTTGAAAGAAACTTTGATGTCCCATCGGTCCACTTGTCGAAGTTCGGGCTCGATAAACACTGCTTCGACGTTCTGCTCCTTCACCAGATGCGCGACCCATTTGAGGAGGTGCATAACTTTTTCGGCCACCACTTTGTTGAAATGAAGTCCTTTTTACAGATGAAGTTCCTATATCTGCCAAATTTGTGCCCGATGATGATCGTGAGAATAAAGGTTGATTTGGTCGCGAAGGTGCAAGAGATTGTCTGGCTCCAGCACTACGAACATGACTGGCGGTAAAAGGTGCATTGTTGTAACCACCGATTGAATTCGATCGTTTCATGGCAGATGCTGGTTGTGGTAAACTCGAATTGTAGTTGATGCTTCCTAATGTCTACACGGAATGAGCAATGGAACAATCTAAATTAAACATTTGAAGGGGGGGTATAAGGATCCTTACCTCTCTGGGTCGGCGCACGGAGAAAGGACCAGTGTCTTGCGACATTTTCAATAATTGTCCTCCAGAATGAGGCTTCCCTTTATGAAGAATATGTGATGAGTTCTTTCTATATGAAAGATGATATTGAAGATCGTAAAAGGTTGTTTATCTGAAGTATTTTTATTTACATAAACATGCAGATTTGCGACAACAAAACTTCTGAGTTTGGTGTATCGAAGGGCCAACGCTTGGGGAAAGTAAACAATTCAATTTGGATTAGCTTCAAAATCAGATAAGACGATCACGTGTTATCAAGGGATTCTGAACAAAGGTGAAAGGGAGCAAAGGTCGCGGTACCTCGGTTCCGGCCATTCATATTTTAGTGTTCAGTTCCCCAGATTTCCCAGCTTGGTATTTGTTTGACGGTGAGAAGAAGTTTGGTTTTCCTTTTCTCCTTTTCATCTATACTCAACATGGCGATTCGTGAGGAACTCGTGGTGTCTGCTGTAAGTTATTCTAACTCCTGTTTAAAACCGAATACTGATGCTTCACTAGGTTTCATGTGAGAATATTCCAGCTGAGATGGCTTCAACATTTCTAACATGTCAATAGTTCTTCAGGACCCAAGTGTCTCTGCATCACCCTTAGAGAATCGAATCGCGTTTTTACAATCAAAAAATCTTACACAGGAAGAAGTCGATGCGGCCTTAGGAAGAGCCAGCGGCGAACAATCGCCAGCGCCACAAAACTATTCGAATTATGCACCACAACAACAGCTCGTGAGACAACCTCAACCTGGGTATGGGGGTTATCAACAATATCCCTGGCAACAGCCTCCCCCGCCCGAAGTGCCAAAACGAGACTGGAGAGATTGGTTTATCATGGCCACGGTAACGGGTGGCATAGGATACGGGGCATATTTTCTGGCTAAGGTAAAGGTCCAGCTTATTCGGAGGCATCGAGTCTGCTAACACAATCAGCGTTATATCTATCCAATAATCGCTCCTCCCACACCTCCTCAACTGGAGCAAGACAAGAAGGAGATTGACGATTCCTTTGAAAAAGCATTCTCTCTTCTTGATCAGTTAGCTAAAGATACCGAAACTCTCAAGACAACCGAGCAAGAACGAACAGAACGATTAGACATAGCCTTAACCGAAGTAGAGACTGTGATTAACGAACTGAAATCTGCGAGCCGAAGAAGGGATGAAGAATCTCGACGTATGGGCGATGAGGTCAGGGGGCTCAAGGATTTAATACCCAGAGCCATGGAAGGGCAGAAGGAAGTGACAGACAATAGATTGAAAGAGTTGGCTGTGGAAATGAAGAGTCTGAAGACATTGATGGGTCAAAGAATGAATCCAACCTCAGCAATTAACCCACCCTCGAATGTGACTCCATACAACAGAGTTCAAAGTTCAGCTTTACCATCGACCCCTTCTCCAATCACTTCGATTACCACTCCTAGCAACCCGACTCCTGCCGCGGATTCACCCATGGAAACCACCATTCCTAGACCAGCATCAGTCGGTACCAGCTCAGGTACTGAAGCCGTAGCATCTGTTCAAGGTCGAAATGTCACTCCATTCAATTTCAGTACTGGTGCGCCAGCAGGAGGAGCAAAGATTCCAGCTTGGCAAATGGCAGCTGCCACCAAGAGCACTAGCTCTATCCCAACAACTACCACCACAAATGGAACACCAGAAGCAAGCGGGTCAGCTCAGGCATAAATGCAACATCGGCATATCTGGAGTCAATGAAATTGCATGGAACGGCGCGTTAGGGTGTTAATGATTGGAGACGGAGATCTTGGAATATATCGCGTAGGATGTTAACAATATAATATAATGAAACATAAGTATCTGTGTTGGGTCTATTATACGAAGGGAGTGCCTAGATTTCGGTCAACGGCAGGGAAGTTTATTTATTTGGCGCTAGGTTTATCAGTCATTTAAGAACTCATTTAACTGTACACTGAAACGTCTGAGACCAGGAGGAACAATGGTCATTCTCATGTAGTCCTGTACATTTATCATCAATTTATGTTTGATATCAAGCACTTTAGACCAGAATATCATCTAGTTTCTATTCTATTATAAATTTCTATCAGCATATACTCAGAGTCGTGCCCTATTAGTTCCACCACCATTTATGCTCCCATTCTCCTCCTTCACTTTGCCCTCCTCTTCCAAAAACCTCGCCTGTTTCTTCATCCTCTCAGTCACAGCTTCATCACTCTCCTCCCACAACCCTTCCACATCAATCCTTGTCTCCTTAGTCCCCTTAGCATTACCACTAATCATCACCCCCCCGGTCTCTATCCCTCCATTCTCCCTCTCCCTTTCCCCCTCCCTCCTCCCCCAACCTCTTTACAAAACCCCGCCCACCCCTCAAAACACCTCCTCGTTCCCTTCAAATGCGGCAGCGCCAACGCAAAACAATGCGGCATCCACTCATACTCCTCCCATCGCACCTTAACCCCCGATCGCACCAATCTCCGCGCTAGTATCTTATTCTCATCGCTCAACAACTCCGTCCCCACCATGAACAAAATTGGCGGGCTCCCCTCCCACGCACTTGCCTGCGCCGCCAGCGGCGAAACAAGTGGATGGATGAGCATCGCATCCTCGCAGTAGATATTGGATCGCGGAGATGGCGCAGGCCAGAGTTTACACCGCGGATAGGGGATGGAATGGGAGGGGGAGAAGAGAGATGGAGGGGGTATGTAGTCGTATTTACTGTTTGTTTCCATGGAAGGTGAGGAGCGTAGGAGATCTGTCCAGGGAGAATTAAGCGCTAGACCGGCTGGTAATGGAAGATGCCGTGATACACCGTTCCAAATTATGGGGGTAGATGTTTTGTGTAGATGGAGAAGTAGGAGGAGAAGCGATAATGAGAGGTTCCCGCCTGCGCTGTCGCCGGATAGGATGATGTTTTCGGCGGGGACAGCGGTGTGGAATGAGTCTCCGGGTGGATAGAGGAGGTGCAGATATGCGACTAGACAGTCTAGCAAAGCAGCCGGAAAGGGGTTCTGAGGCGCAAGTCGATATCGAAGAGAGAGAACTCGGCCGCCTGTTATCTTGGCGAGTTTCTTGCATGGGCCGCGATAGCTGGCGGGATCAAGAAGCCAGTGTGCTCCCCGTGCATATAGAGGATTGTCACGGGAGAAGTAACTTCTTTCATCATCTCAACGTATTGTTGAGCTTCTGAAATTCGAAGTCTTGGGGCATTTTTAGGCGCATAGCCGCGATGGCCGGTCCATTCGCCTTCTACGGGGAATAAATCTGGTTTTTGGAATCCTCCATCTTGTGGTGATTGTCCGGAATTCAGTGGGACTTTCATGTCCTCTATAACTTTGAATAACTTCTGACGAACATCATCTTCAGAGGGGATTGCCAGCGTGACTTTAGATATCCAGATCCGGCCTTTGATTCCAGAATCCTGTAGTGTCACAGCTTGGATTTTGGAAATGGGGGATGGGGCGGCGTACAGGAAAGAGCGGAGAATGTTGACTGTGAGTTCGGTTTTGAGATCCCAGTGGGTGGAATGGGGGGACATGCCTAGAGTGTGAGAAACAAGGGTTTTCCCTATCATAGGCATCTTTGGGAGCATAAGTTTTGCTATGGAGAGGGGTGAATTCGTCTCCATGATTGATGTTGGTCTGGGTGGCAAATGCGAGGAGGTGTTGAGAAATGTATGGCACAACAGGAACAACGGATGTGAAGAAAATGGACAGTATATAGATGGACCAACTGTTGGGCTGGACTTATATATTTGTCTCCAGAATGATAGATTCTTTGGAAGAGATTACTATGAATCCACTTGGATTCAGCTCAAATCTTTATACCAAATCTTCAAGCCAACATCAAACACGGGAATACAATTCAGATTAGGGTAAATACATGATATTGCGGAACGCCACTCAATTGATCCCAATTTACCTTCCCCATGCGACGCTAATACGCTTGTAATGAACCTCGGCTGTTTGATGCATCAATTTTCAGAACGTGTACATTAATATTGGTTGTATATATTTGATTCAACGGATTGGGACTGGTCAATGAAATGTTTCGTCTCGCAAGCTTGTGCGTTTGCGTTCAATGTTCGTGATAGGTCTAAGGCTAAGAGGCTGAGAGAAGAGAGGGGGAAGAATTCTGTTGAAGCGAAATGCCCGTTTAGTACCTAGTAGTTAGTAGTCGCAATCAATTGTTACAAATGGGCAAGTGATGAAAATCATGAACCAAGATCCAAAATTATCATTCTCATATCTATCATTGCTTGTCTACATCCATATTTAGGTCAAAACCTAAGAAGATTCAACCAGCATCCACACAATGCTTTAATCTTGCTTTTGTCCTTCCCAATCTTTCCATCATTTGTATCAAAAATATTAAAATTCCTATTTCATTGAAATCATCCCAGGCATTGAAATTTCCATCCCCGTCCCTCCCCTTCATTTCCCGGAACCTGTATCTACCACACTCTTGGTCTATTTAGACGTGAAGAGTATGTGCAAGCGAATATCGCGCTCTGTGTAGAGGATAATCGTAAACATGCAATTCAAAGAAAGAAAGTAGCCGTCCCATGTAATCTATGCAAGTGGCAAGCAGAAAGAATCGCTGCAAAATTAAAATCGACTTTGAGAATTTATGCCTTGATTTCATACTCTCTGCGGAACATGTCGTCAACGCTCTTGAGGTAGTAGGTACCCTCGGCAATGGTATCTGGGCTACCCTTAGGTGTGTATGACTTTTGGAGATGGGCTTCCTTGCGGAGAGCGCAGAACTATTTTATGTTAGCATTGAAATCAAAGGAGTAAATTTCAGAACATATTCTCACCTCTTCGTAAACTTCTGGGGCGACGGTTCTGCGAGCATCGAGTCTTTCTTGCAAGTTCAAGGCCTTTGCTATGGTCTCAGTGGAACCGTTGATCTTCAATGAGAACAAACTTGCAGCCAAACCACTTCCGTAACTGAAAACACCAATTCTCTTTCCTTGAAGGGTAGCGCTATCAACGTTGCTCAACAAACCAACCAATCCACCATAAACACTGGCAGTGTACATGTTTCCACAGAATGTTGGGACTTGGATACTGGGTTGAACACGCTCATTGAAACGCTTCTTGGTCAATCCCATGAATGTCTTCTCGACAACCTTGTCGGTCAAAGACTTGGCGTAATCCATATCCCTCAACTCAGCTGGTACATCGGCAAAAGCTGACGCAGTTGGGTTGGCAAGGTAATCATTGTAGAGCATACGGGCGTATGATTTGGAAACGAGCTTGCAGGTGGGGGCGTGGAAAGACATATAATCGAAACGATCAATAGGAGTTTTTGTTGATTCCTCAGTGACGGCACCATTGGTATGTCCGTTGGCTAGGGGCTTAAGAGTTTGTTCCCTCTTGTTGTATGCCTTGTAGCAGGCATCAACTGCTTCGGTGTAGCATCTCAAAGAGAAGTGACCATCAACGATTGGGTATTCGCTTGTAAGATCTGGCTTGTAGAAGTCGTAGGCGTGTTGCATGTATGTTCCGCGAAGACCAGGCTCGACAACAACTGGAGCATTTGGGCCAATCAACATGGCAACAGCTCCGGCACCTCCAGTTGGACGCGCAGCACCCTTAGCATATAAAGCGATATCTCCAGCAACGACAATGGCGTCTCTTCCATCCCACGCAGACGACTCTACCCAGTTGACAGCGTTGAAAACCGCGTTGGTACCACCGTAGCATGCATTAACAGTGTCAATTCCCTCAATATTCGAGTTATCTCCGAACAATTGCATAAGAACTGATTTTACGGATTTCGATTTATCGAGAAGAGTCTCTGTACCGACCTCAAGACGTCCAATGGTTTTGGTATCAATGTTGTACTTGCTGAGAAGGCGAGAGGTAACGGTCAAGGCAAAAGAGTAAATGTCTGCAAGATGCCACGCATAAGTAAAAAACCAGAACACCTTTTGCGGATATACAAATTCTTACCTTCTCTATCGTCGCAGAAGCTCATCTTGGTTTGACCAAGACCAATTGTGTATTTTCCTGCACTAACGCCATCGAATTTCTCGAGTTCTTCTTGAGCAACACACTGGTGGGGGAAAAGCACACAAGTCAGTTTTCCGAATAAACAAACGGGATTTTGCAGCAGAGTGGAAAAGGGAGATCTGGTAAAGTACCTGGCTTGGGAAGTAAATTTCAATGGCCTTGATGCCGATGTTTTGAGGACGAGTAGACATGATTGCGAGGGGCGGTGTGTGTGTGTGTGTGTGTAGTTCAAAAGATTGATGTGAAGATATAAGATAAAAAGGGATCTAGAGAGCAAGCTCTTAAATATCGTTTGTATGTACAGTCAAGAAAAATTGACGAGACTGAAGACAAAGATTGATGTTAGTATTGTTCGAAAATACTAGGAACGCAAGTGAATTAGAAAGAAGAGATTGTTCCCTTCCAAATAGAAATAGAAGTAAAAAATCCGAAGAGAAATAGGGGGAAACTCTGATAAAGAATTATTATCTTTATATCGAATTTTTTGATTATCTGTATCAACAAAATAATCCCAATTTCCCGCTAGATCACCGCCAACACAGCCCGATAATCGGTAGCCGGCCTAGAGAGGAAACAATCCCATGTCCACTTCACCACCCTTCACGCCATTCGTGGTAAGGTTTCCCCTCAACAGTTTCTAACTAACGAAATGAAGAAAGACAACAGTGGAGATTTTGACTGACCGATATATGAGATATGTACTCGAGTACTGGTGGTGTGAGATGTAGGAAGAGAATTGGACTATGTGAGGATTCAAAGATTCGAAGATTCGAAGATTCGGCCTTAATACTCAAGCAATATATACAATAGACGTACGTGTATACGAAGAAGATCAACAACTTTTTCAATGATTGATCATCCCACTTCCTCTCTCACCGTTGGGGGGGATGTCGGTACAATTTATACTTCGTCTATCTGTCTTCTCACCTTCTGAAAAAAGGAAGGGTACAATATATAGTTTTACGTGCATACATTTGACAACGGATATGCTAAAGAAAATAGAACCCTTCTAACTAATGCAGACCCCTGAGTTTCCATGACAGGATTCTTCACCTCTACTCCATCAGAGTCCATCTTCTCATCCTGAGATCCTTGAAAACCATACAACGACATCGGCCTCAAGAAGAGAAAACTTGATATCGTCAACTGCATTACCCGATGGCGTGGGATAAGTGAGCGAATGTGGCGGTTGAGTCTAAAACTTTCAAGTGCAGGTGCAGCTCTTGTGTTGTTGCTTGTGCGAGTACTGGTGAGTAGGGGTCAATTGAGGTTGTAATATTGGTTAGCTCATGCAGGAACGAACATCAGGTCAAGCCAAACTCGTGAAAGCTTACCATTCGAGAAGTGGCTGGCAGATTAGCAACTTTTTTCACACGTTAGCTCTGGTCTATCGGCCGAATACGTCCTTATGCATTTCTACTATGAGGCAAACAAACTACATTCAGCATCTACAGTCTTCACTGAACTTCTTTCGCCCTCCATGGTTGAGCTCGCATAAGATCAGAAAGGGTACAAAATGATAAAGCCTCTTTGATGTGAGACTGTGGCACAATGCTGGAAATCACACCATCAGTACAGTCACAAATTTACAGAAGATGTTCAAGTATGGATGAAGTGAAAAGTTTCCTTGGCCAGGTGGATAGTTTCCATGGATTTCTGTACAATAGCTCGCCTCGGACCCGGAGATCTTTTTTATCTTGATTATCTTTTTGATCAGATAAGATTAAAATTTTGATCTTGGACATTCTCCATCGAGAGTGTCCACAATCTCTCCACTTCAGACAGCATCTTTATATGTTATGTGTCATGATATCGGAATCTTGGAAGAAATTCTTCAAAATGGTGTCAAAATGGATCTGAGAACCTTGAGGACGAGCTCAAGATTCATATAATTACCTCACGGTGCGGGATATACTCCGATACACAGCCTTATCACTATCTCCACATGATCTATTAATCATTCAAGGCAAGTCGAGACTCAAGAATACACATCTGTTTTCATCCAAGGCAAGTCGACGCTTGGAGACTACAAGCTGCTGAAACCGGATATCGTCTATATATATATATATCACGCCACACTCACTCTCTCGAACAAATCTGCTTCGTCTGAGAATTCTACGATGTAGGATGTGACCGGAGGATGATGTTAGCTTTCAAGGAGCCTAGGCGTCGAGTTTCCTTCCTTTTTATACTAAAGCTGAATAATCTTCAAATGTTCCAGAAGAAGCTACTACGTAAGAATCACGGTATCGAGCGCTCAGAAATCAGGAACAGATACCCTAACGAAATTTACGAAGTCCGATCCGACGCGGGAACGCGGGAATGTGTCTTCCCGTGTTCAAGTAAGTTTAGTATCGGATTCATATCGGTGATGGGAAATAAATGGCGAGTTGCGGATTCACCCGAAGATATAATCGCCAAGAGTAGCTCGAGTAGGTAAACTAAGATTTCGCAATAATAAATCTTTATTGACGAGACTCCTTTGGAAATTGGGATGAATCATATCAAGTCTTTGTATCCTCAGATTTTGAGGAAATGTTTATCCCACAGACAGCCGGCTGGAAGAGGAAAGGAATGCGAAAGGAGGGTTAAGGAAAAACTTTGATCTTTTCCGGTACTCTTATGAAGCATTGCTTTTCTTAACCCAAGGAGATCATTTCCATATTAGGCATTTTTGGGTAATATCCCCATCGGCAAGAGAAATATTCTACCAAAAAAAGACATCAGTTGGTGAGTCGAGGAGAAATATATGAGTCCTTGTGACATGATTCAGTATCGCCTATCGGTTCCATCAAGCACAGAGCTTTACCTACCTATTTGACGGAGAGCTTTTAGAGCTTTCATTACCATCAAAATTAAGCATGAAATCATAGATTTCGGATTGTTTTGGTCTATTTACAAGTACAGACAGTATCAAGCTTTAGACTGGAGCTTGGGAAATATTTGGAATGGAGGAAGCCGAGACGAGTGCCAAGAGCCAAGTCATTACTTTTGAAATTTGACAACCATTAGTTGAACAAGACAAAACGGCGAGACAAAGTTTGGCTACTGAGCCACTCGTTCTTATTCCTCGTAAACACGCAATTTAGAGGGAAGCCATAAGATTTTCTGGAATGTCGGAATTCCTTCTTTCTACACCATAGTAGTTTCTCCGTAACGAAGATCACCAACAGATGATGCAAATGCACTGTAGCGGAAATGTATCGTGTGCTTCGGCGTGTGCCGGTGATATCCAAATCAGGTGTCTTACGGCAGTTGGTTCGCACGGTTTGATGCGAAGGGGTGTGAAAAAGATTTATCCCAAGTGTATCCCATGTTCAATTTGCGGGGCTTTGGTGTGCTTGGTGTAGTATCAGACACAGGGTATCAATACCGAAGAGGCAGCAGGTTAATAGATAATGAAATGAATGATTGAATGAGATGCATGAAATGATAATTCTTTAGACTTTGAGAGTTTTGACTGGTTTATCATTTGGGCATCAATGGATGAGAAATGAGAGGATGGAGGGTGAAGATATGTGAATGTCCTCTGTTCGTTTTGATACAATAAAACATTTGGGAAGATATACCCCACGAGTCCACCACCTCAGCCCCTTCATCGCCTCGCTACGAGAAAACTTGTCTAATTCAATAAACTGTTGCTTACCATTCCTACCAAAATGCAGGTGCAGATACATAACTGTACGTAACATTTCGATTTTTGAAGTCAGCAAATGTATATTAATGAATTTCAGAAACACCATCCATGGATTCTATACCCGCAACACCATCTTTACTATTCCTTGTAAAGCTCTGTCGGTCTCACAATTTGAAAAAATGTTCAAATTCTATTTTCATCCCCACAGATTTCCCGGCATCTAACGATGATATTCCGAAGCAAGACTTTCATTAAAAATCATCAAAGAACAATTAGAAGTGAGCTTTGAATTTATTCGAATTTCCACTACCTCCAAAGTGCTCTCGTGATTTTCGTAAACGTTATCGGCTGTTAGATGAGACGGATTAACTTCGAGTCTGTCTAATCTGTCTACTAGACTCATACAAACATCGTGCATACAATATATTGGTATGCTGACGGCGGACTTATCTCCCATGTCAGCCAACTTCAATAACAATTATTGTAACATCGTCATCGGGCATTTTTGGATTTAAGGTTGTTCACTCTTTAAGTTTTATTCGAAGCCCTGAAAACATTCCAAAGACCCAGTTTCAATCCACACTTTTAATACCTTCCTTTGACGATATGCTGGCTGGCAATGGGATTATGGGGATTCTTTGAGCTGGGGTAGGGAAGTGAATAGTTGGTAGAATGTATGACCTTTTCATTTTCTATACTTAAAAGCACAACGCATGGTTGGATCCTTCACCTCTAGAAAGGTGATAGATTTCAAGAAGCAAGATTAGATATTTTCTTGTACATCCCAATTAGACAGTATAAATAAGTCCGACCGAATAAAAGGCAGTAACTATACACCGGAATTTTAACGATGTGATCTTCCATGTCTTTTGCTGTACCTGAGTATCTAGTTACAATTTTTTTTGGGTAAATCGCCACTCATTTTCCTCTTTGGCCCTCGTCTGCATTCCAATCCAATCACGTATTACTCTTGTATTTATATTTTTCAGTATCGGATTTCCCTATTGGTCTTCATAAAATGTGCTAAGTAGGCAGGTTAATTCCGAGCACCAGAGGCACACCACAACAGGCACAATAGTCTAGATTTTGATACAAACAAGCACTTGGGGATTTCAAGCACATCCTTCTAGTTTCCTACAACCTTATCTTATTTTGGAAAAGTACTCCATAAATAAAGTGGCTACTTGTTGGATAGAAACCAATGAAAATCGATACGAAAACCAGGAACCATTCTAAGCCATACATAACAAGGAACACTAGACCTTGAGATGATTAGTGTTATATTTTCAAGACTCATTACCAGCATTTTTCGTACTTGAACCATTATCAACTGATCATTTAATTGGATATCGATCCTCGTTAAGCGAGTATATGTAATCCACTGTATCGTCTCGGATTTGGAACTTGGCGTACTTGGCGATCTTCTTCTCACTGGTCTAAGCAGCTTCCCTCAAACAAGTCTCTCCTGGAAAATACCCCCAAACCTCAATTTCTACTTACTGTACACCCAAAATACCAAGGAAAATCATTTCTCTACGACCCATTCACTCATTTTATACTTCACACTTCACATTTTACACCTCACACCTCACACCTATCAACTTCAATCAATAATAACACATCATATCATTTCGGTCATCATTGGATATTAACGCGAATAACGACTACGACAATTGACATTTATACCCTTTCGATCCCTTTCTGGAACCCTTTTGATGAATAAACGACCGATTATATATAACTTCACTTACTGCGAGAAGGAGAATACCATTTAAAGTTGTACTTACGGACTTTTGATTGAGGCGTGTTGTGTGTGTGTGTGTGTGTGTGTGTGTCGTGAGAGTGTTGAACACTCGGGAGTGCGGACATCCGTGGTCATATAGGCGCTCACTCGATCGTGAAAAATGGGCGAATCTAATCATTCTTCACACATCGAACATAATAGAAGGGAGTCTGAAAGGTCGACGCGATTATCGATGCAAATGCAGGACGAAGATGAAGAAGATTATGCTTTGGCGGCCATGGGAATATCGAATGGTGGTGGTTACAGACCCTCGGACTCACATCAACATACTTACACTCCACCACCACCACAACAAGAACCAATACAGGAACAACAAACTCAAACCCCATTATCACCCATAGAAAGACGAAGAGCATCAACACCACCGCCACGACCTTCGAGTACAACAAAACCAAGAGGAATTGATTCGTTCGCATTACGAAATGATGGTGGGAATGGTCAAATGTCGAGGGGTCCAACATTCGCGTACTCGGGGGAGAATGGAAGTGGAAGTGGTTATGGATTAACGAGGACATCTACTGCAACGAGTATATCGAGCATATCGAGCGAATCAATTATGATGAGACCGGAAAGCCCGTATAGAGGACCTACAGGACCATCACACCCATATAATATGTATAATCAAGACTCACGACTAGCGAGAACAGCGAGTATAGCGACGACGTCAACAATGCCGGCACCACCACAGGAAATGTCGTACACGGGACCAAGCGGACCAACACATCCTTACGGCATGTACCCGCAGAGTACAGTTTCAAGTGATTCCGACCAGTTGCCGATTGCGCCCATTCCTGTTGGTTTCCCAGGTCTTAATAATGATTATCAACGAAGATTAGGTCCGGAAGGTGAGGAGGCCGCGGATCTTATCGGGCCTGATGGGCACACGGAACAATTACCACCTTATACCAAATATCCGGATGAGGCTTTTGCTAGAAAACTACGACCTACATCTGTACCAACACCCGTACTTGTACCTACCATTCAAATGCCAGCTCCTATCGTTCCTATATCTGGTGCTGGTGGTATGGGACTAGCGACTCGAAATCCCGAATTTGCCTCTAATGAAGATCTTCGTTCATCGCAATCACGCCAATCATCAAGGAGTATAATGTCAGATCGAAGTTCACATCAAAGCAATCACACCGATATGGAATATTCCGAAAAGCCTCCACTGAAGAAATGGCAAGTCGTTGCCAAAAGAAAACTGTGTGGAATCGTTCCTGTATGGGTTGTTGTTTTGATAGTCTTGGTCTTCGTTCTCTTTGGAATTGTACTTGGAACCGTTTTTACCGTTTTGAAGCCGAAACATGGTGGTGACCCTAATAATAGTTCTAGCAAGGAACATCATGACCAGTTAGTTTTCATCATTTAATACCTAATACCAGGATACTAATTTTTCTCTAGATCAAGCCAAACAACAGTATATGCGACCATGACCACCACATTCGATGCAACTCCTCTGTCTACTGTACCTGCTTCGCTTCCATCGCTTCCAACTGGAACGTACAACATGCCCCTCACCGTTCCTTCAACTGCCCAGAGTAGTTGCATCATGAACACCGCCGAAAACTCAGCTTGGAGTTGCTCCATAGCAATGACACCACTTGAAATGTCTATTATAGACATTCCAGGTGGTGACGAACTCGCCAATAAGGAAATATCCATGAATTATGGCAATGCTTCCTTGAATTTCTATCCATACGGCGCCCAACCACCGATTTTGTCGTCTGCTCAGGTTCTATCTCTCGTCAATGATTCGGAATATCCTAGTCGAGGTCCAGCATGGTTTTTCCAAGTGCCATACAATAAGGTAGTTGTATTACCACAGAAGGCTCTCTCAACAAACATGAAGCGTCAACAACCTGCCTCGGGTTTCATGAATCGTAAAGGAGTAGCTCAAGCTGGAGATCAACCTTGGTTTTGTTACTGGAATGGAACCTTATTAGAGGCATTCATTTATGTCAATGAAACTAGTAGCTCGGGTTCTTCTGCCACGGTCACTTCAGGTGGTTCGTCTCCAACTGAAACCGGTAATGCATATGGTACGAGCACTTACTCATCAGATGTACCTTCATCTACAACTGGAGTTCAATCACAACAGTCTTCTTCATCTGGATCTTCTCAAAATAGCCCTCAATTCTTACCTCAATATCCTAAAGTTTACAAAATCGCCGAACGCCGTATCCCTCGAGGTGGTCAAACTGTTCCAGCTTACTGTGTAGCTCATCAGATCTTATCAAATGGTGACGCTGAACCATTAATGAATTCAACTGGTCAGCCAATTACCATCTATTTAAATGAGACGGAACCCACAAGTGTCTCGCCATTGTCGTCTCGAAGTCTTGTCTCGGACTTCTTCAAACGAGATTTGGTGGAACGAGACGGGGATGAGAGTTGCGGTTGTGTGTGGCTGGAATCTTAAACTTTGATCTCACTTGGACGCGAGACGAGACTTGATTTTCAATAATTTATGGGCGTACTTTATGAGGATTGGCGGGACTTTGGGGGTTTTCAAATGGGAAGGATATCTATTGTATATTGGACTCGGTTGGGAACATGGCGTTTGGAACATGGGATGGATATGCATAGCAAGAGCAAGCCTTCTTGATCTTTTGCAGTATTGTTATTCGAAGCAATGGAATTTTGGGTATGTAGGATTTGGGTTTGGTTTTTTAGGTTATATTATATGTTGTGGCTATTTCTTTCTATATCTCTCTGGACATGTTAAAATGGAGAAGATGGGGTATTTGATAAGGAATTGGTTATGAAAGAGGAGGATGTACCGCCGGATGGATGAATATCAAGATTTGAATAAAGACGGGGTTTATGAAGAGTGGAATGAGGAAAGAGAGAGTGAATGGGGATGTGAAAGGGAACGTGGATGACACTTTTTTTTGATAGCAATTAGCAATGAAAATGGTAATTGATTGATCTGAATGATTGTAATGTGAGAGTGCAATATGAGGAGCCTCGAGTGTATAAAAATGTGAGACGAACAACTTTCGTGAATCTTATTAAAGTTGTCCTAGGCTGGTATCTTGATATCTGGGTATCTCTAGAGTCTACGCGCCCTCTTTCTATCTCATGTTCTGTCCCATCTGCTATTTAGTTCTTCCTAGCCCTCGAATTTTAGAACGTCACCGCATTTATAAAGAGGCACTTATTTGTATGCTTCGGGGGAGGGTGCTTATATGTGTTGTTCTTTTAGTACCTTTCTTATTCATTAATTTATGAACGTTAGCGGGCGGGTCTACACTCTTTTTTCTTTTTTCTTATTCATCGTGCTAAGGAAATCACACTTCTCTGTCAATACTACATATGAGAAATAATCTATTATCAGATAAAGCAGCTTAGTGTTCAAATATAACTACAACGAATTCATGAGCGCCTAAATCTATTCCCATACCAATGTCCAAACCCCCTCACATATCTACATTTCCTACTCAGAAGATATTGAGAAGCGAAGAGATCTCCCCCACAATCCCCGTAGCAGCAGCCGTCGCCGAGGTAGTTGGTGCACTAGTAATGCTTGAGATATCCGTAGTGGCAACACTACTTACACTTTCCTTCGTCGTACCACTCGCAGGACTACTCTGAACACTCGAAACACTCGAAACACTCGACAAACCCGACCCGCTCTGCACACCCGAGACACTACTCCCGTAGCAGAAGCCATCGTAGTCATCCCGCTCGTTCTCGTCGACGCCGCGCTGTATACACTCAACTGACTTGAGTATCCCGCCGCGCCCGCTTTGTAAAACGCAGCATTTCCAGCTTCGGCGCTCACGATGGGATCTCCGTAGCCGGTGGGGATGACGATTTTACTAATGGATGCGGAGGAGGAAATGGTGGATGTGGCGGTTGTGGCGCTGAGGGAACAACCGATGGTTCGGATGGCGGTGGAAGAGATGGTGGAGAGTTTGGTTACGGATCCGAGGGTGTTGGTGGCGGGGGAGACGAAGTAGGTTATGTCGGTTACGGTGTTGGAGACGGAGCAGGAGATGGAACTGCTGGAGGAGGAGATGAGGGAGGAAGAAGTTATGGTTCCGCTTCCTGAGATCGAGCTTGAGCTAATTCCTGATGATATGGTTCCACTGGAGGTGATGGAGCCAGTTCCTGATGATAGTGGTCCGGTGCTGGTGAGAGATCCACTGGTGATGGAACCGGTTCCAGATGAAAGAGATCCACTAGCTGAAGCTGAACCAGTTACAGATGCTAAGGAGCCAGTGCTGGTAATGGAGCCAGTCCCTGTTGGTGCTGATCCAGTACTGGTGAGAGATCCGATGGTTTTTGAATCGACTCCAGAAGAAATAGATCCACCGGCTGAAGTAGAACCAGTTCCAGATGCCAAGGAGCCAGTGCTAGTAATGGATCCGGAGATTCCACTAACACTGGTCAATGAACCAGATGCAGAAGATGATAATTGAGCAGACGTAGCTACAGAAATGGAACTTTTACTGGGTACCAAAGAGCTAGAGGTCGATGAGCTGGAGAGCGAAGAAACCGTGGAAGATGAGACTTGAGATGTCTGAGTTAAAGCTACCGAAGTAGGAATTGGGCTGGTGCTTAAAATCGAGGATTTGGAGATAGTACTCGTACTACTTGGTGCCACAACCGAAGTCGATGTCGAACTCGTCAAAGTAGAAGTAGGTTTAGTGGATGTAGATGACGTGGTTGGAATCGAAGTTGACTTGATTGAAGTGGTAGTGGGAGTCTCGGTGGTTTTCACCGAGGTAGTCGTAGGTGTAGTTACCACGGCCGTAGTCTTTTGCGTTGTTGCTGGAGCCGTGGTTTTCTGGGTTGTCGGTGCAGCCTCCGTTGTTTTAGCGGTAGTTTTGGCAGTGGTTTTTGCTGTTGTTTTCTTCGCGGCTCTTGCGAAGAATTTGAACAACTCTACATTCTCAAGAATCCCATTCGAAGGTGAAGGGGTCTCTAAAACAATTGCAGATGTCGCTTTATTTAGGACATCAACAGGATCTGCTTGAACTCCTGGATATGCTTGAACGGCAGAGACCAAGAGCACGGAAACAATGAGAGAATGAGAAGAAAAGAACATTTTGAAATGAAAGAATGGAAAAAACAAAAGGATTGCAAGGACTGTAAGGACTGTAATAACAGAAAAGACTGTATAAAATGTTCAAGCAAAGTTTGAATTGAAGATTCCAAGTTGGAGTACTACATCTTATATGATAGAGGTAACATTCGGGAACACTGATCAACATCGTGGACAATCGTCACAATCATGTTATCGGTAGTACAAAGGATCAGGATCGTATCTATTATTGTTATCATTTGGTTTCAATCACGAGATAAATGATTAGGGGTCAGAAACGAAATGAAGACATAAGCAGATTTCCACAAAATAAGCGTAGCTGTTGATTATGTCAAGCGAGTCGTAAGTGTTGTGGATGATATGCTGATGAACTGCGCCTCAAGCGATTTAACCTTAAGATCCTCCAATATGACAAACTTAAGGTTTCTCTCGGCATTTTATGTTGTATCTCTAGAAGGATGAAATAGGATCAAATTGAAGCCATGTAGTAATGCCTTGGCATAGGCTTTTTTTGGGTTGTGGGGAATTTGTACAGTGAGTAAAACAAGCCATACAGATATAGCATATTGTGATACGACGCCTCAGATCGTTGAACACTGTATATATTCTCTTCTCCCAAGTAATTGAAGAAGATAAAATCCGTCAAAACACTCATTTTTCTTATTTTTGCTTTCATAGCAATTGTCTGTCTTTACCTTGGAGTACTGAAATTCGTTTAGCATTTTCGTTTCTCATTTCTCATTCACGTATTTTTCAACTTTCCCATTTTCCCAAAGGGACTTCGAACAACAAAATGCAGCTTCTACCGTATCTTTTGACTACAGGCCTAATTGGCCATGCCATGGCCGTGAGCATGAGCAGTCGCTTCACTGTTTCATCTACTTGCTCAACCTCCAAGGTGGATGACATGTTGAGTGAAACGATCGACATGGTAGATACTGCCATTCAAGGGATTGATACACTTCTCAATGCTGGAGTTAAACTCAACCCAAATGTTGCATCCGCTGCCATAAAATCCCTTACGAAGGCTGCCACCACCGCCTGGGGAGTTACAGAACCTAAATGGTGGTCATATTCATTAAGTGCAGCTGACACTTCTCAACTAAAAGCAGCTCAAGGTATGTACCAAAGCACAGTCTAAATCAGCAACTAAGGCACCAAATCTGATGAGAATATAGCAAACTATCAAAAGCTTTACTCTGCCTTAAATTCCGGAACTGGGATGACCGCGAGCGAAAACACATTATTCTGTGATGATTCAACATTAAAATGGACTACTGTATGCTTGATCATTGCTTGAAGAAATACTCAATCTAACAACGTCCTTAGAAAGCAATTGATATTTTCCCAGATGGAGGTACCATGACTACTGAACAGTACTGTGAGTAATAAATGAAATGTATTATGGAGCACTGGCTAATGGAGCATCACAGTCAAGGCTCAAGGTTATACCGATACCAGTGTCGTCAAAGGATTATGGAAAGATCCCGACCACAAACGTGGTAAAAACTCCAACTTCATCATTGACGAATATAACGGAGGTCAAATGTGTGGAACAAAATCTGCCGAAGCTATCACATACTGGCAAACCGGAAACATGTTCATGTGCCCCAACGCATTCAACAGTGCAAACTACAAAACTAGCTTGAAAAGCATGAGAACTTCGACAGCTCAAGTTGAATGGAATGATGTTCGATCACTTCCTGGAACATTCTTGCACGAAATGATGCATTTCCTCGATTTGAAACCACATGGTAAGTTTTTCCTTGTTCTGGGAGTTAGTTGGGATCCCGCTAACAAGAAGAAATAGTTGTCGATCAAAAAGTTACTGGTGATACTGGGGGACAAGTCGCAGCCTATGGTCTGATTGCAGTCTGGATGCTGGGTGGTAAAGCTGGAGAAGAAGCTGTGGACAGGTCAAAGGCTTTGACGAACGCCGACTCTTACAATGTCTTCGCAACGATGGCATACCTCCAGTCGGCAGAATTTATTGGCTAAATAGAAGGATTAAGAATAATGGGAGGACGTGTAGAAAGAAGGAAATCGTTTAATCCTGATCAGTTTGTCGGTCCTGTTTTGCTCAGGACGTTCTGCTTGCTGTGCCATGGAGGCGGTGATACGATCAGATATGAGATTAGATGATGCGCGTGTCTCGTTCGAACAGAAACTCGTAGAGCACCAGCGTGCGCACTACTAATGTCTAGAAGTTGTTACATAGAATTTTCCACCAATTCATAACTTCGAATATTGGATAACAATATACCACCGCTCCCAAGAAATTGATACACAAGACGTGCTAACATACACTTTGGAAGTCATATCTTGGATCTACTACCTCAACCTAAGATTATCGAGCAGAAGCAAAGTAATCATGCCTGGCGGTAAGAAACGGACGAATACTCGGGCGAGAGATCCTGTCACTGGCAGATTTTGTGCCGCGCCCAAGCCTCAACCCCCCGATCCAGTAACGGCCGCCAAATCAGTGCCCGAAGAACAGTACAATGTACTACTTGATAAAACTGTATGTTCAAAGTTCCTCGACTGAATATCTGTATGTATATGTCAAATCTCTAACGATCTGTTTCTAGCATCGTGATAAAGAAGAATACCTGGAGGAGTTGAAACGGGAGAAGTCCAAATTTGAGCAGAAAGAAAAGGAGGTCGAAGAACTTGAACGAGAAGTTGCAAGATTGACTGAAAACAGCAGAGATATCGACAGGCAGAGGCAGGAGCTCGAAAACAAATATCTCAAAGAGTTTGAGCAGCAAAAGCAAGACGCCGAAGAGATTAAGCAAGAACAAGAGAGGAGAGTAGCTTGTATGCAGGCAATGGTTCGGGAACATGGTCTGGAGGAAAACTGCGACATTGCATGGGACGGCAATTTCAAAGAAAAATTGAAGAGGGAGTTTCGGGATCGACGTTCAAACTGTTACACCAGCGTGAAGGTATTAATTGTTAGATGGGCTTCGGATGATTTAGGTCTTTCTAGACCGGTCGAAAATTTGGCAAGAGTATTCGAACAATCATACAAGTTCAACGTGGCGAAGTTCACCATACCTGATCTTGATCCGGCGAATGCATTGTCTAGCTGAGTGCGAGAGTCCATTGGAGATGATTCTCCGGATACGCTTCTCATCTTTGTGTACGTTGGCCACGGAAACATTGAAAACAAGAGCCATGACGCTATTTGGTCTGGGTAAGCTCATGGCGTATCACCATTGCTCTCTTTGGCTAACGACAACATAGAAGAGATGGTGGTCCTCGTATGCCTTCTAGTGGTATCCAGACCCTCCTCGAGGAGTCTAAATCAGATGCCCTTCTGTTGTACGACACGTGCCATTCTGCAAATACTGCTATATCCCTCAACCACTCAGCAGGAAGTGTGACGGAGTTAATCGCGGCATGTGGATTTGAGACAACTACCCGATCGGGCGATAACTCTTTCACGTCCGCACTCATACAGGAACTGTATCCTGCTGCAACACAAGGAGCTGTGTCTGTCTCTGAACTGTATAATCGAGTACTTACTCGTCAAAGGAATTCCCCGAACCGCAAAAAAAATGCGACACCCGTTCGTTGCACGTTGGCATCCGACGGCTATCGGACATCCATCATGCTCGAACCGTTGTTGCCAGCCCTGGTCACCGCGTCTCACCAGTCTTCAGAACTCTCGGATGGCGCGAATACAGTGTACAATATTGGAATTGTAAAAAGAGGATTGAGAATGGGTGACACTTCTGTCTTTTTGAAATGGTTGTTGCGGGCCCCATCTGATGTTATCGACGTCCAACTACGCCGCATCAACATTCAGAAGCAAACCTCTTCAAATGGCGGTCTTGAATCCTCGAATGGTGGTCATGAATCTTAATACAGAGGTCTTCAACTCCAGAATTAATGGTGTGACACGATGCCATCAAGCTAGAGCGATAGATGGTCTTTGACTTAAACACCATAGTGTTAAGCTTGAGGCTCAATCTGACCGCTGCACTTGGTAGCGCACTGGTTATCCAGATATTGAAATCATCACAAGTCTTCTCTTATCAACTCCTGGTAGCTGTTTTGGTGACATTCTATAATCGTATGTGGTATATATTCTTAGAGGTTTGAGCGGGTTTTTAAAGCAATTGTCAATGTCATAGTACTGTTTTAGAGCCTCGGCTATTTTTGTTACGTGCAGTGCAGTATTGAGGATTTTGTAACTCTAAGGCCTTTCTGTTGCATCTTTCCTTAGACACAAAAAGCATGATTAACTGAATTCCATTAATATAAGCAAACTAATTACCAATATTCAAAAGTTTCTTTCAAAGTCAAAGATTTCTTGTATTCACGTGATTGATATATTTACGCTTCTTCTCTGCCGTTACAGCACAACCTAAAACCAGGCTCTCACGACAACAAAGGTCACTGAATCATTAACTATGGCGGATAGCACACGACCAGACCGCGAACACGGTCGAAGAAGAGATTCACGTTCCAGATCACCTAGGCGACATCACTCGCATTCTCATCGGAGACGATCGCCGCATGGTAATCATCATCGAAGCAAACGACCGACCGAAGCAGCACCAGAACTCCCATATAATTGTAGGCCGATCACGAAAAATGATTACGAGACATTCGAACCAATGTTTGCATCGTATTTGGATATTCAGAAAGGCATATTTCTGGATGAGTTAGGGGAAACAGAAGTCAAAGGGAGATGGAAGAGTTTCCTTGGAAAATGGTAATCACGAATTCTGGCTTCGGCCCAAGAAAGCCTTGGAATACCGGCTAACATGTGTGAGGAATCGTGGAGAACTCTCGGAGGGTTGGTATGATCCATCAACATTGCGAAAAGCCCAAGAATCGGCGAGGGAATACAAGGAAGAAATAGCTCGAGAGTCAAATCCGGTCCAGCCAAACGAACCTTCGTCGAGTTTGAGTCAGTGTGAACCAGAACAGAAAGACCATGAAGTAGAAGGTGATGGAGATGATAGTGATGATTCGATGGGCCCAACATTGCCAGGGGAGATTAATAAATATAGAAGGAATAGGCCAGGGCCCAGTATACCAAATATGGAAGATTTAGAGCTTAGGAGAGGTATTTACACACGTCAGTGATAATTAGAAGTACCGCAAAGTCTAACTGTTTCGCAGAAATGGCTCTTGAAGATGGATTAGCTCGCCGCGACGACGTAAGGTTCGAGCGAAAAATTGATCGCAAACAACAAAAGGAAGCGCTGGATGAATTGATTCCTCGTGCTGAAGCTGGGACACGAGAACGGCAATTGGAAAAGAAGAAAGAAGTTAACGAAAAGATGAGATCATTTAGAGAGAAATCTCCTGGTGCGGCAGAAGTTCCGGATACTGAGTTGATGGGCGGCGATGAAGGAATTGAAGGATTTAAGAAAAAGAAAGAAGAATTTCAGCGCAAGAAGAATGAGAGAGAACTGAGAAAGGAAGAAATAATGAGGGCTAGACAAGCCGAAAGAGATGAGAGGCTACAGGAGTATAAACAAAAGGAGGATGGGACTATGGCTATGCTCAAGGCTTTGGCTAAGCAGAATTTCGGATGAGCGCATTCAATATGGTGAAAAGGACAGAAGCAACTCATACGGCTTTGGGAGATCAAGTCTTCACGATTCCTTATCAAATAATAAATTGTATTAATATCCGCCATTTCATAAGAATCCATCGTTATGTTTGAGAGAATCTCATTCAGCCTTGTGATCCACAGCCTTGTGAGTGCCGAGCCGGATAAAATAAATCCATCACTTCACTTCTATCTCAACACAACACAACTAATTCAATCTACATCAATGCGACATGTCTCCAGATAATCTATATTGGTGAGCTGCAGGATTATTTGATATTACAAATATATCAGAGGAAGTTAAGCAATCACCGCACTCTCCCGAAAATAAAGTATTGCCAGGGGCGAGGCTGTCATGATGGAAACCATCAGGAAGAGGATGATGCACACTGGACTGAGGGTCAATCGTTTGCGTTGTTTGAATGAAGTCAATCGTAGCTCTGGTCTATTTCGCCACTCTATAAGCACAACGACAGTTCGAACTGCGAAACAAAAAATACAAATACCTAAAAAGCCCTCGAGATCTCAACAGCAATACAAGTAGAGCTTCCATCAGAACATACCTTGCCAGATTTCCTGCTAACCCCCCCTGCAGAACTCCAAGTCCAAGACAAGTTTTGGACCCTGCTCCACCCCCCCTCCTCCCCCTCCATCATCAGCGAAACAACATCCACTTCGAGGTAGGAAATTCGCCTTGATAGGAAGTAGTATCGCTGCTTTGATATTTGCTGGCTACTCTTCCTATTTATTTGTTCTACTCAATAAAGAACCTACCGAATCTTCTTCCTCCAAAGTTCAAGCTGATGTCTCATCCCGCTATGACACCATTGCGTCTACATTTGATTCGGAAGTTGACTGGACGGAATGGAGTATGGGAATCACGAAGATGCGCAAAAAATTAGCGCAAGAAGCACGTGGAGATGTACTCGAAGTATCTATTGGTACAGGCAGGAATTTAGAGTATTATGACTGGGATTTCAAAGGATTTAATGGTGTTGGGAAACTTCAAAAAGTGGGGGGTATTAAGAAGGGGAAAGTTAAGAGTTTTACGGCTGTTGATAAAAGTGGTGAGATGTTGGAAGTTGCCCATGAAAAGTTCTCGACAATGTTTCCAGGAGTCTTGGGTGTGAGATGGATAATTCAAGATGCTTCCGAGAAAATACCAGGCCCCCCTCGAAATGCAAACGAAACAAGCGGGAATAAAACCGCAAAATATGATACAGTAATTCAAACCATGGGGTTATGTTCCGCTGCTGATCCGGTAGGACTATTGAAGAATCTGGGGGAGTGTGTGAAAGAAGATGAAGGGCGCATACTATTGTTGGAGCATGGAAGAGCAAAATGGGATTGGTTAAACAGAGCGTTGGACAATAGTGCAGAAGGGCATGCAAAGCTTTTCGGATGTTGGTGGAATAGAGATTTGGGAAAGATTGTCGAAGAGAGTGGGCTTGAAGTTGTGAATATTAAAAGACGACATGGCGGAACGACCTGGAGGATTGAGTTGAAAAAGCCCAGAGCCACACCAAAAGACAGTGGCGTGAAAGTTGCGACAGAAGAAAAGACACAGGAGGCAACCAAAAAGGGATGGTGGTAAATATCAATCGAGGTCGCCTTTCTTTGCACTCCTCTCTCTTACTGTACCAACATATCAACGAATTACAAACATATGCGCCGGAGTTGTCGTATTATCAGAAGGCGATATCATAGTAATCGTCCGATATTCTGCAGGATTTGTACCCATGCTGCAGTAGCTATGTCATGCTCAGTGGCCACCAATCACTCTTTTCTCACCTGGCCACCCTGCTCAGTCAAAACGACTAAACCAAAATGACAATCGAAGGAGGCCAGATTTCTGGTGAGTACGAGATTGATTTTAGAAGTCTAGATTGATCAAACTTCTCGCTGGATTTCTCTCAAATCTTGACATCATTCAGGACTCTGGGCTACTCACATATTTAGCAAGATCAGCAGAATGTCAATTGACGTCCTTGTCCATACGCCGCAGACGTTATGCGTTATCCCCTGTACGGAGATCCCGCTGATGACGTCCGTGTGTTCTGGAAAATTATCGTTATAATTACATGAACTCAGAGTTTCCTGGATATTTGCCCGGTAAGATGATTATAATTTTAATCGCCACGTTAACGAGTTGGAATGCCATGCAACTTTCAAGTTTCACAACCATTTGTTTTACCCTTATCTTCATTCGCATAATTACGATTTACAAAATGATACATTCTCATATCTAGCCATCACGTGCCAGGGGTCTAGATAGGGCGTTCCCCGGTCGGAGAGTAAGGTTACAGTAGAGTGGATCTTTACTAGTCAGTTAACCCTTCACGGCCCCGTGTCAGTGTGTTAATGTGGAAACTAAAATCAGTTAAACAAAATCTTTTTACATAACAACTTCCTTGACTTGTTACAAACTGCATGTTGATCATCCAAAGGCGCTTGACTATTTCCTTCTTGTCATTCTCTTATCATTTTGCGGGGTCGATAACCTTGTACGTACGCGGTGGGTAAAGTATTACCTTCTAGGTATTACTCGTATCTCTTCAAATTTAGATAGTGAGAAATATGTAGATATTTCTGTCGATTTTCCTGTTTCTTTCTTCCTGCACATCTTCAGCTTTTCTCTTAATTTTCTCTTTTATAACCGGTAGTCATGCCTCAACATCATGATGCCGACGCTGATGCGGCTCAACTGGCTGCTCATGGTCACAAACAAGAATTGGAACGCAATTTCTCTTTGCTTTCTATGTTAGGTCTTGCATTTGCAATTCTTAATTCTTGGACTGCTCTAGCTGCGAGTTTAAGTGTTGCATTACCAAGTGGTGGACCAACTTCAGTACTCTGGGGATTGATTAGTAAGTTTATTCTCAATTTCGTATTCAATCTATGGACTTGGTGCTGATTATGGTTTGAACAGCCGCCGGAGTATGTAACTTATGCCTTGCCGTCTCTCTTTCCGAATTCCTTTCCGCCTACCCAACGGCAGGTGGTCAATACCACTGGGTTGCAGTCATAAGTTGGAAGAAATATGTTCCTATTCTCAGTTGGATCACTGGATGGATCAATGTTTCCGGCTGGATTGCACTCGTCGCTTCGGGTGGTCTTTTAGGCTCACAATTAATAGGAGGAGTCATTTCGCTCATGCACCCAAATTATGAGCCCCAACGTTGGCATCAATTCCTCCTATACGTCGCATACAATATCATTGCCTTTATCGTCAATGCATTCATGACATCGCTATTACCTCTCATCACAAAATCGGCTTTCATCTGGTCGATTGTCGGATTTGTCGTGATTTGTATTACCGTTTTGGCAACAGCTTCTCCAGATTACAACGACGCATCTTTCGTCTTCACCGACTTTATCAATAGTACAGGATGGCCTGATGGAGTTGCGTGGCTTCTTGGTTTGCTCCAAGCTGGTCTTGGATTGACTGGTTTCGATGCTGTCGCTCACATGATCGAAGAGATTCCAAACCCAGGAGTTCAGGGTCCAAAAATTATGATTGGCTGTGTTTTGATTGGTGTCTTTACAGGATTCATATTCCTTATGGTCCTGCTCTTTGTAGGAGGTGATGTCAACGATGTTATTGAAAGCGCTGCGGGTCCGTTACTTCAAACTTTCTACCATGCAACTGGTAGCAAGGCCGGAGCTATCTGTCTCCTTATCTTTCCACTCGTCTGCCTTCTATTCGCGACCATCTCCATCACTACAACCTCCACGCGTATGACATATGCGTTTGCTCGTGACAACGGTCTTCCTTTCTCAAGAGTCTTTTCTAGAGTCCATCCAAAGTTGGCTCTTCCACTAAATGCATTGTACCTTACAATGGCATGTGTATTCCTCTTTGGACTCATTTTCTTGGGTAGTTCATCGGCTTTCAACGCAATTGTTAGTGCCAGTGTTGTGGCTTTGGGTGTCAGTTATGCGATTCCTGTCGCAGTCAATTGTTTGAGGGGGAGAAAGTGTTTACCGGAGACGAGAGCATTCAAATTGTCGGAACCTGTGGGCTGGGCTTGCAACTTGGTGAGTTCTCTCTAATCTACTGATCATACTTTCAAGAAAATACATGCTAATGAGATAAATAGGTTGGCATTGCATATGTGATGGTTACTACAGTTCTATTCCTCTTCCCACCCGAATTGCCAGTTACAGGAAGCAATATGAGTATGTTCCCTCCCTATCTTCAACCTTAATTTCTATAATACTAACACATCACACAGATTACTGCGTAGTAGCTTTCTTCCTTGTCTTCGTCATTGCAGTAATACAATGGTACATCGACGGCAAGCAAAACTTCACAGGTCCAAGGATCGATATGGATGCTATGCAACATGGAGAAGTTGTGGGGATAGTGGTTGGTGATGAAACTAGTGGGACTCCTAGTGCAGATTTTGGGGATGTAAAGGAAGTCAAATGAACTCGACACTTTACGATAAAAATACTTGTATATGCATCATAGACACATCAAGTTATAGATGTACAACATTTAGACAAAAAAAACTGAAATCATGAATAAAAATTTAGAAAATCGCGAGCATGAAAACCACGTATGCTGGCTGATCTTGTGCCGTCACTCCGGATGATGTTGATTTTTTTTATCAATTCATCATTCACGAAAAGTTGAAATTCAAAGCCAAGCCGAAGATAAACGGTAGTGCCCGAGAATGGGGGTTTCCGAGCCTGGGAGATCCAGGGCTTCAGGGCTTGGTAGGTGTGAAGACTGGGTATGTGGGGCCGGATAGATGGAGTTTGTGGGGTAAGATTCGGAAAGAGAGAACCTTATGTCTTGGAGGCTTGGGGGCAAGACTACCGAGTCATGAGCCGTGGGAGGCGTGGAGCGGGAGGTGATAGGGGTGTTGGGTGAGTGTGGGGGGAAGGCCAGTTTTGTTTTGGGGATGCTGTGGAGGTTTTGAGGGTTTCTGGAGAGAGTATGGAGGAAGAGACGATTTGGAACATGAGATGGAAATTGAGAAGTGAAAAGTGGGATACGATGTCTTAATATAAGAATCTTGGGGGAGTTTTGGATGAGTTGGAGGGACGTGGTTGAGGATTGGATGGTGTGGGAGTCGCAAGAGATTCTTTTTAGGAGAGCAAGTGGATGAAGAATGATTCCGTTACGTCACTTGCCTGTACGTTGAAGTTGCCGTGACCATTAGCCAGGTGATTGATGGGATTTTGATCTGGTCACTGATACCAAGTGACAGCCTGTTCTAAGGGGCGGTACCTGAACATCTCCACATTCTCGTTTATACCGTTTACGCCATGCCAATTATGACTAGATTGGTGAGGAATATGTAATCTTACAAATGATTAACATAAGTTAGATTGCCTGGTCAACATCCTGGTCAAACTTCACCCGGAGTCACCTATGAGGAAGAATTAGCAACGCAAACATATTCATGCAAATCTGGACCGATACTCGGCTCTGGACCCAAAAGTAAAGGATGCTTAGATATGACGAGGATCACGATATCACGATGAGCTGATCAGGACGTAAACCAACCTCTATTGTTTGTAGAGATGATAGTGACAGTGGCACTGAGAAATAGAGAACTATCAATGAATTCCAGGAGACTACTATCTGTGATTGATGCGCCGGAGATCAAGAATGCCTTCCATAACTCTGTGGCTGGGAATTCGCAACGAGATGTGTCGAGGTAGTTTATTCTGGGTTCTCACCGCAGCCCTCGATTCGTCGTATGTCCAGCAGAAAAATGTGGAGCGTAGGAAGTTTGCAGCGAGCTTGCCTCCGTTGGAATTGGTGGATCCATCTAGATGTGCGGTGAATGCGGGCTTGTGTTATTAGACAAGCATCCCGCGTGTACAGGATAAAAATTATCCGGATTGCCAATTGTAGCAACACCACACTCTTTAGAGGAACTAAGAATAGCAATCCTAATGGAGCCTGCGGAGTAGCTCCAGCGTGCCTTTTAGATGCTCTGGAAAGCTCAAAGGCTTAGCTATGAAATGAAACAGGAGGAAGTAACATGGTAACCGGGGAATAGTGAGACTAACAGCAATATGTTCACAAAAGTACGATAGTTATTGGTGAATGATTGGGCCACCTGCCCTTGAAGTCCTCTTTTCAATACTTTCGAGGACTTAAGCGATGCCCCCTTCTCTCCGGCCGAAAAAAAAACGAGATCGTGTTACACCCGAACAAGTATTGGACTAATCACACTTCGAGAGGTGGGCTTCCATATACAATAGTATTCCGAAGCATGATGACCATTGAGAGATTTAAGATTTTGTCTCCAGAGCTTGTATTTGAACCTCTAGGGAAGTCAAATCTGCACTCGCAGCTACTAGCTGACCCTGGAAAGTATCAAGAGACGAAAGTCGGAGCCAAATAACGAAAACCACATAGAAGCCCTATTAACTGATAAAGCAGTGACCAATGATGACTCTCCAAACCGTGATCTTAAAGTAATGTACCAGTATCATCGAGAGAGACATGTGTAGGCTCCGAATGTGTACATGATTTGAGGAGCAGCCATTTCTTCGTAGGACTCTGTTCTATGAACCTGCTTGTGGGAATTGAATTACGTGCTTAGTATCAATCGGCTACAGTATCGAAGAACCCATGAGGTCATCTATCAGGAATATGCGCAAGCAACGGCGAAGTGGCAGCGAGAGACGCCATTCTTGATCTGAAAATAACCTCGTGAAATATATCGATATTGATTCTGTTCAGAATTGTTCGCATTCGCGTATAAGAACAGTGCATCGGAAGACAGTTTCGATAGGAGCCTATTGCATTGATATTGATAAGAAAGATCATTCCTTACATCAATCAGATCATGATCTTGTAGTGCAACATGAGTTGCGTTCTAGATTTAGATGTACGAGATTAACACCTGTAAAATTAGCGTTCGCTAGCCTAAGACAGTGAATAACAGGCTTCCCTCCTTCCACCTCAAATATTTATACAACATTCAACCACGACAACCTCTTAATTAGCAACAACCACATTCACAATGGACGACGATGATGATTTTGGTGCAGATGCGGACTTCCTAACAGCTCTCGCACAAACCCCTGTTACAGCTCCATCTACAAACCGCGTTCAACAACCTACCCCGCAACGCGTCCAACAGCCTACTCCACAGCGTCTTGATCGAGCACCACCAACAAATAATGCCTCCGCAGGTCCCAAGGTTGTTCAACCAATTCCACAAGCTATCGCATCGCGCTCTTCTGGCTCGACAATTCAAGTATCTCTGCGGCAGAAAGGCAATCCAATACTGACAAATCTCAAATCCTTTCCATGGGAATACTCAGATATCCTGGCCGATTATGTGCTTGGTACAACAACATGCGCACTCTTCCTATCACTCAAATACCATCGATTACATCCCGAATATATATACAATCGAATAAAAGGTTTACAGGGTAAATACAATCTGCGAGTACTTCTTACAATGGTTGATATTGGAAATCATGAAGAGAGTTTAAAGGAATTATCCAAGACAAGTCTGGTGAACAATGTTACCGTCATATTATGCTGGTCCGCTCCTGAGGCTGCAAGATACCTTGAGTTATACAAGAGCTACGAGCATGCAAATGCTAGTGCTATAAAAGGTGTTGAAAGTAAGAGTTATGGAGATAAAATGGTAGATTTCATTACCGTTCCAAGGAGCATCAATAAACGAGACGCTGTGGCATTGGTTGATGCATTTGGAAGTATCAGAGGTGCTATCAATGCAAGACCTGAGGAAGTTGCTGTTGTTGATGGATGGGGAGAGAAAAAGGTTAGAAAGTGGTGCGGGATTGTTGATGAACCATTCAGGGCACGGAAAGCAGCTCGTAGAGATTTGAGCAGGAAGGAAGTAACAGACGATGGGACGGAACGGCCAGAAGGAGTTTTAGAACGTGCTATACCTTTGAGTCGTGTTCCGTTGAGGGAAATGAGTTCCTTAGGAGGAAAATCTGTTGAACCCCCACATCGAAGCCAAAATCATCCTGAAGAACGACAGGAAGAACAGATACCAGGTGATGACGACGAAGAGGCTGCAATCTCGGCCGCTCTGCAAGAAGAAGAAGAAGCAGCCCGAGAGAAAAAGAGAGAATTGGCGAGGAGGGATGAAGAGCTCAGTGGAGGGGTCGCCGCAGCTTTGGCAAAATTACGAGAGAAACACTGAAACTTTTGAAGGCTGAGATATTATCTTACTACATGCTCATCTATATTCCGCATCTCTGAACCCCAAATGGCATTTTATACTACATTTGAACACAAGAGTTGACCTCGGAAGGGGTTTCGCCCCAAATCACGTTACAGTTGGCTAGTGTGCCAATTCACAACTGCGCCAATTCACAACTGCATCAAATTTGCATTTGATGAATCTCAAGCTTCCAATACCCTCTGTTCTATATGCGCACCTAGATCTCATATGTTGCTAAAGATAGAGCAGAGATCAAGTCAATCAATTTTTTATACAAAGTCTACGTTTAACGCAGCTCTTTCGTGGCACTGGGACATCTCACAGAAAAACTCTGTATACTTGCGAAAGATCCTTTTTCTTGAACAATTATGTATAGTGCATAATACTGACTCCTTTGGTTTGAGCATAGCGACAAACTCTGTGATCCCCGAGAGAAAATTTCACCTTTCTCCACATCTCTCTCTGGGTTTGAGGGGAATAGACTCATTTATATCTGTCTCCACGAACTCTACCCTTCGTTTGCCGTGTGTTTCTGGCCTGAGTGGGGTCTTTGTGCCTTTGAGCTGGCCCTTTCTTCAAATCGTCTCACGTGGGCCAAGTAACTCCATATCATAGATCGGAGAGGAACTTCTTGTATTGTGCCAATCACTATTATAAGGCATGGTATTGCAGTATGCTCATCCATCCAGTTCTCAAATTGGGAAGGTTGGGTATAAATCTATCCTGACATTTCACCTCGAAGTTCAATAGAGATCTGTATACGATTTCTTTCTCAGTAGCGTTCTCGTAGTGCTATTGGGCTGAATCTGACGGTTTCCGATTATCATTAGTGAGAACATCCATATCGATCTGACCAGTTATAGGAAGATTTTGGCTAGTTATACAGGTTCGGTCTGCATGACCGGTCCTCTCCAGAATCATTTATCAGCCTCTCCATGAAGTCGTATACTTTGGTAATGTATTTTTCTTGCATAAAAATTGACATTTTCCCGTGTGCATTCTTGCTATTTGTATTCTCAGCCCGGTTCTTGGATTCGCGCTTCCGAGAATATCTCCAAAACTCAATGCTCCATTCTCTACCATCTCTATAACTGATCCATACAATAATGAGGGGATACGTCTACATTTCTTGCTCTTTTCCACTTGCTCTTCAGATTAATGAATTTCAGATCAAACAACGTAAGTTTTCCTAATGTATTTCATAAGCGGGCTTGCGACCGACAGAAAAGACGAACACCAGAAATTTACAGCTCAATTGAATGACTTCAAAACAACCATTCAATATGATTTCTTCAAAGTTTTGCACAATGATTATTTATCAATTAATAATCTCTATCAAATAATTCAAAAATATTTAAAATATAAACAAATTTGATATCTCATTTTGAAAAAGACTCATTTTCTGATTTTCGTTTGTCTTTGCGGGTTTGGTGTTCGGCTTTTTCTGTCGATCGCGAGGCGGGTAGGTGATTCTTTGTCTCACTCGAAGCGGACTTGATGAGATTAAACACCCTTTTTGTTTATTTATATTCAGCATGAAATAGTCATAGGCGAAACTGAATTCTTTGTTCCTACAAGGAACCATTGCTGGATATCTTCAATTGCTTAAAATCGTTACTGCATTGCCAAAACCTCACCACTCGACTCGAATCCCACAAACTTAACAATAACAAATCATGTAAGAGACTTGATATGTTTTTCAACAGCGCCGCGAATCGTGCCAACCCAGGCCTTCCAACCCTCCCACCACTCCCACCCGTATTTGGACTAGATGGTTTCGAGATCGAGATCCCAGAAATCCCAGAGACAGCATCAGGACTAGGACGACATTGGCTTGGCTGGGGATCAAATAACAATGCGGTCGTTTCAAAGAGTATTGTTACATTACAAAATAGAAATGCAAACCTACGAAGGGAAAATGGACGATTGCGAAATCTAGGTGAATCATGGCAAAGGGAAGTTGGACGACTGCGAAATCAAAATGTCAGACCGGACAGAGAAGCCGATCGACAAAATCAGATTATCGAGGAGCTACGTACCCAATTAGCCAAATTAGGGAGACAAGATGAGAAACAAACGCATACTATTCAAGGACTCAGGGAACAGGTAGAAAGATTGGGGGGAAAAGATCAGACGATTGAGGAATTACGCATTCAGATATCGGAGCTTAGGAGAGAAGATTCTTTACACGCACAAACTATTCGAGAGCTCAGGGAGAAGATAGCCACAGCAGGAGAGAAAGATAGGACAATCGAGGAACTACAAACCCAAATGTCAGAGGTGAGGAGAGAGAACGACTCACATGCACATACCATCCAAGAACTCAGGGAGAAAACAGCCAAGCTACTTGACAACCCAACCATCGAAGACTTCCGTACTCAAATAACCACCCTATCAGAGACCATTGATCAAAAAGACCTGATCATCGAAACCCTTCACAAGCAAGTAACCATCTTGACCGAACAGCACAGTAAACAAGTAACCGAGCTCCGCGAACGCATAACCACCGTGTCGAAAGAAAACGACGAGCGCGTAAACATCATGTCCGAACTCCGCGTCAAGCTCACGGAAGAAAGTGAAAAAACTATGAAGCAGGAGGGGACCATTTCCTCTCTCCGCGATAAGCTAGTTAGCGAGGCTGAAAAGTGCGAGGTTCATCGTCTCTGGGCAGAGAGACAACACGAGAAAGAAATGGAAAAGGCGCAATATGAGCTTGGCGAAGTGCGGGTTCAGAACGCGACGCTGAAACTGCGCTTGAATACAATTGAAGAGGAGAGGGATGAGGCGAGGAAGGCGGAGAAGTTGACGAATGATGGGTATGAGGAGGTGGTGAAGAGGAGCGGAGCGCTGGAGGCGACGAATGAATCGCTAGAGGGTAGATTGATGAGATTCAAGAGGAGAGAGGAAGAGATGTCGGCGGAGACGGCGAAACAGGTGGGTGTGTATGAGGAGGAAATTAGGGGTCTGAAGGAGGAGTTGAGGATTGCGAAGATGGCTGGGGCTCAACAAGCTCCCAAAGGGACGTGATGCTGCGTCTGAGTATATCGTCTAGAGTGACGATAGGGTGGTCGGAGCGAAGCGAGTCTGGGTGTGTAGATATAACAGCTTGGCATCTTTCCAATTCTAAGATCTCACAACGACATTGCGCACCTCGTGACTATATAAGTAGCATCAGTAGCTGAAAGATAATGTCCCCTCCCCGAAGAGTAATCGAGGATCTCGCTATACGCCCTCACTCTCCTTATCTGATAACTCATGCTGTGAGAAGCTCTCAGCCAGTCTGAGGCTAGGAGTGATGGAGGGAGAGTGTGTATGCGTGCATATATATGCGTATGTGTTGACAAGTCGTGACAATCGAACCTTACAAACATGATCTGCTCATCTCGATTCTCTAGAAGAATGGTATAAACCGATAGCATGCAGAGTCCAGACACTAAGGAAATACTAGAACGATAGCGCAAACTCTTACGTGGAGGAATCGAGGTTATGGTTCTTCATGTTTTCACCCATCACATCTCTGCTTCTTATAACTCATTAATTCATCTTGATTTTATCACATGTCATAAACATCTCCTTTGAAGCACACACACACACACACACACACACACACACACACACAGACATCAAGAACCAGAGACATTATCATGAAAATTTGATCTTTGGTCATGTATTCATTTGATTTGAACTTCCTTTCCCACTTCATTCACTACACAGTACTACATACAAAATGAATCAACCCCTTCATCTATGACCCCAAGCCCCATTCATCGTTCCTCTCCCACCTAGCAACAAGCATGCATGCAATTTCCGCATCGACGACATACACCGACACCACACCCATCCCGTCTCCCCATGCCATCCATTCCACCCATAAAATCCAACCCAATTCCCATCCACCCCGAAGTGATATGGCCAAGTCCCATACCCCCCAATCAATATAAACAAACACAAACACCATGCTACCGAGTCAATACTTCCGAATCAATACAGCATCAATCCATTTCCGTTCATTCATTCCCTCCCATTCCTCCCGCCCTTTATGTCGATTGACATTCAAATCTTAAATCCAGCGCCCAAACCTAAAAAACGCCATAGACTCAACCTATAGAACCCCAACCTGGTTAAGTCATCAATCCTGGACCATCCATGATATGACGTTGGTGCACCTAAAACAAAGGATATCGCTCAAAAACTCCATACAATGCAACCTTTCCCTTTCCACTTTTCAAATCCACTCGTTCGCTTCCTCACCCCCAATAATTACTTTCCATCACTTCTTGTCGTTTATAAAAAGCATCGCATCGCATCGAACCGCACCACAAAGCATCCATTCAACGATGCTCGAATAACTTTTCCGCCACGAGACAAAAAGTCATCGCATCGTTTCTCGTAGCTTCGCACGTAAATGACTCCTCTCATTGACCTCTCAGTCCGAGATTGATCCTGTATCCACAACCTCTGATCTGTCCACCGCATTATCTCCAGTCCTTCCTGGCTCCCAGCCTTCCATTTCATCTCTTCCGTCTTCCTTGATCAAGTCCAATAGCACCATACTATTCTTCTTGATCCTCTCAGGTCTATCCACAATTCCTCTTTCAAGAATTAAGGCTTCAGCTGTTTTGGCCCATAATTCATGTAAATCAGGCACACCCTCCACCAGCAATCCAAGTACTTCTCTTCCTAAGGGACGCATTGGTGGACCCTCTGAAAGACTTGTTCTCCATACCAAACTATCATCCGATAGATTTCGTCTGGAGGCTATACAATTGGACTTGTCACAGAACCATTCGGTGCATCCCGAAGAATCGTGGGCTGAGGTATCAGACTGAGAATGAGCGATAGGTTGGGGTGCCTTCTTTCTTCCTAGATGAGCGAATTTTGACATCTTGGATTTCGGTGCAGCAGTGCTAGGTTCGACAATCGGGAAACGACAACTTTGTAGAGAACCATACCACTGATCGACGGCGGCTCTCCTCGCATTGTACCCCTTTGTCCGCCAGAACTTTTCAGCTTGTCCGAGCCCGCCTATAGCAAGGACAGCTGAGTAAACTTCATCAGGTGGTCGATCCTTCAAATAACCTCTGATTGATCTTTCCACTCTTCCAACATATGAAGGAGGTCTTAATCGACGAGAAAATGATGACATGAACAAAGGAAATACCTGATGGACATACAATAAAGTTCTGTCATCATACATGTTCATCGCAAAGGTCTCAAATGGATTAAGTGTGTATGGAAGTCGAGTTAAAGGTGCCCCGCGTCTTTCAAGATGTGAAGCATATACTTTTCGGTAAGTTTCGAAAAAATGGAAGATTGTAAAGATGAGTGGTGTTAATCTTTGACGCATCCTTTCATATTGAGGCTGGAATTCCATGACTTGAGCTTCAGTCGTCCGTAAGAATATCTCCTTTCGAGCTTGTAGAGAGATCAGGGTAGATAATTTTGATGCAACATGTAATCGATGCCATATTCCAGCCAGATAGTGTAAGTTCAGTTTCGCAGCCTCTGGCAAAGGAAATAATCGTATGGTGTAACCAGGTAGTGTGTGGGTTGCATGATATCTCGCGATTGGTCCTTCGTTTATGGTAACCAAAGCATGAAATGATCTCGAAACTTGTCGCAAGTCAAGAATTGTGTGAATTGGTAAAGGTGAGATAATTTGAGCTTGTAATTCAGTTGGGAGAGTGAGGAGAAGGTCGGAGAGGGAAGCACTATGTAGGTTAGCAACTTATCCGAATATTCACAAGAGAACCTGGTTTCTTGAAGTTTACCTTTGTCTCTCAATTCTTTCTTGGATTGTGTCTGGGTGTGTCTCGACAATTGATGGAGCTCGATGGGTGATGTTCACTTTGGATCTCAGAGCACCTAACGAACCACTAAAACTTGGTCGACGTTGTGTTCGTAAAGAAGTGAGGTCGTGTCCGAGGGAACGTTTCCTTTGATCGCCAAGTCGGAAAGCCAAATTCTCATGATTGACATTTTTCTGCCTTGAAGGTAAATTGAATGTGGCTGCTTCTAATGGTGATGGCTCATGATTAATTAGAGGGATCGACGAAGAACCAATCTGTGAATTTTGTGTTGTTCCAGTTGCAGTCCCAGCAGCAATGGATCCAGACCCGGACCCTGATCCATTCTCAGCATGCCCATGTCCATTCCTATCATGTTGTCGTAATTTATCGAAATATTGCTCTGAAGCGAATTCAGGAGGATGAAGTTGTTCCATTTCTTCCCCTACGCTTGGTCTTTGGTACCAATAGGTCGTAGAGTTGAAGTTCTTCGTGAGTGTTAAATCATATCAAGATTTATGGACGACGCTCTTCGAGAGGGAGGGCCGCCCAAGTTGCGCCGAGTTGAAATAAAGTTGAGGAAACGACGTCGCACGATTGAACTTCATGCATTATTGAAAACACCAGTTGAGGTATTTATGAAGTCAACAATATCAATTCGAGTTATTGAGGAAAGGTGGTGAAAGTTTGAATAGGAATCGAGAAGTCTGGTACGATGGGTAGTTGTTGAAGAAGTGAGAAGATGGTTTGAAAGTCGAAAGTCGAAAGTCGAAAGTTGAAGGGTTGGAGGGTTGGAGGGTTGGAGGGTCAAACAATAAGGGATTATTGGGGTTGAGATCGGAGTCAAATTGAAGGGAGTGCCGAGATAACAAGTCTTGTACCTAAGGGATCCTATCTGGCTATATAGATTATGGTATAATTGATATGTCCAAAGTCCAGACCGATATATGGATATTCTGATATTCTGACAAGAATGAAATTGATCCGAATTAAGAAATATCTTTTCTTCTTTGTCTATTTGGGGGCCGTTTTTAATTCGATTGGAATTGATCTGATTATGATTGCTGAGGTGACCTTTTCGAGTGTGACTGTGATATGGTGTATGTGAAGAGAAGGAAGTACAATATCTGTGTTATTCCAACCACAAGTTCAAGTAGATGACTTGTGACTTCTGATACTGGTTTAATGTTGTGAGATGTTGAATTGGTAAGATGAATGCTCTATCAATCCTGGTCCTCTCTTCTCTTGGTGTGTGGTTTCTGATTTTTTCCGTTGTCGAGTGTTGGATTCAAGTAGCCATGTACTCAAAGGGAGATGCCAGGCGTTCCCTTTGTCGATACAGAGAGACAAATAGAAAATAAGATGAGAAGGTAGGTGGAAGTGGGAAAAGGCAGAAAGGGGGAAGGATGAACAACGAACGACCAACGAACGAAGGGAAATCTGGACCTTTCTCTCTCTCTCTCTCTCTCTATCTCTCTATCTCTCTCGGTCTCTCCAAAAGAGTAAGTGTGGAAAGTGTGGCGGCTGAGATGGATGGATGAGATAGATGGGTGAGATAAGTTTCTCGTCTCTTCCCCGAAATAAAGGGACTAAAAGGAATTCGGTATATCGGGTGAACTAATGAAGGAAATAGATGGGGATTATGGGATTGTGGGATCTTGAAGGGATAGACACGTTTTCCCCTTGACGTTTAATGATTTTCTGACTTTCTTATTTTCTTATTTTCTCTAGGTACAAGATTACAAGTAGGTAGTGTTTGGGTAGTGCTCATGTATGGAGTAACTTGGTCCACGCAGCTAATAGTAATACCGATATGGTAGATTGAAAAATGCTACCTAACCAAAATAATGAAGCCGAGCTGTGCATGGCAGGTAGAGGAGGAGGAGGAGGAGGAGGAGGAAGTCTCGGATATCTTTCTTATATATGTGATATGTATGAATTCAACTACAAGTATCAAGAAGGTGGCTGTTGATTGAGGTAAAGGTTGAGTAAAGGTTAAGTGAAGGTTAAGTGAAGATTGAGTTCTGATTAAAGTAAAAGTCTCTCTCTCTCTCTCTCTCTCTCTCTAGATTTAATTATCTGTTCAATTATCTTATTCTCTCTCTTATTCTTCTTGTACACAGTACTTGTTTATCTTCTCTACTCTCATCCTTATTTCTTTCTTTCCTCTCTTCTCCCATCTCGCCTCTCGTTCTTTCTTCGCTCTACACTTATACACTCATACTACCTACATTCATACTACCTACACTCTCATACTACCTACTCTCATACAATCTCAAGTTCTTCTTTATTATTCCTTTCAACTTTCCCCATCCATCTCTTTTTCTTCCCTATCGGCCCAATTATTCAATCCCTTCCCCCCAATTCGCCCAACGGACATCGCTCCAAAATCTTATTTCCCAATTCCGATCAAAATCTATACCCACTTTGAGTTTAGCATCAAAGGAACATTCGGTCGGCGTCTTTATGGAGACTCCACACTCCACTGATTGGAAATGTGGAACATCAGGACCCAGGCACATTGAAATCCGGATAAAGTAAGACGAGAAATGTAGGGACTGGGTAATATGACTGATGAATTGACGAAAAATAAGGAAAACATGACTGATGAAATTCGATGCGATGGGGATTCGGGTGTGACTACGAAGAGGGAGTGAGAGTGGGGAGATGATGATGATGATGACGATGGTGATGATGACGATGAAGTGGAAGAGCCTCCGAAGAGGAAGAGATTTTGATAATGGGATATGTACCCAGGTCGAGTAGAATGCTAGAATTGAAGATACAAGAACTAGTCCTGTCGGTTGCGCTTGAAAGTTGTGCACTCGTGATTGAATCGTGGTTGATGATCATAGGAGAATGTTTGCGGTATGGTATGGCATCAAGTAGATCTGAATCACGATATACTTACTAGCTACCTAGTAGATAACCACAAATTATATACAGATGCAAGACGACAACATCAACAACTAGTACTTCTTAGCGATGGGTATGTGGGATGTGGTATGTACAGATTTGACAACCTAGTAGGTAATAGGTATCAAGTCGACAATCCTTCATTCCAAAGATCTCAGCTAGTAGATAGATAACATCTCTGCTCTACTCTGCTCTGCTCTACTCTGCTCTGCTCTATCCTATCCTATCCTATCCTCTCCTTCTTACGAAACAACCAAAAAAGACCCTTTCTACTGGGCAAGGGTTTCCTTATCCTATCCGTCCATCAGTGCCACCCACGGCTGTACCGAAAATAGCACTTTTCGAATTCTTCCGTGATTATCCCCGAACCCAATAAGATCATCAGTATTCTTACTTAATATTGCCCCAGATATTGACCATCCATTTTGGAAAGAGAAAAAAAAAAAAGATGGAAAAAGGATATTTGACCGAGAAAGATGATGAGATCTCATGAGTATGAGTTAATGAGCCAAGGCGTATTGAATACGATGGGGGTGGATGGATGGTGCACTTGTAGGTGTGTACAGAATATGATACCAAATCAATTCATGGCCACTTGAAAAGTTGAATCGTACGATGTAGGTATTATTCAATTCATTCCGTTTTATCAATGTTGTACCGTCTCGAGACTGGATTTTCGTACATCGATCTAATCATCACATATGTCGGTACTTGGAAAAGGCACATTTCAGATGTCACCTATTATTAAAGTACTTGCTATCCCTTGTTTTTCACCCAACTAACTTCTGCAGTGTTTTGATTAGCAATCCGTTCCCACCCACCCACCTACCTAATACTTTTCCCACCCATCATCCTCATTCCCTCCTCGCCTTGCAATGCTTTCCCCAAACCCCAAGCTATCGGCAAACTTGACTACTAGCTACTGTACGTACTGTACGTACTGCACTGCACCTAGCGCTGTCCATTACACATCTAGACCCTCCCACCCAATTCTCCTACCAAATCCCTATCAGGACTTTATATTACCTCAAGTAACGCCGCTCCATAGCCGCACCAATGCTCCATATCAAAACGTCCTTCAAATGGTGGAGAAAAAGACAAAGGGACATCATTATGGAGAACCCAAACCCACTCTTTCCCACACACATGACATTCTTAAAATTTTCTACGCAAAACGGGATCTGGGGCAAAAAAGTGTGGATTTTCCCCATTGCCCCATAATGATGTGAAGCCGAGGATGTTTTCTTCGAATCTTTGATGCTGTGCAATATCTTACATCGTGCTAAATGCTAGTACATGTCACTATATGACCGAGAAGCTACGATGAGCATCATGAGCTAACTCGGTATCGTGTTTGAGGAAATCAAGGTAGAAGGTTTTCCGAGCGGAAGATCTCTTCAGAAAGAATGAAGAAACACAAGTTCTGCAGTACGTATGCTTGCTATTTTGATGATCGGACTTGGATGAAACTCAATGATGCATAGTATAGTTCATTCATGCGACGTGCCGTGAAAGAAGGGAACGATAGATAGCTAGATATATGCTCAATCATCAGCTATAGTATAGCCATTTACGGATAGCTGCACGAACATATACTCTAATTGTAACGTTCATTAGATGAATTATGATCAAATGTATCCAAATTAGACAAGTATATCTATATGTGCAGACACCGGTGCTATGTATGTAAACCAATCCTTCTCAAGAATAACCAAAAAGAGGATATATCCCCCCAATCCAACCTCTCCAACTCACACCATCAACTTCATCCAACATACTATTGGAGTAAATCCCAATCTCTCTCGGCACTTCATTTCCATTTCACCTTTTTGTTATCCGCATCTAACTGCTATGAGAAAGCATTCCAAACAAAAAAACAAAAAAATGTAACAACAAATCACACAATTGGATCAAAAAAGAAAACTCATTCGGCCCTATTCTCAAACCTTCATCCGGAAAGCAAAAAACGCAACTGAGCGGCTGATTTCCCTTCTTATTTTTACCTTTTCCCTGGAATAACACTTTAGGTAAGATCTTTTAAAATATATAAGGAAAGATAATGGAAGATCTTTATTAATATGGGAGTTTTAATTATGGATGAGCTTTCTGATTACTGGTGGAAGTTTGGAAACGAAACGGAAAGAGACGCGACTTGGTGTCTTTTTTTTTTTTTTGGAGGAGGGAAGGGGGGAACGAGATATCAGGGAAGAGAACTTTAGAGATTCAACTCACTCAGCTGTAATACCTAGGTATGATAAATGCTTTCGAACCAAAATCGGCCCCATTTCCTTGTAGAGATAAGTAGGCATATTGCCAATGTTTTAGGGGGAAATGGATTGTCAGCAATTGATGAATTCCATACGGACGTACGAATTTGAGTTTGATTGAAACAGAACTACAATACTCTACCAGTAGGTGTATGTTATCGTATGTATTTCTTGATAGTCGTACAAGATGCTTGATGAATGGAAATTCTTTCTTTCCTGGCTTCAGGTACGCTATTGAATGACACTCTGCTGGCTCTCCGGAAGCTTGCGAGGTTATGTTACTGATTTGATAGCCATTCGAGACTATATACCTACTATGCAGATGACGCTCCGCTGGCCCTCTGGGTGCCACTGCCGTGGAGGCAGACTATTTGGCTGAGTGAACATATTGTATAGAACAACCTTTCGAGCGCAGCGAGCTATGGGGGTTTGGGGGCTTGCCCCCATGAATACCCATGAATACCCATGAATACTCCTCAGGGAAGATATGAGAGCAGAGTGACTTTATTATTTACTAGGTGTGAGCTTAAAACACATTTTCAAGGCTGACCACTGGAAATTCAAGTTCAAATGTCAACAAATGGCTATACACACTCATCAACAATTTAAACGCATTCCCACACATACATACACGTGAAATTGTGGAGATCTATCAACCAAATCGTGGGGTTGAAGCTTAATGTGATGATGCATCACGGTTCACAAGGTTTTATCCATCTTGCAATATAACATTCGCATCCACATCAACAACCACGTTTCTTACACTAAGTCTTAAACTTTCGACGTCGAGTTTACCCATGCATCGAAATACATAATCAAATACATTAAATCAAAGTTGCACATAATACACAATTCAATCTTCCACATATCTGGCAATTTGAATACCAACCCTCAATAATGTCTTCCTCGCCATCTCCATATCCTACTTCAAGCTACACCCCTCATCGAAATTCCCAATCCTACTCTGGTATAGATCCAAATGCACCACCACCACCACCGCCTAAACCAAATTCTCGAGATGTGAGTCGTCAAGGTACACCTGCGGGAACCGGAAATCAATCATTTCCTAGACCTGGAGAATCGTCAACGCAATACGAAGGAAGACAAGAAAATGTTCCACGAGAACAACCACAACAAATACAAGATCCAGGAGATCAATGGCTTCCGAAAATATTGATGGATAAATCGTATGTATTACCTTCCCATATGCAGTTGAACATTTCCTTCTGCAGGTGTTTCTCAGCCTACCTATCACGATTCTCATGAATGTCTCTATTAATCTCATGTATCCTCCCTTTGGCGTACAACAGGCTTAATAAGAGTTTGGCGAAAGGAGGATAGCAACATTGGATTGTTTAGTGAACACTGTTAACATCATTCAGGAAACAAGACCTCGCATCTGCATTATCCAACCCTGCCCTTCTAGCCGCCCTCACACATTCAACATCGACCGCACATCCATCCATTTCCACATCACAAGAACCATTAAAGTCTGCATTGCATGACAATATCGCGCTAGCAACCCATCTATTGGAACTTGAGTCTCGACTTGATCACCTGCGCTCCTCAACACAAGCTCAATTACTATCTACACATGCATTGGAGCGTCAATGGAAACAAAAACAATCCGAGATGGATAGAACTTTAGCTCCCTTCTCACCGAGCTCGTTATATCAAAGATTAGGACAAGGTGTTCAGGAACAAGAAATGATATGTAGAGCAATGGAAGAAAGTTTCCTAGAAGGTGATGGAGTTGCTACGGAAAGGGAAGCTAGTGATTGGGTTAGAAAGTATAGGGAATCGAAGAAACTTTATTATTCAAGGAGGGAAAGGAAAGACAGGTGGGATGAAGGAAGAGTTGGAGGTTGGAGATGATGTAGAGGGTCTCACTATATCATTTGGTTGGAACCTTGAGCGGTCAACATTTACTTGCCATCGGCGACGAAACGACCATCTGGAAATACAGCATGATCATAACAGTCAGGAATCTTTGAGGTATTATATTGCAGGCTACAGACTATCAGCAGTAAATGATTCAAAAACGTAGTACAGCGTCGGTGACAAAAAGGCATGGAGACGTCGGGTGTGGTATAAGAGGCTGAAGATGAAAGGACAGCATATTTCCCGACGAGAGACTACGGATGTCAAGACAGGGAACACAAAACGATAAACAAATACCGGTATACAAGAACGTCATATTTTGATAACGCTTATGTACATATTCTCGGCCGGCTTCCACGAATTTTTACAGGTGACGAGTTATGAAACATAGTTTGTGCCACCTCTCGAATGAAGGCGATGGAGAAAAGTATAATATATCGATACATTGTGCACAGGATAGAATTCGTGGGGACGTGGGGATTTAAAGATGGACGTGGAGAATTGGAGAGGAATGGGGAAATGGACTTAGCCGGCTCTGGATGAAAGACATTAATCAATCCAATAACGCAATATCGGCAATCATTCACACTTCCCCGGCTTCTTAAAGAACCAAGATTTATTACCTCTAGTTTTGTACGACTGATTGGAGAGCTTGAAAATAGCCAAGGGAATTCGAATGTTGGTAAAGGTCCGAATAGATGGGGTAGTTAACCAATTAAAGACAAGAAATGCAACTACCGGGAGAGGGGAAAGATTGGTGAGATGGTATCTTGTGTTACATGTTTGGGATAAAGATGGATGCGGCGAAACTCTATCTCTCTTCAAGGTAGTTTGTGGTATGAAAAGTAGCAAAGACGCAGTACGAGGGTAGATTATGCAGTGTAAAGGTGTGAATCGGACGGGTATTTCCGTTCACACTAGAGATTTTGCCTGAATTCTTAGTGGGTGGTCGGTTTCTTCTTCTAGATTTGCCAAAGTGGTTTATGGTCTTACGTCTTTTGGGGGGAGGGGGGCTTCTCATGCAATTAAGGTTGGTTGGGTTGGGTTGGGGGAGCACAACAGTAGATAGATTAGATTATTTCTTGGGAGATCCCGAGGTATTGTAACGTTAACTATAGCTATAGCTATAGCTGTTAGCACGCGATTAATAGAGGTGTTTGATGATTGGGGAAATTGGACTTTGGCGAGTTGACTTGACTCGGTTGGATGGTGTGTTGTGCTTTGCTTTCCTTTGCTGTGTAGTGTAGTGTTGTGTTGTGTCGTGCTGTGCTGTATAGTGTTGTGTCGTGCTGTGTCGTGTTGTGATGTGCTGTATACTGGATACTGGGTGAGATAGATGAATACGAGATTGGAGCGGTTGGTCATTTGTTAGGTGCCGGACCGCACCGGATGGGATGGGATGGGGTGGGAGGGGATGATTTGGATCGATCGGTCGATTGATCACGGTGTGCTGTTGATACGAGGTCGAGGTCGAGGTGGACGGCTGTTTGAGATGGTGCATGCAATGCATTCTGCATGGTGGGTTTGTAGTTCTTTTTTTTTTGAGTTTTGTTTTGGTTTTTGTTTTTGAGGGAGGGGATATAGGAAGTTGGTTGGTTGGTGGGTTGGTAGGTAGGTAGGTGAGATGTATGTATGTATGTATATATGTATGTATGTATGTATGTATAAACCACACTACGGATTAGAACAGGTGGTTTGTGAGTGTGTTGTTCATTGCTTCAATGATGTATGTATGACAAGGTGGTTAGATTTTCTTTTTTTGCTTTTTCTTTCTCTCTCTTACTTTTCTGGTTCTGCTGGTGAAGTGAGATCTTTGGCTAGAGTTTGGAGATTGGAGACCGGATACTGGAGACTGGATACTGGTAGTGTGGTGTGTGGTTTGTGGTATAGTTGCTAGGGTTTCTGTTGGCGATGAGGTATTGATGTATTGATGTATTGATGTACTTATTTATATCATGGGGTTGGAAATGGATTGAATATAATTGAATAGATGGCTGGAGGAGTATGGGTTTAATTCATTGGTAGATTGTGTTTGTATTGTATTCTATAGTATGCTGGGATAGGAGAGGAGGAAGAAAGAAGGGGAATGGAGATAGAAGTAAGGGAGGAAAATGGAAGAAGGAATACTACTTTATACATACTATCAGCTAGGTATGTAAAGATTAGAAGATGGAAAGAAGATGAGGTTGGAATGGATGATTGAGCAAATGGATGGATAGTCTGTGATATGGTATGTAATAAATAGTAGATTGTGCAATGACATCTGGCGGGTTTGTGATGAGATGAGATGATGATTTTTCTGTCTCATCTTGTATCATCTTCTCCATTTATTACTTATTTCGGAATTGTCTGGCTCGTTCCATTGCGTGAATTGTATTGTTCCTCCTCCTGCATCGCTTTGCAATATTGAAGTCTAAGGTATCCAGTTTCTAGCACCTTTTGGAAGCTTTCTCATTTCCGATTTTCCACAATTTCACACTCTGTTCTTATTCGATCTTTGCTCACCTACTTGATGATAGCACTATCTAATTCTCCTCTCAGTGCAGACTCGAAATCATAGAGTACGGAGTTGTGTGTTGAATCTCATCACATCTCTGCATCTAGGTCTGTCAGATCACTTCTCTATCTATCTATACCTCTACTTTTTGAGATTGAAAGATTGAGAGAACTCGAGAGAAGATCTTCCATGGTTTGAATGATGAAATTTGGAGATTCGGATATATATATTGGTTGAGTATGAGGGGATAGGGAAGCGAGTAATGGAAGTAGAATTTGAGAGCTGGCGGTGATGTTTGGCACTGTGGTAAGACTGGGATGAGAATCAGTGGATGGCTGGGATTGGGATTTATGGGGATGAATTATTTATGATGGGAATTGGTGTGATGAGTGAAGAGGGCGATTGGGAAAGGAGGAAGGGGTTCAATGAGTGGTGAGTGAGGAGTGGGATTCCTTATGCTCTTCTCACATGCGAGATGCGAGTCTAAGCGGCGGATGGTAAAGTCTTACAGCTACTAGAGATAGAGCGTAGAATGGTAAGAATTAGATAGCAGACCAAGACTAAGGATCGAATCTCAGCAGTGGGTGAAGGCTTGGATTGACATATGGGGACGGGTACGATGTACCTGGATTCACCTCAATTCTGCTCAGATATTTGGGACAGTCATGCGAAGATAAAAGTTAAATAACAGCTTGAAATCGAAAACGGAGGTTTGAAAGCTATGAGTAATGGGTGATAATCATGTTTGTATAGACTGGTTGAGTTGATTGCTTAACTTTAATGGCATAAGGAAACGAGGGGGTAGGCTGGGGGGACACAGGAGGAAAGCTATTGGGATGCGTGAAGGAAACAGCCTAAGATGAATCAATATACAAATTGAAGGGACTAGAATGAAATATTTGGTAGATTTGACAGGTGAAGAAAGGGGCGGAAGTGAAAGGTCAGAAGGAGAGGAGTGCTGAAGATGTGAGAGATAATTTTTTTAAGGGGGAAATGACAATAAGCGAAAATAGATCATTGGAGGAATGAGACATTGAATCAAATGTTCCTCTTTCTGAAATCCTACGACTCCTGGATTTGTGAAAGAAAAATAATTAAACTCTGAAATTTCTTAATGTATAGCCATTAACTTTCTAATGATATTGCAGTGATATTTGATATCTCATTCCACATGCTCAAACCTATGTATTGGCTTCTCTTGGTTCTTTTCCTCTGCCTGGAATACCTTCTATTCTCAATGGATCAATGTAACAACTAAGACACTCATATACTCAAACTGAGTCTGGGTACTTATCTTTTCCATAGACTTAACCCTTGAGATCTTCCGTGCTCAGTTCTCCGGACATCTGAGTTCCAAAGATAAGAAATACCCGCTAATTTTCTATCGACAATTCAACCAAGATATAATACTACACCTCAATCACAAGCAGCCTCACTCCTTTCATCCCTTCCTTCTTTCTTCAACACCTCTCCTTTTCTCCATACACCACAAGATTTCCTCTCCTCCAAACCCCAAACAAAAAAAAAATAGAAGCCCGATCAAGGATTCGAACCTTGGATCTCATCATTTTTGTATTCATCGATACGCTATCATTCGTTCGTTAGCTCATTATCCATCTCTATACCTTTGGGTAACAGTTGTACTTACAGTGATGCGCGTTAACCACTACGCTAAGCGGGCGGTTTGTTTTTATAGACAAGGGTGAGTTTTGAGTATCTATGTGGAGGACTATGGAAACTTGGGGGAGTGAATAGAGGGGTTAGAATCGGTTTTGGGAGGAGTGGCGAACTGAAGCGAGGGGGGAAAGTGTTGAGTTGAGATATGAGTGGGGTCCTTGGGATTATGTCATTCTTTCTTCATCAGTAGATTTTGGTGATGTACGGGTGATAGTTCATGTAGTTTCTATTTCTTCTTTCTTCAAGTCATCTATTTACCGAACAAAGGCCCATATTACTTAGACACCTCTTTGCTTGCGCCCTTGGATGGATCGTATCGACTCTCTTTTCAGAAATTTGGGAATCTATGAAGGAAAAACTGAAGTGAAATAAAAATGAAAGGATGTATGTTAAAGGCTGAGACAATAAATAGGTCGAAACTCCCAATTTCCCCAACCAATCCAAGGCAAACCTGAAACCTAAAGAACCAAAAACATGGAGACTCCCGGCAATGTATACATCCTCGAAATGTGTCATAAACTCGATAACTCCATCTCACATCCATTGACCCACAACCAATATCCAATCCCATAAGCCCTCAAGTTTAAAGACTGGACCTAAACTCACCACTTCCCCCAGCATCCCTCCGAGTAGAAGCAGTACCAGGTGAATTCAATGCATATTCTTCAATCATCTTCTCGGCTGCAGTTTCACCCACTAAGTATGCTGTTGATTGTGTGTGATTACTATTTTTGACATTTGTATTAGCGAAATCATTCCCCTGCTCACTCAAACCCCCTCCTTCATTTTTCCATTTTTTTCTACTCCATCCAAGCGATGAAAGAGAGAAGATAAGAGAGAAGATAAGCGAGGAGGTAACCAGATCCTCAATGAATCAATTCATATTCCATACTCAACCCCATGATCTCGGACGCTCGTCCCAAAAGGGGTCAAACAAAGAGGGGACCTGATAACCTGGAACAAATCACTAGTTTAAAGGGATAAATGAGACTCACTTAGGTAAAAGTGGAAGCACACTCAAATCCACCACTCTCAGTCCTTCCACACCCAATACCCTAAAATTCGTATCTACACATGCTGTACTCTCATCTTTATCTTTACCCATGCGGACTGTACTGCACATGTGCCAACTGCTGAAGAGATTGTTACGGCAGTGTTCCTGTAGATTCTTCTTAGTCTTTATCATTTGTAGGGAAATCAAGATGAAGGATAAACATGTAACGACATGAGAATGAAAACTAACCCAGATACTTTCATCACTCGCTCCAACGCCACCCTCGGGAACTCCAATCATTTTAACAGTCTTCTCTTTAAAAACAGGTGTATCTAAAAATTCCATCGTTTTCCTTACTGCTTCAATAAGAACTCGTCGGTCATACGGATGGTTAATTAGATTCGCGTCAATCTTCGGTGGTACAGAGGGGTCGGCAGAAGAAAGTGTGACGCTGCCTGTTGCTTGAGGGTTCATGACGAAGGAGAGACAGGTTAGGTAGGAATCTGTTGGGGAGAGGACGTGGGTGCCTGTGAAAAGGGGAGGTACGTGCTAGAGAATGATATCAGTTCATGATTTAGGGGAAGTGAAGCGAAAAAGCGCCCATGGTAATGACCAGCGGAGCGGCAACAAAAGCAACAATGAACACATACCGTAGCAATTTCGAAAATAGGAACATTCTTTTGCCTCAAAAAAGCCTTTTTATCCTCCGATAAATCAGTAAATTCTTTTGATTCCAAAACTTTCTCGTTCTTGAACCATCCCATTGGAACACCACAATATAATTCGGCCAACTTTCCACTCTTATCTTTAATCCAACCTTCCTTTGCAGTTTTCTTCATCTCTTCATTCATTTCAAATTCCATGCGATCATTTGATCCTTCTTTCAGTAACAGGGTTGTGGTAGAAAAGCAATGATCTTGAAGATTCTTTCCTACTTGCGGAAGATCGTTGATGATTGGTATATTGTGTTCCTTGAGTTCGGAAGCAGGACCGATTCCAGAAAGGAGAAGAAGTTGAGGACTATTCAATGCACCGGCTGATAAGATGACATCTTTACGGGAATAGTATTCTCGACCATCAATTGTTCTGATACCTATCGTTTTCTTTCCATTAAATAGGACTTTCGCAACGGGGGCGTTGAGGATAGTTTCGAATCTCGGACCCATTAATGGTAAATAAGACGAAGCAGTTGTTCTCAGCCCATCATGCATACAAGAAGAGCCCATACCCATTCCAATTGGATTCCCAGAATTTATATCAGTATTCAACGGCAATCCAGCTTGTTTAGCTGCTATATAGACATCTGTCAAACCCTTTTCCCAAACAGGAGCGTAAGAAAGATGAAGTGGCCCCTCGGTTCCATGATCTTCTGGTTTTGGATTCACAAATTCGCGATATTGGTCTGGAACCTCATCATGGTAATGTTCGATTTTTTTGAGGCGTTCTTTAACATGCGTCCATGACCATGTATCATCATCAACCTTTTCAGCCCAGGCGTCAAAATCTTCCGCTCCCCCGATTACCCAACAGGAAAAGTTTATAGCGGTACTACCACCAATTCCTTTTCCCCGTGAATAATCAATTTGTTGACCTCCTAGATGAGAGCAGGGCTCTGTCTTATATCCCCAATTCAAAGAGGGTTGAGTGCCAAAGAGAGTAAAGCGTTCAGCAGGAATAAGATATTCTTGGTCATTGTTGGGACCTCCTGCTTCAATGAGGAGGACGGATGGATGAGAAGGAGCTGACGAGAGGCGTGCTGCGAGGGATAGTCCGGCTGGGCCAGCTCCTACAATTATGAAATCGTAATTATTGTGTGGTGTAGATGTCATTTTGGGGTATTATTTGTCAAAGTGAGATATATGTTTTCTACGTAGAATGTGAGAAGGTCTATAAGTCAAATGATTGGAAATTGAGAATCATCTACTTACGATTGATATCAAGGCTAGAGGACGAATAACCCGAAGACACTCTTAATGATCAATATTACAAAATATGCTACGCAATCGATACCTAAATTAGAAGTATCAATCCACAAAACAACATAAATGCAAGGGGCTTACTGATCACTTACCGATTATGTGTATATTTGTATTGGCGTAATAATCGATTACTTTATGTCAGTATCATCGAAGTCCAATCCCTACAAGCTGTGTAAGAAATGAACACTGTGATTCTTATATTTAGATGAAATCCGAATATCAAATACTTGCAACACATCAACATCACCTAGATAATAAAGGCATAATAAAGTATATGGAGGATCTACCAATATGCAAGGATATCTGAACACAAGTTCCGTCCACGGATCACGGAATCAACCCGTTCGCCCGCTTGGCTTCTCCTCTTCTTAATAATTGGGCTATGTATTGACACTTGTGGATTAACACATGGTGGGGTGGCTCGAGAGTAATACACTAAATCAAATAATTGTAACATTGGCGTCGTCTTAGTTTTGTCGGGAAAGGGTTCGGTATATTTTTGGAATGGAAGCTAGTCAGAAGGTCGTCTTTCTCGGGGAGCTAAGCTCAAGCAGGTCCAATGAAATTCGGTTTATTAGTTAGTTAGTATGAGTGCTGATTGCGGGGTAAATAAGGGGCTGAGAATTGGAAGCGGAGATTATCAAGTCGAAGCTGAATTAAATCATGGTCCGGTAGTTTATGCGGGATATAATCATGTTTTTTGTTGTGCTGAATAACGGACGTCACAGTTAGTTCTTGTCGTTTTGCTGTTTTCACACATACCAATATTGGAGATGGTTGACCACTATTTGCCCCTTGTTTATCCCATCCAAAGCCAACCTTGGAATTAGATGACGAGATTCTGGATAAATCTTCACATGTCACATCAAATCTAACGCACGCATTGATGATCTCCGTTTTTTGTAACTGTGCCGGAAAATGGGAATTCGTAATCCATCGCTGAATATCTTTGTAGCATTGTATAGATAGTGCATACGCGAAGCTGTATTGTAGAATGGTCTGTGGAGTTAGCATTTCACTGAACATGGTGAAGTACGTTACACCATGGTGAGGTTCCCTAGGATTGCTCCGTTTCGGGCATCAAAGTACAAACTTTGCTTGGATATCTTGACACACATCGCAAATTATCGGAGATCTGGGGAATAGAAGCCATGTATGTCCGTAATCGTCTTCATGAAATTATACTCTCTTATGATATACATATTGAACACAAGAATTGGATCTTGCATCCATCAAGACATGGCAGAATTTGCCCTCAAAATTTCTTTCGGAGAACGGAGAGATGTGAAAACCCTCGATTGAGCCTCAACTCACCTAGGATGAGCAGTTAAATATCGTATCAAAAAGGACAAATAAGACGCCTAACCCCATCGACCTTATGCTAAGATATGTTCTCAATGATGGCAGTGAGAGTTTTACATTCGGAATGCGAAAGAAACAGGAAAGTGAAAAGTAGTCTATAAAGAGAGCATCTGATCCAGATCACCAAGTGACCATAAGGTCAATAACAGTATCCAATACCAGCTTAGCTCCATCAATACGAATAGTAAGTCATTTCTACCTCATCAATAGCTGATGACAATCTTCACAGGCCAAATCAAACATACTCCGTTCCCAATTTTGATTTCGTCCGCATGACATCCATCAATCGCCTACCGACTTCGATTGACAACCCCTTATGTTCAGGAAATAAACAGCAACCTCGTGTATTACCGGCGACCACCTAAAGTGATGCCTAAATTTGAAGGATCTCATTGATGATCTTGTCAAACATGGATATGAGGATTGAGAAGAGACCAGAGTTTGAAGATGTAGCGGTGAAGATACTGTTCGAAAGATAAGCCCGTTGTCTGCAGTCATCAATGAGCCCTGACAGCTGAGAATCATTTCCTGCAGTTGAAAACAAATCTTTTATTCCGGTGATCAAAACATTCTTCATTGAAGGCGATTATACCGAACAAGACTGGTGCCTTGTAGACGACCGGCAGTCGATACCGAGAAAGAGAACCTCGGTGCCGTGTTGAAATCACTGTGATAATCCCTTCTGTAATTTGGATTTAATCCACACAAATTAAATCCTAGAACCTCAGTCGGGGTTGAAATTCATTACTGCACTTCAGAGACCATAGATATCAGAATGGTCGAATGAAGCAATCCCGATACAGTCGGCGCAGTCCATAGACCAGGGCATACTGATGCATAGGAAACGTGATGAGATAAGATGAGATTCAAGGCACAGATATACCACTTTGGTACAGAATTTGTTCAAATCATGTAGCGAGGTACGATTTAAGACCATATTGTTGTTGAGGATTTGAGAATTGAATGTAATAAGCTCGTGATAATTGTCCCTGGATCTCACTCAGATAACCACATGTATGACAACGAATTTGACCTGAGATATGCAAAATACCGACTTCTAGATCATACTAATGATCTTGACGACTCGGAATTGTTCCAGCCAGTCGAATGAAAATAAGAAGAAAATTAAGCGCATTGTATTGATCGCTTGTAAAGACAGGTGAAAGGAGTGTAATTTGCAAGGGTGTTGGAAGGACAATGTTACATTTAATATCTTATGGAAGCACACGGTTTTAATCCGTCGGAACTGAGAGAAATCTATTTCGGGTGTGGTGTGTACAAGAAGTGATTTGAAGTCCTCCCAAGAATGCTTGTTTGCATCTAGGAGGCGTGGTGTTCGTCACGGAACGGTGCGAACAATGAATCCATGGAGCCATGGTAACATCGACCTTAGATAATCTTCTACCCCGCTTTACCAACATCAATGATTGGGATAAATTCTTGATCCCCCTTGAGTTTCGAGAAACTTCCGCTTATGTATACTGTACATAAGCTATACGACAAAGTATTGGAAATAATGGCTTGTTCATGTAGTGATACAACAGTAGGTGTGCATTGAGGGGAGTTTTCTCCTCAAGACGGACAATACTAACAGAAATGGCTTTCGGGCTTTTGAAGGAAGTTTCATTCAGCCGTTTTGTTTTCTTGATAAGATGCTATCAGGGATTAGATTTGTGGAGTAGGACCTCTAACAACCATGCCGCAACATGTGTAGAACCAGGCACGCACAAGATCTATTTGCTATATAGCTGTGGGTAGCTGCAGTGGTAGCTGTAGCTGGTCGAGGGACCAGGATTAGAGATCTAAATTGAAAAACTGGTGCCAATTAGTACATGAATCCTTTTTATTAGCTTTACTAGATAGTTGACAGCGTGGTGCTATTTGATTATGTCGGTTAAGTTTGATGTGGTTGGTAAGACAAGCAGAATGTTTCCTTTGGTGGTAAGTGTATTGCGTATGGCTACAACATGGCTACAACATGACTACACATGGTTATTCTCCATTGAGAGGTTCCGACCGAATGGCTGACCCAGCTTGAGACCCCAAAAATTGATTCAAAATTGATTAATATTATGCATTTGTAGGGGAATACATGGTTATATGTATACTACCCACCAAAAGTTCAAACTATTATTAGAATCCTTCACATACTTGATATCCTGTCTCGGCCAGCAACCAACGAAAGACAACAGAAGTAATAACTTACCACGCGACTTCGATCAATTTGCAAATTTTCCCTGTAAATTTCACCAGCTTTTGGTTTCTTGGCCCCTCCTTATATGTTCTTCCTGTCATCCTGATACGACGAAATGAATCAACATGTATATTGGCTTGGAGACTTTGATACCTACCTAGGTGCTCTTGGCTGAATCTGGAGATTTGAGACGGAAACTCCAAAGTGGTTCTTAAGATACTTCCGTGTCATTCTTATTGGCTAATCTATGAAGTATAGGTGATCACTAATGTTCACATCCAATATAGATATGATTACATTCCCGAGAGGTGGAAGGGGAAAAAAAGTCTAGCATCTGCAACATCAAAAAGAGAAGGTCTAGGAAGGGAAGGTACTAGGAGACAAACCACCAACAAAGTAAAGGTATTTTAAATCGACCATCTAATTCTCTACCTTTCTACTCTTCTACTCTTCTACTCTTCCATATTTCTCTATTCCTACCCTTCCATCAACTTTCTCAGCTCTGTCTGAAATCATGTCATCCCCACCTTATCCAACCCCTCTTTAAGAAGTTGTTCAATTTACCTTTTACTGCGCCACATTAAAATACCACTGTCACTGTTCCCTCTATACCTTGCCCATGAACACCTGCGATCAATACTATCTCCACCTTTGATATCCCAAAAAGAGATAGCAGCCGCGTGCGTTTTCTTGGCTAAACTTTGGGAGGCAGATAGTTACGTTGTTTTTTGTTTTGCGATTTAATCCGACTTTTAATCTGAATGGATGAACCTGCGATAAACCCCATACAACTTCAGACGAAGCTTCCCCAAAGCTCCCCTAGAGCTCGTTCAAATCGTCAAGAACCATTACACAAAATGGCAGTCTCAACTTCTTCACCACGATTGCACTTCGAACCTGATAGTGTACCGTTACCTACTTCATCTGATAATGCAGAACCGGCTTCTCCTGCATTATCGTCTTCGACAGCTCTCGCACGTTTCGAATTCGAATCTGGCCGAGGAAATGAAGGAACAAAAATATTGATGGTAGAATGGGAAGATGAATCTACCGAAGGATCCATCAAAAATATGGGAGATTGGGAGGTATCATGGGAAGGAAAAAGTACTGTTCTATCCGCACGAGATGGTGCAGAAGGGAAACTTCATCGACTTTACTTTCTACTGGCTCCAGGAGCTAGCATACCAAGAATCATAAAGTTATCACAAGTGGGAGGGAAGATGATTCAAACAAATCCATTACCTGCGATATTCCCACCCGAATTAGGATTGACTGCACGACAAGCTGGACGAAAAGGTGTGTTACATACAATCTGGGCGAAGAAAAGGATATCCGTCTTACAAAGGGAAATCGATGAGGAAATGAAAACAAATGGAGAGGGAATAGGTCTAGAAATGGCCATGCAGGAAAAGCAATGGATTGAGGAGAACTTTGGTGTTGGGCCAAGAGTTACACAGCCGGATTTACAACAGAATGCTACTCCAACTAGTCCAAAAACACCCAGTGGTGGTAGGTTATCCGAGAAGCTTAAGGGGTTGAAATTAGGAACTAGTGCCCACGACTTAAGTAATGTTTCAGGTACGTATAGAATTGAATGTCCAAGAATGAAAATGGTGAGATTAACAAGTCCTAGAACCCAAATTCGAAAGTCAGCAAAACCCATTATCTCCTGAGCAGGGTGATGTCGCTGTATCGTCTTTCTCCTTGTTTCATGGGGGAACTTCGCGCCATCAACCACGCCTTGTCGCTCAACATCCACCTAATCATTCCTCACAATATGGCATGAGTTCTCTAAATGCTCTTGCAATTGGTGATGTGTCACGAAAAGCATCAGAAGATCAAACCGAAGATGAATTATTTGCCATCAAAATGAGTCCAAGAAGTCCGGAGATGACAAAAAGTCCTTTTAGTTTCGCAACTAAGGATGTAGCTTTGAGTATGGCTCAAAAGAATTAGTAAACTCGATCGCTATGTTTTTGGAAGAGAGTCCAGAAATTCACTTATGACGATATGATTGATGAAACAAACGAAAGAATTGAACGAATTGATCTGACAAAGTACACACAATATTGGGAGGTTAGATTTTCAAAAGCTACGAGAACACTCGCTTTATACCCACTACTTTGGTCGTCAAAATTCTGGATTTGGATAAGGTCTTAGCGACCTATTTTAGATAGTTATTTGGATACCTATTTTTTATTCCTAAGACTGAATTAATTGAGAGCTTTTGGATCTAGGTCTGTCACCGTGTCTTACCAAGGTTCCTACATATTTAATTCACTACCGGACCGAAACACACCTCCGGACTCCGGAGTCACTTTTATTGTCCCAATCAGCTTTATAAATTCCTCATATGTCTTCGTATGTGTCTTAGTATCCAAAAGTGATATACAAAAGCCACAATTGCTCCGTTCAACTAACTGCTGAGTACTCAACTACATATCTGTCTAACCTTCAGTCTGGAAAATTTTCCACAAGGTTTGGCTAGAATATCTATTTATACTTTCTTTAGCACCCCCCCCCCCCCCCACCCCCACGTGTGAGAATAGCCCGTCCCGCTCCTCGTGACATCTTGCGATTATTACGAAGTGCGGATGTGTTCACAATTTGAATCGCCTCTCAACTACTTAGGTCCTGGCTTTCTTCATTCGTTAATAAGTGAATAACCGTATGGCTCGTGCCCACTGCTTGGATAAAATGTAGGTCGGGGCATCTTTACCCGATCCAACGAATGATATTGATGTATCGTTGCGCCTCATCCTGATCTTATCAAGTTCAATAAGACCTGCCACTGTGACGTGACGACTTATAAGAGTGAATCTTGTTTCTGATCTACATATGACCAAGGTCTCGCAACTGTTGCTCGTTTCAAATAATAGCTGGGGGTCCTTTCGAGAGGTATTTCAGACTTCCCTTGTGATAGCTTCATGAATTTGTTTTGCATTTGTTGTTTAAGATCCTTTTCCAACCTAAGTGGCTACTGCATTAACGACTAGTTGAACGGATATTCTTCTTTTATACCGTTGGGAATTATCAAGACAGAACGCCCGGATGAACTTTTATCAATGGGAAAAGATCTGACAAAGTGTGGGTCATAAATAATCATGATAATGTTAACGTGGTCGTCTTATTTCATTTGAAGACCTCTCACGTTTGTCATTTTATTTCTTGTGGTCCGAAATCTTCAGCTCTTTTGTTGATATTTCATACTCAACTGGTTATTGAGTTATCACTGCGGTCAATCTCGAATGTGAATGGGGAGCTACTTTGTTTCCTCGTTTATCGAACAAAGGGATAGAAATTTCCCGAGATAGTGATCTCATATTTATGCCAATATCTTAATCACCAACTCGAAATTCACACCTCTTTACTTCACTCCTCTGATACCTCTCACCATGTCTACCAACACCACAATACCGTCGACGCCCCTACCGTCCACTTCCCTCTCATTTGTGGGAACTCCCTCTAAAACCACCATGCTCCTCATCATCTCTACATATCTCCTCATAGTCCACATCCTTCGCCTTTCGAGACAGGACTACATGATTAAAAAGTTCGGATACAAAACCCGAGAATCATTGAAGAATATGACAAATACGGATGCGCAAGCAATTATCGGTCACATAGGCGAATTAGAATTTCCCCGTTTCTACGTTACCAGTCTTCAATTCGCTCTCTTTAAAACCTACGGTATCCCTACAATCTCCAAACTCCTAGTCGACACAAAACAATTCAGTTCCAAGGAAACAGCGAGTAAACGTTACGCGGATACATCAGTATTGATTGCAGAATTCTCTTCTCATCATCCTCTTCACCCGAGAGTTTTGAAAGCGATTTCGAGAATGAATTATTTGCATTCGGGATATCAAAAAGCAGGGAAGATTTCGAATGAGGATTTGCTTTATACATTGAGCGTTTTCATCACGGAACCAATTGGTTGGATTGGGGATTGGGAGTGGAGAAAACTGAATGAGATGGAGATTTGCGCAATTGCTACGTTTTGGAAAGGGATTGGTGATGCCATGGGTATTTCTTATCATGATCTTCGTCATTTCAATGAATGGAGAGATGGAATTGAATTTTTCGAAGATATCAAGAAGTGGGCAGAAGATTATGAGAGGAAATTCATGGTTCCGAACGAGTATAATAAGAAAACGGCGGATGAATTGGTCCCACTTCTGTTGTTTCTTGTTCCAAAGGCATTACTGCCCTTTGCGAGAGATGCAGTAGGGGTTCTTATGGGTCCTCTTCTTCGCGCCGCAATGATTTACCCGGAACCCTCGCGCCTCAATAAATTACTCACTATCTCTATACTACGCACTCGTCAATTATCTCTCCGCTACCTATCACTCCCAAGACCAGAATGGATGCGAGTTAGACAAATCTCGAAGTCGGATGACAAGGGGGTAGATGGGAGGTATCATAGTACCAATTATCTCGTGCATCCGTACTATCAACTTCCGGGCTTCTGGAATCGTTGGGGACCGGTGGCTTTGGTTACGAGGGTGATGGGTGGATTTGTACCGGATGAGAAGAGGAGCGATTGGTTTACAGAGGGGTATAGATTCGAGGAGGTGGGGCCGGATAGGAAACGAGGGGAGGGTGGGAACGAGATGAGGGGCATGGAAGAGAAATTGGAGAAGGAGAGAACTCCAGGGTGTCCTTTTGCTTTCGGAAAGTAAACTATGTGGATTGGGCGTATTATGAGGGTGTGTTTGTAAGTTTTGGAGATAGAATCCTAGGGAGGGGTGGATTGGTAATCTTTCTCGAGATTGCTCACGGTATATGTGATAGGAAATCAGAAGTACATACGTAATTGGAGAAAGAGAGAAACGGGAGCACGCGAATTGGATAAACAAATAATCTTGTTACTGACATCGTTTATGAATATATCCATCGCATCATCGTTGTATTACCGCATCTCAGAAGAATTTCATAACCATATCACGAGAAAACGTACAAAATCACCATGAAAATTTGCAATTAAAACCATATTTTCTGTATTGCTTGTTACTGTATAAGAACTGGGTATCTTGGGACTAAGCCAAACACTCCAAAAGAAATGGGTACCCTAAAATTGTGAACTCCGTGTAAAAACTTGGATATCTCGATTTCAAACTAAAACCTTATCATACTCCATATCTCTCAATCTCTCACACGCAAAGTTTACCTTAACTCCGTACCATACTATGCCATGCTATCCCAGAAAATGCCAAATCCATAATTATCGCCAACCATGCAATACCATCCAGACCGAATGCCTTATGCCACAATGCAATTTCGAAAATATCCTAATAATCCACATGTTCTAGTATCATACGATGCGAAGTGTTGAAAGGAGGTACCGCTTGTCATAGATGAATGCTGCAGAAAAAGGAAGAACAAAGCTAAGAGGTGGTCTTGTGCACCAGAAAGACACAGAAGAGAGACCCGAGAGCCATCAGGAGATACTGTCCCGTGGCGAAACAGTGCCGGAGATGTTGAAAATGAACGGACGACTTAGAACGTTGACTTATTCTCATCAAAATCAGAAAGATCGTTATTCCCAAGGAAAACAGAAGCATCTGTGATATCCAGATCTTTGACACACTTCGCGATGAATTCTGGCTTCCAGGGATTATTGAGTTGGCCAGGGAGAGCAAATTCCGTCTCGAAATTCATCTTCTTCTCGGGACCTTTCGATTTGTTAGCAAGTGCTATCTTTGCAAACGTTGCACCGCTAGTCCAGAGCTTATTCTCGGCATCTTGAATCCGCAGAACCAATACTTGAGGCATGTTCTCACAGACCCTCTCACCATCTTGTTCTCCTTCCTTCAGGACGTATCTGCAAGTTGGTTCATCGAGATCATAGTGGTCTTCCTTGTTCATCCATCTATTGATCAGCTCATCTCTCGCGAGGTCAATCTGTCGGATGATGTTGGAAGAGTGCACCATGTTTGCATCTTCTTGCAGGATTGGAAGGGGCTCACTGTCGATGAAAGCGTCTGGATCGTTGGTAAAACCTAGATGCGCATTGACACGGTATCCAACCTCTCCGCCGGTGGGTTCTTGGAAAGCTAGAGCTAGTCCAGAGGCAGCGGGTCTGGCTTGGACAGGAATACGACTAAATTGATACTTGGGTTCAGTGTCCTCATGAATCTTGGCTGATTCCTGGGCTTTGAACTTAGGGTCATTGTCTTTTTCATTTGATCCCCAGGCTTTTATTTCAGCAGCATCGCTATTTTTATCCAGCTCTCGAGATTCAGAGTCGGACTCGGTGTCGCCGCCATTTTCATCAGAATCATCGGAACCGGACTCAGTGGCATCACTATCCTCCGGAGCTTCCCATCCAGAACCAGGAGCATTGGCACAGTACTCAACATCACTGACAATCTCAATGACTGAAAAATGTTCTTCTTCCAATCCCTCTCTGATGGCCTGTGTCAGAACATGTTCCTCGCGTTCATCGAGTGGCCAGCCCTCCTCGTAGAAGTCTTGTAGAAGTTCGACCCCTTCTGGAACTTCCTCGAATTCAATATCTCTAGGGCAATCCTCAATCTCGATGAGTATCCATGGTTCCCCACCAAGCATCTCGCGAGATTCTTCGTGAGGTGATTGAATAGGAAACCCAATCTGTCCAAACACGAAGGCTACATCGTCACCGAGTCCTTCCATTGTGTCTTTGATGACGAAGCCACCGACGTTATCGACATGACCATCAAGCAAAGATCCTTGGTCATCGTACAATTGCCAATTACCTTGATACCTTGAGGCAAGAGAGCCATCCATGAACTCCTCTGTGGCTGGAATTGAAGACAACTGACTTGGCGCACTTGGAGCTGGAGACGGTCCTCTTAGTGGTGAAGCACTGTACGAATCACCTTCGTCTTCCTCGTATTGAGCATCAATGCCTGACACAGTGTTTGCCTCTAGATTGCAGTTTGACTTTTGCGGTGGCTCAATACTGATATCACGAGTAGACAAGTCATCGCTGTTGCTACCGTTGAGAGAGTCAATTGTTTCCCTGGAATCTTCACTGTCCGATGTTGGGGCCGGGGTGCCTCCTTGCTCAGTCGATGTTTGCGCTTCAAAGATCGATGCAAATCGAGATTTCTTTGGTTGGAAAGATATCTCAATCATCTGTAGACCAAAGTGAGCCTCTGGAGCAGGATCTCTAGAAGTCTCCTCTGCAACTGAGTCTTGTGTTTCTTGCTCAGATTTAGGTTGCACAGGAAAGAACTCTGCAAAGCGAGATTTTTTAGGTTGGACAGGGAAATCAACCATCTTCAAACCAAAATTGCCAACTGTGACAGGATTTTCAGAGGTATTTGGAACTACATCCTGTGGCACCTCGGCCTTAGCGCAATCATCCTTCTTTTGTGCTTCAAACAATTGAGCCCATCGAGATTGCTTTGGTTCGGCTTGTAAATTGATCATCGTGAGACCAAAGTGAGCATTGGGAAGTTGTGAAGGTCTCGACTCCATTTGCTGAGCCAGATCCTCTTGAATGGTGACGGAGTTCGCCTTCGCCACCGCAATCTCAGAATCCATAAGACTTAGCATCCCTCTTCTGGCTGCTTTTACCGACTTGGTAAACTTCAACGAGGAATTGAGATCAGCGTATCGATCATCATCAGGTTCCACTTGAGAAGCTTCTTGTTCTCGGGCTTGTTGCACACGGGCTTCTTGATCGCGAAGCGCTGTCTGCTCAAGAGTATTTGTATCAGTCTCAGTCTCATGAGTAACGTAGTCGCTACTCGTTTCATTGTCAAGTAGCAATTGCTGATTCCGAAGGTTCTTCCACAAAGGGTAGTAGCAATTAAGATCGAAGAAATAGAGACGTCCGTCGACTCGAGGATGTTTACACTTGTTGGCCGGGCATCCATACCACCCACAGAAATTGTTAAAGGCGTACAATTTATCCTCTGAATTTTCCTCAAGATCGATTACTGCTTTGAAGTTCATGCCCAGCCAGAATAATCTTGTCTGGTAACGTACCTCCAACTGAACCCAGCGCCTCTGGATTCCGTTTAGTTGGTGGTACGCATTTGGATTGGTCCATGGTGTTGGGAGCCAAGGGTCGTTACCTCTGAAATCATCTATTCTGGTTGGAATCGGGTTGTGGGGACCCCAAGGAATGGAGAAGCCAGGAAGAGGGAAGACTGATCTGAATTGACTGTAGCGCGGAATTCGGTACATGCGTACAATTTCTTCCGCGTGGGTTTCACCCGGTTGGTGGACTTTCTGAGGTACAATAACCTCCTCAGCTTGTTCATCGACTACATTAGAACTATCCTCCTCGACAGGGAAAGTGTTTCGAAGCTCTGATAGAAAGATTTCTTGTTTCGCAAGCTCCAACGAAAACTGCTCCCCAAGCTCTGACGTGAAGACTTCTTGTTCCACTGAGTCTGATTTGTTTGGCGACAGTGGTCCAGATACAGAGCGCGAAGGGACTGGACTATCAACATGAGCGTAAATGATCTCTGGTGTCGGAGTTTGAAGAGAAGTGTTTTCCGCAGGGAAACCAATTGGTGCAGTAACCATCGGAACGGCAGGCTCCACAAAAAAGGAGGGATATATATTGAGTTGAGGCTCAGTGTACATGTCAGAGTCATCACGAACAATGTAATTGTTGGGATCACTGAACGTTGCCTCATTCCCCGCATCAGATGGAGTTAGACTGGCACGTCTCCCCGTTGGATAATGCGAGTCTGGCGAAACTAGATTTGAAGGTGCCGAATTGCGTCGTTGACGGACCACATCTTCAGTATCTTCATCCTCATTCAATGATCGTTCATCTGGCTGAAGAGCAGTGAACACCCTAACACAGAAGCTGCGTGCCCTATGTGAAATTGTAGTAGCTTCAGCGAATAAACCACTCAAATGGTACCCATCAATATGGTCTGGGAACGTAACGGGATTTTCCTCAGAGACTAAGACAATTTCCTCATTCGAAATGATCGTTTCATCCCGGATGGCAGGAATCTCGATGTTATTGGTGGATCCCACAGATGAATGAATTGCAGCTTCAATACTTGGTGAAACTTCGGCTGAGGGGATTTGAATCGAATCAGAAGTCGAGGTATCGCTTCCGATTGGTTCGGTTAGTTCTGCTTCTGATACTTCTACTACCACCTGTAAATTGCCATCTTCATTTGGTGTAGCCAATGGTGCGAAGGACAAATGAAAATGTTCTGGAACATCGATAGACAATTCAGTTTTTACCACGGCTAGAATATTATCCTCTGTGTTTTCATTGAAGATGGAAGCAGCAAGCTCTGCGGCATCTGCTCCATTAATCAAAGTCTCAACTGCTGGATCTGTATTGGAAAATTGAATATTAGTATTTGTCTTCTCGCAAGGGATGGAAATTTCGAGTGGCTTACCTCGGCTATCAACAGCATCATTATTGACAAAGATAGCAAGGCCAGCGGCTTCTACTACCGAAACTGATTGATCATTGATATCGTTCAAGTCGCCGTCAAGAGCCGACTTGATTGCAGGACTGGGTGGTTCCACTGGAAGCGCAGCAATATCTGCAACTTCCACGTCCTCAATCGACTGGTTACCACCAACAACCGTCATCAACACTGGCAAGACATTCTGTGCAAATGAAGGACCTGTAAGTCCATCGTCAATGTGATAGCTATTCGCATTCTCTGCGCCAGCATGGTCTGGGACTTGCTCAAATGTCTCGACTGTGTGATTACCTGTCGAGGAAGGATTTGAAGAACCGACAAGTGTTTCTGATTCGGGTGCCGATTCTGGTGAGTTGATGTTAGTATCTGACATCATTGATGCTTCAATTTCAGGGATTTGTTTACCAGTGGAATGTTTCCTAGATCTGCTACCGGTCAAGAAGTCGACGAGATTCTTGACTCTATTCTTAGTGAAATTGGTAGTATTGCTAGTATATCGGCTCTTGGTGAGCTTCTTAGACTCCCTGATGTTTTTCTGGTTCGCGATCTTCTTGTCCTTGATGGAGAAAACGTGAGCGACCGAGTGGAAGACCTTTCTGAAACCCATTGTTGTGGTGGGCACAATGCCCAAGATTGAACTGATGTGTAGTAAAGAGGTGGATATTGCGTGCAATTTTATGCGATAGAAAGATACCAACAAGTAGATGATACTGGAAGATGATTAAGTAGTAAATTAGAAGTCGATGATCGATACAAGATACTAATTGTGTTGGGAAATATGAAGTGCGTGAAAGTAGCAGTTGTAATTGCTTTGTGATTACTTTGATTTCGTAAAGTAGTGTGTCAAGATAAAGTTAAAGGGATTAGGATGAAGTAGAAGAATACTTAAGTAGTAGGATAGAGCAACCGTTTCAAGTCCCCAAAGACGCTAACATGTATAGGTTTGATACGATACCGTACTGACTGTTTATGATTGAATAAACGACTTGGTTGAAGGGCACAAATAGTTGCCATAAAAGACATGCTGCCGTAACTATTCCATGGAAATCAAAGATATTCGGTGCGGTCCTCGTAATACAGCATTGGTCCAGCCAGTCGATCGATGACATGTGAACATGAGGTCGATAATACTGCACTTTATGTATATCTACTCCGGTTTCAAGGTTACTGGGTACGATGAGTATCACAAGTTTTGAGGAATTGTCAGCCCTATCTAGTTTCATGTTGAACACTGCCGTTATATGTTTGAACTTGAACCCTTCCCCATGATATCACGGTGAAATAATATATAGTGTACAGCATACACTATTCCACTTGACTTCAAGCTAGCCATACAGTTGTACTCTTCATTGCCTTTGGAGTTCGGGATGGCTGTTGTATAGGTTGACTTGAACTAAACATTTCTCGACGGCTCAGCTACTCAGAATGTGATCCGCCTTATCCCACGCATTTGATTTCTATTTCCTTCCGTCAACTAGCCAGCATCTATTGACAAGCCCCGACAACAGCTCAAGTCACTTCAAGATAAGGAGTGTATCCACAGCCGTTCCTATTCTCATCGAGCAACGATAACAACGGAATGACCGATCTATTCTTCAAGGGATGTTTGATCTTTAGACAGGTAAAGCTGATTCTCGCGACAGTGGACTTGAAGTTCCCCTGCGATATGGATCACGCCCTCTTATTGGCGTTTGTCCATTTCATTTCGCAGCCCTCTCAATCATATTTACAATATTTATTAACACTATTTGGCGAGCCTGTGGAACATTTCACTCACGATACATATCGATTCGAGGAACCTTCTATCTACCGCGATGGCCAGAGTCGATCAACAAAGCACTGGCAGCCATACCGACAATGCGGAGCGAAGCAAATGTGTGGTGTTCTCGCCCCCATGCGCAGATTTGTTGGATGCTTTCGACGATCTTAACGGTGCATTGTTGGAAAATAAGAGTGGTCTCTGGGGAACTTTTCAGTTCGATACGCCCGATATAAAAGATGAATGAATAGGGGATCTTTGTATCATCATTCGCAAATGAGGAAGCACTCGAAGAATAAGTGTAGAGCACATCTTATCACACACACTGCACATTGTAAGGGGCTGACCCTTTATTGCACAATGCTATTCGACTGACAATGGTGTCAAGTAGCTATGAAAGCTCGAAATATCTAAGGGAACCTAGGTTCCACTGCATGCTGGGTAACAAGGGATTGATGCACTACATCTTTCACTGCTGTTATGCTCCACTTTTATCATGCCGAACTATCAGTAGGGATCGAAAGTATGACGAAGTAACTGAAAGAAAAGTCGAAGGGCAAGAATCCAATACATCCACCATGCTTCATGAATATCCATGGTTTAGCAAGAAGTTTGGATTTTCTTCTATTCAACATGCAAAAAAAAAGCCACAAGACTTATTAGTAGCCACGATCTAGAAGTTTCGATCATTTGAAGCTGTCCTGAAGTAGGCACATCAGTGCGGAAGGCTACATTTTCAGAGCTCAAATCCGAGCTACTATCGAGCTCTCTGCAGGCTACCAGCATAGCAAAGGGGGAACATGAGTCGTCAAAGAACAATTTATGTACACTTATTCTAGAAGAATACTTCTCTTCATCATTGTGAGATCTCGAGTTCTAGGTGAAGAGCAAGTTGCTTAACTTTTATGGCACTTTTGGAAAAATACAGCCGGTAAATGTCATGAATCTTGAAGAAGTTATGGTTCAAAAGATATTCTAGGATATTCTCCAGATAACTCGCTCCATGCCCATTCGCTTTGTTTGCTTGACTGCATTATCTGGAAACATACCACTTGAGAAGTGAAAACAGGAGGAGGCTTGGGAAGGAAGTGAATTTCAAAATTCATTGACAACTTTCAGTCAGATGGCTATATGTGGCGCATATGAGAATTTGCACCTTCAGATAATATCAGCCAAAAGTGTTAAATCAAACATTCTCAGCGAGTGACTTCTGGCGGGTGAAGCATGTGGTCTCGGTGGTGAGAAGAGATTGAGGTTGTCCGCAGCTCCCTAGTTTATCGTGCACGGTCCTTCCTCAATCTCACAGCAAGCTCGAAGCTCCCAAATCCCTAGCACAAAGAGCAACTTACAACAATCCAAGAAACTCCACGACGACGAGGTGATACATTCGAGTTATTTAGCTGGAGCGCAACTGGGTTTCTCTTGATCCCATTCTCTCCAATACTACCTACTACTTATATCGAGTAGAAATCCCTCGCAAGTTCCAACCATGTCTGTTCCTACGAAATACATATTGGTATCTTTACCAACATCTATCTCTCAATCCAGCGATAAAGAAGAAGCTTTAACAGCTCTCCGGTCTACAATCTCCCCCGATAATGGGACTACGATACCATTCAAGATCCCCGAATTCAAAATCGGTACACTAGATGCATTGGTTGGGCAAGCAGATGATCTTGCGAAGTTGGAAAGCGCTTGTCAAGGTGTTGTAGCAAAAGTTGGAGAATCTCTTCGCAATTTATTGGAAGGAGATGAGAGCAAGATTGCACAACAGAAGACTGTGAATGATAGTGAGTCTGGTGATCTACGAGCTTGTGATTGCGATCATGGGCTAATAGTTTGATTATAGAGCCTGCGGATCAATACCTACGTACTTTCTCATGGAATAAAGTCAAATATCGTGCCGACAAACCACTCGCAGAGTTAATCGATTCGTTACAAAAGGTTGGTATTGATTTACAGGAAAAGTTGATGCATTGCTGATGAGATATAGGAACTTGTTAGTATCGATAATGATGTTAAGGGTAAAATGAACCAATATAACCAAGTCAAGACGAATCTTACAACATTACAACGGAAACAAACGTAAGAGCTCAAAATCTAGAAATAAGGGAAAAGGCTAACAATGCGAAGAGGAAATCTTTCTACGAAATCCCTTACTCCAGTCGTCGATCCCAAATTACTGGTACAAGATTCCGAATACCTCGAAACTCACCTTGTCGTTGTTCCAACAAATGTTAAGAAGGATTTCCTTAAGACTTATGAAACCATATCGCCCATGGTTGTTCCAAGATCCTCCGTGGAAGTAACCCATGACGACGAGTTCACATTATTTGCGGTCACAACATTCAAAAAGCATAGCGCAGATTTCCAACACAAATGTAGAGAAAATAAATGGACACCCCGTGATTACAAATACGTAGAGGGTGGAAAGGAGGTAGAAAGAAAGGAGGCCGAGAAAGTAGAGAAGGATGAGCGCAAGGTATGGGGTGAAGCTCTAAGACTTGGTAGAACTGGTTGGAGTGAAGCTGTCATGATATGGATTCATGTCTTAACTTTGAGGGTATTCGTTGAGACGGTCCTAAGATATGGATTACCCCTGGATTTCGTCTGTGGTTTGGTTAAGGTATGAATTGAGCCCAAGTTTTGTCAAGTTTTGTCAAGTTTTACTAATTCATTCCAGTCAAACCCCAAAGGAGCCAAGAAAGCGAAAGCGGCACTTGATTCGACATATGGTTATCTCGGAGGCAATGCTTTCGGTCGAGACAAGAAAGGAAAGGCTTTGAAAGATGATTCGGCATTATCATCCGAAATAGCTGCAGCGGGAGTTGGTGGAGGAGAAGGCAACGAGTACACGGCCTATGTCTATTACGAATTCGAAATCATATAGATAGTATTGGAGGGATTATAAGAATATGGCGATTGAAAGTTGGCGCATGGCAGTGGGAACATATTTGTTGAAGCATGCATTTGTATTATTGTATCGTAGTAAGAGATATCAACAAAGCAATTGTTTTCAGATCAATCAATGTTTTGTTCATTGGATTCTACAATGTCTAGCATTTTTGATGAAATAATCCTTTTCAATCGCTCGAAATGTCATGCCCAAGGTATCTAAATCTACAATTTCAACAATTTCTCCTTCTCCAAATATTCCACAATCTTCTGCACACACTCCTCCACACTCAGCTTGTCCGTCCTTAAATGAATCTCTGCCTTCTCGGGCTCCTCATATGGCGCACTGATACCAGTGAAATCCTTGATTTCACCCGCTCTAGCCTTCTTGTACAACCCCTTTGGATCTCTCTTCTCTGCCTCCTCAACAGGAATGTCGATGAAAACCTCAATGAAAGGAATGGCCTCATCCCCATTGGCGGCCTTTTCATGCAATTCTCTGGCAACAGCTCGATCTGCCTTGTAGGGAGAGATAAACGATGTTAAAGCGATGGTACAACTATCTGCGAACAACTTTGCGACTTCAGCAATACGACGAATGTTCTCGTTGCGGGACTTCTCGTCGAATCCGAGATCTTTGTTGAGTCCAAAGCGGACATTGTCGCCGTCGAGACGATATGCGGCATGTCCGAGATGGAGAAGATGTTGCTCGAGAGCTGTGGCAATGGTGGATTTTCCAGAGGCAGAAAGCCCGGTAAACCAGATTGTGAAGCCGCGTTGTTTGCGGAGGGTGGTGCGCTCAGCGCGGGTGAGGGAAGGGTGCCAAGTGATATTTCTGAGGGGGGTTAGTATTGTGTATCTTTCGTTATTTTGCTTCCCATTGAAACTCAGGACAAAGATACAATTAAGAGATTAAGCGCAAAAAGGGAGAACCTACGTAGACATTTTGAAGATTTGTATGAGAAGATTGAGAGTATTTTTTTTTCTCGAAAAAGTTGTGAGAATTAACGAATAAAGAGAGAAGAGCAATCACGCAATCACGCAATCGAAAGTCAATGGACTGCCGTCGTTAACAAGCCGAATGTCTCCCCTTATTAACCCGCTACTGATGCACTATAAAAATCTGCCCCGCACTACACATAAAGTTGGCAAACGCGTAATATGTTTCTGAATGGTGGGGATTTCAGGATCACGTGGGGATTATTTTGCGAGCATCCTTCAGGGGGAAGTAATTTATCTCCTGCATTTTATTACATGGTGGTATGGCTGGACGCTAGACGCTGAAGAGACGAACAGTTTCGTCCAAGATACGGGAGTTTGAAAATTGGAAGTTGGTACTGATATAAAACAAGGCCACGAGTCTAATATTTTTCTGTGTAAGCAAGGTTGCTGGGTAAATTCACAAGTTAAATCTAGATCTCACGCTTCTTGTCTAATCATATATGCGTCTAGAACACTGAATGCACATCCTTTCTCTGTACTTAACAACGTTGGTCCCCTCCGACCTTCGACTGAGGAGACATCCTCTATAACATTCTATGAGACCGGGTATATTCTAGCCATCATCTGAAAATCAATTAGTATCAATCGTAACATCATCCTAGCTTTCGAACTCACCTTAGCCTGTCTAGGTTCAATAAATAATGCATTTGCCTCACATAAGACTTTCGATTTCTCTCCCTCCCCAACTAAAGTCTCAATTCTTCCTTCAACCCAAGCCTTTCTGCCCTCAACTTTCGTAGTCTCCGCCCTCAACACTACAAAAGTTCCCGCAGGTGTAGGAGCTTTATAATTGACTGTCAAAGTAGCCGTCATGCCAATCTTATTCGGCAATGCACCAAAACAACATCGTGCTAGTCCCTCGTCTAACATCGTTGCTAGAAATCCTCCATGTATAATTGTTGGATGTCCACAAAGATCTTCTCCTAGGTATGAGATTGATACAAGAGATTTCCCGCCTGCCTCAGTCCATACGTATGGTGGTACTTGAACACGTCCCGGGCCCATCAATGTTCCACCTGTAAGATTATGTCCTCGCTGTGATTCTGGGATTTTCATGTGTGGTCTTGATTCTGTGAATTCGGGTCGGCTTCGTAGTTCTTTCACAACTGGATGATTGTTTATATAGGCTTCGACTTCTATAGATTTCGCATCGGTTGGTGTATATAATTTAAGAGACTCCTCATCAGATGGGGGATCAAGTATGGCATTGGCGGCTTTGAAGGCTGGATAAGCAGCTATTGAGAAGCCGACGGATGTGAAGACAATAGCAATTCCAAAGAAAGTGAGAGTTCGTAAGAGTAATGAGGGTTGCGGAGGTGGAGGCGGGGGAATAGTAGCTTTGTGAGGTTAGCTAGAGCTCTGAGAGGGGAATAGGGAAGAACTTACTTTCAACATTGCATAATCGACGAGCTACGGTAAATGTTCGAGAAGATTTTAGGGGAGATGAGTTCCTTAACGCTGTTCCACGACATTGTACAAGTCCTGAACTGCGAGTTACAGCCCTGTGTATACCAGCTCGAGGCTGTAAAATTTGGCGAGAGAAAGACATTTCAGATTGTGCTATTTTCAAGCTACGATCTTTGCATGCTGGTATACAAAAGAAATGGGCAGATCTATGTAAAACTTCTTACACTAACGCCGACTAATAAAGCAATTCGTGCGTGGTGTATTTCCTGATAACTATCGCAATTGATGGAGGAAGCAAGCCGAGCATAATGGCTTCCCGGACGGCCCATAAAAAGTCGGTGATATGTTCTGCCGAGATCTTATCTTATCTTATCCTAAGAGATCAGCTAGCCTTCGCCAGCTAACAAATTAGACTAGACTAGCAAATTAGGTATGTATTGATACATTTTGTACCTGCTTTAGTTTGGATGATGTTATACAAAGACCTAACAAGTTTGATATCGCAAATGTGAACGGGTATCGTGGTGGAAATCTAGCACATCTTTAAACCACCGAACAACGACGTCATCTCTGAAAGTTCTGGTCATTAATCACTTCAAACCTTCAGTTATATAATGCCTGCTCTGTATCCGAACTATTATCACTCAACAGTAATCATCACGTGTATTGGAACATTGACAGCCATAGAAAAGTGTAGCCAAGGAAGTCAAAAGTCAACACCTGTTTTCAAGTGATGCATAATCATCAACATTAAAGCCCCTCAATTTATGCAGTTACAGCTACCCCTGTTTGACCTCAACCCATTTACTTATAAGGCGAGAATATCCACCATGAACTGACCTCTACGTCTGAACATATTCACCTTGATCTCGCAATATTGAATAAACCTGATTTGAACTCCAACTCTTAATTATCTTCTGCATCTTACACAAGCACTTCCTCGAGTACAGATCCAAAAGCATCAAGTTAAACAACACTATCCGTACGTTCATCATGGCAACCGCAGAGACTGTCCAACTTGGCGATATCCATGCCCCAAAAGAAGATAGCATCATTGCCTTCAAGAAAATAGAGACAGAACTTAAGAAGAAACTTCAGCATCTCCGCCATGAAACCAATAGTTTGTCTCCCTTTTTTCTCCTCTCCTCTTCCTAAACTCTTCCTCAACCCCATCACTAATCTGCACCCCCATAGAACACGAGCCCCAATACTTCGCTCCCATTTCCCACCTCCCAGATCACACCCTTACCTCCTTCACTTCCTCTTCCCTCACCTCCGTCCGCGTAGCCACTAGTGCCTATGGACTTCACCTCCTCGGCAAAGTTCTCATTCCCGAGACCGAAGATAAATATTTCATGTTCCGAGCTTTCATCCCAGGAGATTCAGATACCGCTACTCTTCATTGTATACACATGGAAGAAACGGATGTTGGAGGTGAGGAGGGAAAGTTTTTCAGAGCAATATTTGGGGAGGAAGATGAGTTGAAGTGGTTTGATGAATAGATTTCCAGTGCAGGAAGGGTAGAAGGGACGAGGGAATGGATGGAATTAAGAAGTCATGGGGTTATCGATGATTGTGGTTTGGCGATAGGAAATCATGGGCACATGAGCAGGGAAATTAGCAATGGATCTGGAACCAGGATATTTCCATCAATCACTATGCATCCTAAACTCATGATTTGAAATGGGTATAACCTCTTGAATTTATCTCGATATATCCATATTGACTACTTGCAAACATTTTTTACAAAACACTCATCACAATTCTGTGTGAGTATTTTCCTTGTCCCTATCTTCAATATTACTACTTTATCTTCCCTTTCCATTTCCCATACCCATATCCTCATCTCCGTCATCTTTGTCCAACATAGCCGCATAATCCTCCGCACTGGCGAATGTTGGAAGATTCTTAAGTCTCCTCTTCTTACTTCTGCTAGTCTCTTTCTTCTCTTCTTCCGCTTCGGGACTCTTTGCTCTCTGTAATTCAGCTTCGAATAATGCATCCATATCTGATCCTGCTTCATCATCACTGTCCTTGAGGTCATCATCTTCTTCTGAGAAGATACCCTCTCCGTCATCTTCCTCAGCATCTTGCATATCCTCATCTTCTCCTTCAACATCGACTTCATCATCCGATCCCTCAATATCAACACCACCTTCAGAATCATCCTCTGACATGTCAAAGTCATCCATATCCAAATCATCATCGTCAGACTCTGGACCCTCGATATCTGGCTTACTTTCAACCAAAGCTTGCCATATTTCATCCTCATCTTCATCCTCATCATCTTCTCCATCTTCACCCTTCTTCTTCTCTTTCTTCTTAGATGCATCCTTACCCTTACCAATCTGGTTAAAGTATTTATGGAAGAAGACTTCATCAACAGCAACATCCTCTGCCTTCTTTCTCCAGAATGCTTCCGAGTTGACAGATTGTTGGACCTTAGTACCACGATTGGATACAAGTATACCTTGACTTGCCCCACCAGCAAGAGGTTGCATAAGGGAACTTCCCTTTGGTGCCCCAGCTGCTGCTTTTGCGTTTCTGTAGACAAAACGATCCAAGAAATGGGTTAAGGTGTGAGAAGCAAGATCAGGTTTAGGTGGCATTTTTTCGTCATTAATAAGGCGGTCGACAAACAGAGATACAGATGGATGGAAATGTCGCAAGAAAGGAATCTAATGTTATTAGTAAAACTCCCTCGTTCAGTAGAACGCAACTCACAATTTCCCATAAACAACTCTTGTCAGCATTGCTATGTTCTGGATCTCTCTTCTTTCCATCATATGTGTCTGTTATAGGTTTCGATGGGGCTACTGTAGCTTGAATATCTGCAGTCTCTCCATCCTCTGGCACGTCTCGATATACCTCTTCTTCCTCTTCATCATTTGCTTCAGGAGTATTGAGTAGAGTCTTAAGTCCAGGGAATGTGACTTCTAACTCTCTTAACAAATAAATGATACCACAAATGAATGGAGGTTGATGAAGGGTAACAACTTGTAACATTCTCTTCGCAAAAGCCTTTACGCGCTTGATATTGACATCTGATTTTAAAGCCCTATAGAGTAAATTGAGATACAGTGCATGTTTCGAAGAAGTGATTAGACGAGGATCGAGCAAGGATTCGTAGAGAGTTCTGTAGAATCTGTCGACAGCAAGGTGCTTTGTTGTCGATAATTGCTCAATCAACATCAAAGCTTGAATGCTGGTATTGAAGTTGGATGAATGTGTGATTCGGAACAAAGTATCCATATGTTTCTCAAGGCTAAATCTAATCAGTATTGTCCTCGGCCAATATAATTCTTTAAACTTACGTCAAATCATCAGTCTTTGTGAATGGGAATGCACGATTGACACCGGTCAGAACAGCAGAGATCATCTTCTCTGTCGTCTCCTCACTCGCCTGCTTTGCTTCCTCTTCTGCTGTCAACTTTTCCTTTGCCTTCTTTCCCATGGCACCTCCACCTCCTTGGATCTCTCCTTTTTTATTGAGTTTAGGACCTGTAGGTTTGATAACCTCGGGCTTTTTGAGAAGAGATACGAAAAGGCCAAAGTATATGCTCAAAAGTTTTTTCGCAACAACCTCCTCCTTCGAACTAAGAATAGTTTGATTGAGAGTATTGATGGCGTAGTATTTAGCGTGAGAACTCTGTCCAGGTCTCAATATAAGTTCGTTCTCAATTGAGTTAATAATGATCTCTTTCATCGCAGGATGGGAGGTTTGAAGTTGCATCAGGAGATATGATGATCGTGAAGCAATCTTTTTATCTGGATCTCCCAGTTTGTTGACCAAGAGTCGAAGTAAATTAGATTCTTGTTCTGGCTTATCCTTTAATAATTCGTAGACGTACATAACAGCTCTGGAACGAGCATATTCTACCTCGTCGCTACACCAAACTTCCAGAATCTTGAGCATATCGAAATATGACTCCTTGAGCCAATCTTCATATGCCCATGAAATGAGATGTGCTTTGGTCATGTTTCCTGGTAGGGGTTGTCCGGATTTCCAAACACCAGTATCGCTTTCTTGCAATGTACCGAGAAGTCCAGGTTGTGAAGCAAATGTACGAAGACGTCTATCCGCAGGAAGCACGACACCAGCTCCCAGCAAATCCTTCATAGCTCCCAATGCTGTAACGGCTTGTCCTCTACTTCTTTTCTTTGCCAAATCCAATAAACTTTCGAACGATCTTGTAGTATGAACTGGGGATTCTTGAACGACCAAAGTCAAAGCGGAAATTTTATCGGATAATGTACCGGAGGACATAATAGTAGCAAGGAAACGATGTGAAGAAGTCGCAGAAAGATGTTTCGAGGCATATAGAGTACTGTCGGCTTCAAGAAGAGCTTTGGCATATTCGTTTAGGTTATTGATTGACGATCGGTATGGTCCTGTTTCGCTGAAGTCTCCCGCCGGAAGGACGGGGAGTTCTGCTGCATGCCAGTCTGGTCGCGCTTCAAAATTCTATAATCGGTCAGTGGACTCAAAATAAAGGTAAGGAGCTACAAACCAGGCGGTTTTGATCCTTTGTAGATTCTTTGACTTGGATGGCCGCGGGTTTCTCTGCCACTTTGGGAGTCTTTGAAGATTCTTTGACTTTGGTGGCACTTTTCTCTGGAACTTTGGGCGCCTCTTCTGGTTCACTGGATTCTGATTCTGATTGTAAGGCCTCGTCCCGCCAATCATCAGCATCTACCTCCTCATCCTCCTCATCTGCTTCTGCTTCTGGAGCTTGTCCTTCAATTCCAAGACCTGCTACAAATTTGGCAAACTCATTTTTAAAGTCCTTGTCTGTGGATTCAGTTGTTTGTTTTGCTTCATTCTCGGAATCGGATTGTGCATCGAGTACAAGATCTAAATCTTCCTCTGTTCCTCCCAATGCCAATATTTCTTGCAACAAAACTTCTTTTTCATTTCCTTCTGATTTTGGCGCTTTATTAACCGGACGATCTTGATCTTCCTTATTGGTGTCGCGCTTTCGTTTTTTATTATTTGACCCCATTTTGTACAATCAAAGTAATTCAATTGAAATGATGGTGGTGAAAATATCGAGGAGTGTTCGAAATATTTCTGATCAAAGTTGCGACACTCTTAGAAGTTCTTGATTAGAAAAAAAGTTTATTTCACCGCCTTTTATTCTGCCAACGACTGACGGGACAAAGATTTTCCGGTGTTAGAAAGCTTCATCTGTAACTTTTCATTGGCTTGGTGTGATATGTTGGTCAATGTGAACAAAAAGGCAACCCGAAAGATATATATGATAAGAATGAAATTATAGTGTTTCTGCATTTTCATATCCTTACAGTTCATCCGAACTCGTTCTGAACGTAGGACGCAGGGCCGGGAAGTACTTCAAGATGCATTCCCTCCGGAGTATTTCGCGGTTTGGAGGATCTGCAACAAACACTTGGGGCTTGTGTCGCCGTGCAACGAGTTTATCGCGGCCTTTCAGGCTTTCATATTCTCAAATGCAACCGAGTCTTTCTACAATTGTAGGTTCAGATTCATCACGAAACCGCTTTTTAATCATGTGGGTATGTCATTGATTAATCGATATGGTAGAATGATGATAGGGCAAGATTATCCAAGTTCTGGATACCTACTGGTGGTATAGCTGCAAGCGCAGATGAAGGTAAAATCCAGACTAGATATGTTCATCGAATTTGGAAAACTGATTCGGGATAGATTCTCATGCTAAACTTATTCGAGGGGGTTTCTTACGTCAGGTGCGTTGTCAAGTCATTTCCTTTTACTCATAAGGGCATGCTCTCACACGGCATGACTAGGCTCACACAGGTATTTTTCATATGTTGCCGCTAGGAAGAAGAGTACAGAACAAATTAGAAGCACTTATTGATAAGCATATGTCAACGTTAGGTTAGCAATCCTGTTCCCCCAAATTGTTTTCACCATTCATGCTAATATTAATGTCTTCTGAAAGGCGCATCGAAACTTGCTTTGTCGTCTCTGTCGTCTGAAGAGCTCTGGGCTAAAAGTGGTCGATTGAATTCTAGTTCTGAGGTATTTCCCATCGAAAGAATCTATTGCCATGATTGTAACACTATCAGCTTTTCCGATTGGAAGACCGAAAGGAGGCGAGGTATCTTCTTGCTCCTACACACGAGGAAGAAATCACGGAATTGGTTTCAAACTCGGTTCAATCATACAAAGAACTTCCTGTTCGTTTATACCAGATTAGTTTGTTCAAACCTGCCATCTTTTCTGTTCTTTGCTCATCCATATCTAGCTCGAAAGTATCGTGATGAGCTACGACCGAGACAAGGACTTCTTCGTTCTCGAGAATTCGTCATGAAAGATCTTTATACATTTGATTACAATAATAGTTGCGCTCTGTCAACTTACGAAGATGTTCGCAAAGCATATCATAAACTTTTCGATGAATTGAAAATTCCATATCTTGTAGCCGAAGCCGATTCAGGAGACATAGGTGGTGACCTCAGTCATGAGTTTCACTTTCCAACTAAGATTGGAGAAGATAATATTATCAGCTGCAGTAAATGTGATTATGTGGCAAATGAGGAGTTAGCAGAAAGTGGCTTGTCAAAATTGAATGAGACCGAGAGTTCGAAGAACGAGTTTAAAAACCTGAAGAAGGTTGGTGGGTTCTCTCGTGATGGATCTACGCTCATTGTCACTTGGTTTTATTCTGAAAACGGAGAAGGGTATGACTTGAACACAAGTTCAATAAAAAGACTTGTACCGGACTATGATCCTTCGAGAAAAATTGGACATGTGGTAATGTCGCGACTCATCAATGAGGATTTTATACTTACGAATACATGTCTCAATGAAGCAGATGAAATCCATATCACTCATGTGATTAACCTTATTGATGGACGAGTCCCTCCTGAATTTTCAGAGGCAATTTCAAGGGAACGAGAGGTGCACTTTGATTCGTCTTTGAATAAGTATAAGAATTCGTCTTTCGTCCAGGATCCATCTACGGGGGAACCGCTAAATTTGAAGCGTATTATGGAGGGCGATGTTTGTCCCAAATGTCAAGAACCGACGTTGAAAGTCGAAAAGGCCATTGAACTTGGACATACCTTTCATTTAGGTACACGATATAGTAAGCCGATGGAAGCCACTGTTACTGTACCTTCTGGCCTTGTAGGGAAAAATCTTGAAGCTGAAGATAATGAACCTCAGCAAGGAGGAAATGATCAGATACGGGTTCCTATGGAAATGGGATGCCATGGTATTGGTGTGACGAGAATGATTGGAGCCGTTGCAGAAACTCTAGCTGACGGAAAGGGTTTGAATTGGCCAAGAGTTATGGCTCCTTTCGAAATCGTTGTGGTCCCGGGAAAGGGATTGAATGAAGATGCATTGCAGATATCCGATACTCTTTCTGCTGCTGCAATGGATCCAGTAGTTGATGATCGAGAGGTATCGATTGGCTGGAAAATGAAGGATGCTGATTTGATTGGTTATCCGGTCATTGTTTTGCTGGGTAGGAAGTGGAAGGAAGGTCTATGTGAGGTCCAGTGTAGACGGCTGGATGTTAAGGAGGATGTCAGGGTTGAGGATTTGAAGAACTTTGTTGGGAAGTTATTGAATCAGCTTTGAGTCAAAGAAGTGTAGTGTACTATAAATTGTGATATATCTCACTAACATGTGTCAATGATCATCAAGGGCTGGTAGAATACTGCCAGATAAAGTTTCATTTTTCTTTTGAACTTTGATTTCTATGTACTCATATTTTAGACGAGAGTCGAATTCGGAGGCAGCCTGTCAAGGGGCGCGTACAAGCACTTGTTTTGTTATTGAGCAGTCATTTGGACTTATCATTTATTATCTATGTGCATACATTATTGTTTGAAATAACCTCAATCCACTAGACTAACCCGATCAACGGAATCTAGGTAGCCAGCCGGCTACTTATTCAAACACCGATTTCGGCACGAGGCTCCCTTTTCTGATTCTCTCCGCATTCTGATGCATGTGGATCATGTTGTAGTGAATTTCAGAAACCGCATTCGGGACTCAAAAATACGTACTTTGCTATACCGCGAGCTATTCACTCATCCGCTTTCGCAACCTGAATTTACCTTCCACCTCAAAGGGTTTGCAGATTTCTTTCTCCGCGTGCGATCAAATACTATCATCGCACTCAACCTTGTCAACGCTCCTCTCATTTCATTTCAGTAGAGAAGCAACAGTCGCACCGAATTACAAGTGACCTCGCCAGCTATATCTCCTCAATAAGATGTCTTCACCCCCACGCAAACCAACACTCAAAGCTCTCGAACCGTTCGATCAAGGCAAAGAGGCAGGCAAACAAGCATATCGTGAGGACAGAGTAGAGGCACTGTTTGAATTTCAGTACCCGGAAGAGTACCGCAAAGGTTATGAAGCAGGTGTAAAAGCAGAAAAGAATCTCGGAATTCGCGGCACCGAAGAATGGAAAGTTGATAGGATTGCCAAAGAGGCCAAAAAAGCGAAGGAGCTTGAGCTATTCAAGGCAATCAGAGAGAGAAAAGCGAAAGAAGCTAGAAGAATTACGGAAGCGATTGAGACTGCTCATCGTGATGCTGTTACATTTCATAGGGAAATTGGTGAGTCTTTTTTTTTACAGATATGAGTAGACTGAAATAGCGGCTCAAGGACAATACAGATAAATCGCGAGGAGCATCGGAAGAGGAGTTGAATGAGACTTTTGGGACGGACGTGACCTTTGCAGATATGGGAAGAGTATTAGAAGTCCATGGGCCTCGTGCGCAATTGGATAAGGATGGCCAGATTCAGGGCGGGATCGAGCGTGGTGAAGTAATTATCCATCTCGCTTGCTCAAATGCAATAGGGAAATAGCTAACATTTGATAGTATAGATATACGAAATAATTGCCACTGGCCAATGGTTGGATTTTCGGGCTGGGAAGAAAAAAGTACGCCGATTCAATAATTCTTCGGGTTACATTGACTCGAGGCATAGAGTTACGAATGGAAAGGAACAAAATGACAACTGGTCAATCGATGCATGATAAATGGGTTTGCTTCGGCCTAAAAATAAAATAAAAATTCAAGACAACATGATTAGAGCAATAATGTTTTGGATGCCTTTCCTGCATTACTGCTGTGGGTTGCCGACGACTTCCTACGTCGTTTGTAGGCACTGTGAGAATCTCTCGACCAAATTCTTCAAATTTGCAAATGTTTCAGTTAAGCTCCTCTCCACTTACAAATCTCATGCTCATGGCGGGCTCTTATTCTCTTTGGGGGTAGTCAGTCTTGAGTAGTGCAACAGAGCTCGTTTCCTTTTTGTGTCGTTACTTGTCTGTATTACTCGCATTGAAGGAGTTGTTTGGTAAAGCACTTAAATCCAGTTTCGTTACAACACGTACGCGCTTGTCAATGATTTTTTCCCGAATTGTTCTTGTCTTTCGAGATTGCTGTTTGAAAACTCAGAGTACCGTTGATGTTTTTATTGCTTGAGATTTCAACCGTTCGAAGGTGAGTTAGACATCCCGTAACGAGGCATACCAGGTGAGATCGACGATGATGTGTAGACCACTCTCTCTACATCCCCATACGAAGCTAGTTTCACTCAAGTGTCCTGAATAGCTCGAAACATTCCTGTAAAACTTGCTTGTGTCCCTCTACTTCACTAATCCCTTTAGTCTATCGATTCTTAAGTTTCCATTAAGGACTAGTTTGAATGGCAAAGATTTTCATCGACGTGGGGTTGTTCAGTGGTGTGAACTTTATTGAGCTCTAGCAGTTAGAAGGTGAGTATTCTCAAGGAACAGGTTAGTGGAAAAAATTCATACCGTAGGATACTCGTTGCACAAACATATAAAATGCCGCTTCCGGATCCCTACACCGTGGCATTGTTTATCGCACTCAGAAATGATAAAGTGGAGCCATCTCCAGATTCAAAACCCCATGACATATTTGCAACAAAGGTTTTGAAAACGTAGAGATGGTATGATTGGTTGATTGCATGAATATGGTATGTAAAAGTAAGAATGAATCGTTGTAAATACAAACAAAAGACAGCGAGTGGTATGTACATCAAGAATATATTATGGTGCAGCCCCTTCAACGTTTATGAGAGATTCAAATAATAACAGGATGGGCAAAGTACGCCAGTTATGTTACATTTAGATTTCTGGTGGCATCATTAATTCTGGAAGAAGTCCGCGATGGTTTTCAGAGTGACACAGCATTGCTCAGGACTGCTTTGAGCAGGACTGGTAAAATTTGATGGCTGCTAACCAGAGCAAAATTTCTGAGGCTCTGTATCGAAGCATATTTTGATGTTGCAGAACATAAATGCCTTTTCACTTCACTGTGGTGATACTTGATAATAATCCAACCAATTCAAATCCGAAAGTTGTTGGGTGAACCAAGCATCATTCATCGAATCCATCTGCATACCTGTATCAAACATGATGATATTATCATTCCCAAGCCCTCCATTGGGGACTCCAGGTACAAGAGTTGAATAATCCTGGGGAATTGACCCTTGAGGATTAGCGAAGTCTTTTTCGGTATTTGCTGGAGCGTCAGTTATATTTGACTCAAGCGAATTTCCATTTGATGGATTCGTAAATTCAGCCGATTTTCTTGCTTGAACTTTCTCTTTCAATGTTCTTAGAATATTTATGGCTCGTTTGGCTGATTGGATCTGCACTTTGTGATGCTCGAGAATTTTAATACATGAAGTCCATGACGTTTCGAAGCAATATTCGGTGGATAAAGTGGCTTGGATCAGCGGAGATAATTGAGCCGCAAGAAGGATAGTCGCAGCAGCGAATGCAACTGTTATTGTCAGTAAATATGAATCGAGGAATATTCCTTGGTTTCAAAGAGTATGAACTGCTGTCTGATGACAGCAGATTTATGTGAGAAACTTACAATAAACAGTGTGCCATCCTGAGCTACGATACTCCGTATTGAGATTTTCATGTATAGTCTCTACAAGCAAGTGAGCTGATTTCACACATAGTGTGCAAACTCCAATGGCAAGATCTTTCGTTAGCCCAGGCTCGGATTTGGCGAGTAGGGTTGACCTTTCCTTAAAGACGGATGCTAAGAGTATGGGCCGTAGAAGTAAGATGCGAACAAGTAAAAACCTGAGAGATTATATTAGATATTGAGCTGAAATCGACAGGCTTTGCTTAATCACCTGCTTCGTAGGACTTTTGACTGTAAAACAACGTGAAGTTGGCCAGGTGCGAAAGCGTCGGTCCCAAGTGCAAACGAACTAACATCCTTGCATATTTGAGGAACGCTCTCCCGAAAATCATCAAGTTTCGCATTGATGGTCAATATACTGGCCAGATCACCCACTGACCAAGGATTGAAAGACTTAGTAGAATTGCTTTCACTCTTGCCACCTTGAAATACATAAAACTTCGAAAGTATTTCATCCATAATATCGAATAATCTGAGCGAGTAGACGAACAAATTTATTCGAGAATGAACTCCAGATGGTTGAGCTCCCGGAACTTGTTGGAAATCTGCTGTTAGATATTGGTCATCGATTATCGATGGCTCTGGAACATCGTAGGATCCGGTTCTAATCATAGTTGGTCGACCAAATGTCATGGCCAGCAACCTTTCATGTGATTAGCCGCGAAGTAGTAAAAGTTAAATAGGACTACAGACCGGTCAAGCAATATACAACAATGCCATACCCTTCGCTTAATCTCATAACTTAATTGACTGGTCCTATGTGAGTTATTTTCCGTGTTAAGACCTAATCCTTGTGCGGTTCGAATAGCTAATCCAACCACATTCCAACATCTATTTGCATGTTCAGTGGATTGTAAATAAACCCCCGTGAGTAAAAACAGTTGAACCAAAGATAACTGTAGTGCATCCAATATCTCAAAGTTCAGTAACCTCCTCGAACGTCGATATAATTCATCTGCATAGCTTGATTTTCGTTGTGGAGGAACGTCCTTACTATATTGACATCCCAAAGCAAAAACGAGATTAAGGGTAGCGTGAAAGATTGTTTCGTTCAACTCATCTCCGTCTAATCCTTTTCCTGGTGATGACATCCACAATTTCTCGTAAGTGGCATTGAAAGTTTGGAGATCCAAAAGAGGAAATACTGGATGAACGAATTCCCAGTAACAGTTTATGAATTCATCAGCCTGTTGACGTTGGGGTAAAATAAAATTTGCAAAATCTTGCTTATGGAGTATTTCTACTTCACCATGTGCTTGAGGTAGATTATCAATCGGTTGTTTATGCGTTTCATTGATCGGCACTGCTTGATCTGACGCTGCTTGTCGAACTTGAGATACTAATGCAATTGTCGATGATCCTCCGTAAAGAGAATCTTGTGTCTCTGTATCGGAAACCATAGCCAAACCACCAACATTTCCAGGAGAAGCTGCAATTCCTGCAGCTGGACTTGGAGATGAGGTTGATTGACTGACTGATCGAAAATGAACGTTTGGTTTTGGACTACCGATCATTAAAGACTTCCTGAATATCGGCAAATCAGCTGATTGGACACAACTTCATAGTGTTGGGACAATTGTCTGAGTGTAAACTACAATTGAAAATATCCAATATCTTAGTCGCATCAAAGAGCCCAAATATTCAGGTATTTCGAATAAGTACATTATGCTTCATGGAATCAAAAGTCAAAAAGTAACGCCTTGGTTGTTGGGTGAAATCCCGTGCAAAAGGACCCCGCCGTGCAGCCGGGGAAATTCAAGAAAAAACCCACCCAGTGTTGATAGAAGCTTTAGAGCCTACGGTTGCCTCCTCATAAGAACAACTGTCTTGAACACCTCTTCTTATACATGACGAGCATGAAGGGCGGTCACCGTTGCAAGCCGTCTTTCTTTGACGACAAGAATTGCAAGCTAATTGAGTTCTCCGACGTTTACGGACCGGTTTTTGTGTTTGCAGTTGGTCCTGATTTTGAGACTCTTCAGGCACATCTTCGGAGTGAGGGATATCCATGGATGGAGATGGAGAAATGGGATTCGGGGAGAAAGAGTGGGGAGGTAAGAGGTAAGAAAAAAAGTCGATGGGATGATGATGTGCCAAGACTCGGATCGCACGTAATAGTTGGTAAAGGGGAGGTGAGATTGTGCTGATAACAGCCCTATATATCAATGATATTCTTGATGTATAAGATGTACCTCGTATGTTATGAGAAATTATGAGATATTTAATTGCTGATATTCTTCCTTGACTCCGTAGGAAGGTGATCCGGGTAAACGGTGAGAATCCCCTAGTTCTTCTTGGTACGATGGCCGTGGTCCCAGTCACATGATTTTACGAATCCAGTCGACTCACTCCTTACGTAGCAGAATAGAGGATGGAAGATGGAAGGGTCGGTCCGTCATGCTAGAATAAAAAATTATCGACCTAAAACTAATATGGTTAGTGCTACACGAGACCAGTCTTTAGGAATCTTTCTCTAGCTTGATTGTTATTTTTGATATCATGTTTGAATATTCCCACAAAGAACGACATATTCCAGCCTTTCTCATAAATGACATAAATGATCACAGTACTAAATTGAATCATTTCCAGATGTTTGATTGTTTCAACTAAGAGCAAAGATTAGTTCAGCGATCATTTCCATATACAACACCACCGCTTGTACGAAGTGACAGGTCTTCGAGCGGCAAGACCTAGAGACTTCTCTCCATGGTTGTCCAATTTCTACCCCTTCATTTACGGTTTGGACATTCACAACCAGATTGGTCTCGCCGGTGCTCTCTCTCACTTTACTTCTTTTCGGGATGATATTTTTGATGCAGTTGAACCTCATGAGTCACACCGTGGCCTCGAATTCAAGGTAAGCTGACACCTCAAGGTAAGCTGACACCGATTGGCTACGCCGTAAAGATGGATGGTGGTAAACCTCCAAAGTGTAGTTTATGTATGATAAGGAACTTATCATCCTTCCATCAGTACATGCTCAACTACCAGGTATTTATATATCTTCAGTAAGTCCGTCAAAAAGGTATCTTTAATCTCAATTGTATTCCCTTCCAATCTCTTG